AGAATAGTCACAATAGCTACAGGGTATCAAAATTGGATTTGTGCAATGATTGTTGTTGTTGTTGTTGTTGTTGTACTTTAATCATTTATCTTGTCAATTGCGTAAAGTAAGCGTGCAAATAATTAAAGCACTCAAAAACTAAACATCAGCTCTTACAATGACGCACTGCAAAATAATTGCAAAACACTTTTGTCATCAACATCATCATGATGATGAACATTATGATGATAATGATGATGATGATGACGATGACGCACTAGAGCAGATATTTATCTGAAATTCGTTAGGTATTTTTCATTGTCAATTAAACAACAGAAGCTCAACTGAGCTCACAAATTGAAAGGGAATTAGTTTGTGGGAACAGAGGAAAAATGGTTGCTTCAGTTAAAAGTGCACGACTAGCAGTTACCCTGTTGTTTCTATACAAATGCGGCAAGCTGCCTACTTTATACAGTTGCTGGTGCTTCTTCTTTTTCCCTCAGACTCACTCTATAGGAAATGGTTTCTTGAATAACTTCGGAGTTTATTGTCCGATCTTCATCGTCTTTGCAGAGCTTCAAAGTGGCATACAAAAAGGTGTGAATACCAAAGCACAAGGCTTTTGCTTGAAAATTATCTCTATTTTAGAGTTTTGGGAAAGTAATATAGACAATTTTGGATCTATGTATACTATACAAGAATTGTTAGCAACTCTTCCTTCTAGCACTTAAAACCTCCTAAATGCTTAAAGAAAAACCAAAAAACGGTACGTCGTTATAGATGTTTATCGATTTCATAGAACAGGGGACTTAAGACGAAGCCAGGTCACTAAATTTTAAGACTCCAGCTCTTATTTTCCGAGATCGTTGCGTTTACGGACAGACGGATACTGTTAGATCGACTCAGCCGTTAATGCTGATCAAGAGTATACTTTATCGAGTCCGAGATACTCTTTTTGCCTCTTAGATACGTTAAACAACAAAAAAACAATTCTACCCTTTCGACACATTTTAAATGGGCTTTCAAAATGCAAACATATTGAACCACATTTCATGTCGCTGTCAAAATTTTGCACATTTATAAAAGTATAGAAGAAAAAAAAATAAGTAAAATTAGCACAAAGCGAAAATTACAACTTTTCGCATCAGTTCAGAAATGTATTTCCTGGCGACGTTACCTAATTAGCTAGTCTAAACTCTTGTCGTGCCCGAGTGAAACTCAAAGGCTTGAGGCTGTTTGCAGGGGCTGTGGGGTACTGAACTGGGGAAAACAACTGTTAGATCTTGATGACAATGAATGATAAAACGTCAAGATGTCCAAGAGTGGGTCGTATTATCTTAAAACTGGCTAAAAGTTTTTACAACGAAGCTTAGATACGCTTAAATATTTGACAAGATAATTTAGCCTTTTATGGTTTTATGTCTATAATCTATTATCTTATAATCTATTGAAATAGATATGTATGTATTCCCTTGTTAGAAAAGCTCCTTTTGTGAAGACGAAGTATAGATTTCTTCTTCTTGAATTACATATATTCTTTTAAGAAGTTTCAAGTTCTTCTTGAGTAATATTCTTTTAAGTAGTTTAGAGTTATTTTTCTGGAATTATACACTCTAAACAAATAGTTTTCAGTTAATACATATGTCAATATGAATTTCATCATATTTTATCTGCATTTTTTTTTTCATTATTCGCGAACCTTCCTAGCTGTAGGTAATTTAATGACTGTTTTCAATATATCGAATTTCTAATCTACTTTATTTAGCTATTTGGGAAAATTTGCAGAGATAGCTAAACTAGTTATTCAAATTAAACGGGCTACTTTTACGGGCATGAAGATCCAAAGAAATAGCTAAATTCATTTAAATTGCAAATACATAGCTTCTGCAATTAGCCAAAAAGTTGGCTTTCAAATAGCTGAATGTGCAACACTGATAAAGCGAATAGGTTTTAGCTCTGTTATAATTTTTGATTATATGTACATACATACATACATACATACATACATACATACATATGTATGTATTTCATCACATCTCATCATAGGGAACTTGCAGTTCGAGAAACTTCCTTAAGTTAGTGTTTTTCTTGTCTCTCTCTTCTTTCCCCCTCTCCCTTTTCTTTTTTTGCGTCGTCATTTGACATTGCGATTAGCCCAAAGGAAGGTGGCGTCAAGCAGCCGGGGTCGGGGTGACAAGGTCGACTTTTGCACACAATAGATAAACAAATAAAATAGAAAACGAAACAAATACAATAAATAGTTATCTATGTATATGTGTTTTACGGTTACTGCGATAAACAATACACACGGCACATGGCATGATTCCGATACCAATCGATCGTGTCTATGCGTATCTGTCATGTGCGAGGCCAAATGCAAGCACGGTCGTGTAGTGTCGTGTCGTGTCGTGTCGTGTCATGCCCTATTGTGAGTCATGGCGCGTTGGCTATTTCTGCTGATTCACGATGATGTTTGAGAGTCTTTGGACAACATGATATGCTAATTCTCAAATTTGCCAGTGCTTGCTGTTGTTGTTCGGTTATCTTTAGTTTGGTGTTGTTCTTGTTGTTGTCTTGTGGTGAAATTGCAGCCCATGTGGGAAGCACATAGAAAACAGATACCAACCAATACATGCGTGCGTTCGTGCGTGCATGCGAACATGTATATGTGTTAGTGCTGATCTCTCTCTCGTGCGCTCTGGGCGATTAACTCTCAATTTTGCGAGTGCCTTGAACTTCACAGCTTCCACAGCCACTCCCGCAGACCCGTAATCCACAAGCTTGGACTTAAACCAGTTTAAAATGTATTGTACTTTTTGTTTATCACACGCGACTTGTGCATGAGTAATGCGGGAGTGACGTCACAGCAGCAGTAGCATATATATGTATGTATATTGATTTTTTTTGTTGGTTTGCTAAGCTCGTTCTCAGCTAATTGGTGATCAAAAATAAAAAAAAGTTGCGCTGCTCTCAACTTAAAAAAGTTGCCGATTTTGGCATGTGAATGACTTCACAGAAATGTGACAGGCAATAAATCGCGTATGATATGTAGGTACATACATATATATACATATATGTATATGCTGTGATAAGTTTCTAAGTCGATTAAAATATCAAATTAGAAGCTTCCAGGCCAAACGCTCAAGGCCACTGCTGTTCCAGTCCAATTGGACAGTGTGTAAGCCGTACGCCTCAATCAAACACATATGTATGTACGCACATACCCATCGGCATGCACATAAATTTGTATGGAAAGCTAATGTCAAGGTTATGCACGGCCTGGAACTGGACAACAAAACGCGCTACTTAAACAACAAAACTAATTGTCATGTAATTACGAGCCAAAAAATCAATAAAAAAAAAAAAACCCAAACCCACTTGTAGAGACTGAAATTACGCACTTATTCAAATAATGGACACATTAAACACACATGCATGCGCATGTATAGTATAAGTAGCTTGTTAGAAATTACGGCAAACACTTACCGGTAAATGCTGTAGAACAATGATAAAAGCAACAAACGCGTGCGCTCCAATCAGAATTTTTCGGCTTCTTGTTGGATGCTGCTCAGCTGTTGCTCTCGGCGTTTGAATTATATGAAGCGGGTGAGGAAACCTAGCGGCGGCGGCGGCGGCAGCGACGGCGGCGTTGGCTGCACAAACAAAAATGACCTGTTTGTTGTTGGTGCTGCTGCCCTCGCTCTTATTGTCTGCGCTGCTTACGCTGTCTCTTTTGCTCGCTCTCGCTGACGCTGTCTCTGTGTGCCGTGTGTTTGTGTGTGTGTGACCGCGTGCTGATGTTTTTCACACACGTTTTGATTCTGATTTCGAATGCCGATTCAGAATTTATTTTTGTTGTTGTTGGTTGTGTAACCAAACGACAAACTCAACTGACCAACGTCAATTTAACGAACTTCTCTTTAATTTTTCCGATTTTTCGCAGCTCTTGCTGGTTGGCGCTGTAGTTGTAGATGTTGTTGTTATTGTTCTAATTTGCACTTCTGTTTGTGTTCTTGGGGTTTATTTTAGTTGATTGTTTTGCCACGATTTCACAATATGCTTAATAAACAAAAGAAATTCATATACATATACATACATTTAGTATCATCTAAGCTGAATGTGTGTCTGTGTGTGTGCGTGTGTGTGTGTGCATGAAAACAACAAAATGTGCAGGCCGCGTGTTTTTTTCTTCTATTTATTTTTGTTTTTGTATTTGCTTACTATGTAACTACCGTTACAGCTGCAACGTCAACTCTGGCGGCGACTGTAATGTCGGCCGCACGCTTATGCAGATTTTAAATATTTATTAATAATAGACGCTGTTCGCACTAAAAGGAAACACATACATGTGCACATTTAAGAACAACAACATAAATGTGCGGCTGGGCCTTTTAAGACTTTTTTTAATATCGCATATGTACTGTATGTACGTGCATGCACATGTACGCATGCATGTGTGTGTGAGTTGTTCTAATTAGAAGACGCTGCTGCTTTGAGTGTGTGCGTGTGCTTTAATGAGTGTGGGTGCGCTAGCGATCCAATTGCTTACTGCTTATAATTCGCTTTTCCGATCCGATGTCTGGTGCCGCCACCAACAATTTCACAATTCCACAAAAATGCACACAATGTTTTTAACTAGAAATTTCACTTGAAACTCAATTTAACGGCGGCAATAACGATTTTGTTTCTGCTATGTGTAAATAGTTGTTAATTTCTAATTGCCAGCGTGAGAACGACAGCGCTATTTAACACAAAAATTCCAAAAAAAAAAAAAACAAACTAGAAAACCTGCCACTGCGCGCGGCTATTTATGTAAAAAAAAAAGGTTGTACGCATTAAATGCATGGTGCTGCCAGATAACGCAAATGCTCCAATACACCATGCGGTGTATATGGCAGCGCCAACAGCTGATAGTGTTGCAAAGCGCGCGCGCGCGCGCTCCCAAAAAAACCATTTCAAATTTCAATATGCAAATGAATAAAAATGATGTATAATAAATGAAAAGATGATGGGTCATTTTTTTTTCTTTCGTTTTTTTTTTGTCCATTTTAAATAAAAACTAAACCTGTAGATAGAGTACAGCATGTTCGGTGAGCACCGTAATCACATTTGTTGCAGTTACCAGACCCAGCACCTCGCCCAGATCGTCGTCCAGTGTGACCAAATTCTGTTTGCCAATAACCACCTGCGGACCGTTGCGATTGCGCAGTCCCCCGGCGGAATCGTAGCGCGGCTTATAAATGAACACATGTCGATAGCTCTCCGAAATGACCGCATAATCCAGCTGGGGGCAACAGTCAATAAATTTACGCTGCTGCTTGGATGCCTGCACATAGCCAAACGCATGCAAATTGCCCTCGTGCCGGACACTCCATTCGCCCGGCTTCGCCGGCTGATATAATTGCAGCCAAACGGACGCGTCCACGCCCTGACGTGTAACAAATGCCGCCGGATAGCCGGCGCGCAGCGAGGTGGCAAACAATGGCGGTATCGCGCCCATGAATATCGTGTGCGTAATCCCAGATGTGCTCAGATTGAAGCGCACTGCGAATGCAGACGGATTAGCAAGGTGTGTGTGTGTGTGTGTGTGTATGTGTGTGTGTGTTGCATACCCATTTTGATGTCATCGTCGCTGTTGCCCAATGGAAAGTCACATTCTTCGATGGGATCCTCGAGATTTGGTATGGGCAGACGCTCTGGCTCCGGTTCGATATCCATTTCGCTATCGTCCTCCGGCTCCGCCGGCTGCTCCGCCGGCTGCTCCTCCTTCACCGCCTCCACCACCACGTGCTCTGTTTGCAGCAGTCGCGGCCACTGCTCCTGCCGCTGCTTGACTAGCGTCAGCTGCAGCGTCTGCCCCTCCACCGTCCAGCTGGTCAGCTCGTCCTCCACATCCGCATAGAGCACGCCCTGCAGCAGCGTCTCTTCCCGCCGCTTCACCAGCGCCTGCCGCGGCGTACAGCTTATATTGAATTCATCGCGTGTGGCGCCCGATCGCAATGGAAAGCGCACGATCACATCCTGCTCTGTCTGCGTCCAGCTGTAGCTGGGCTCGTTGTCATGATTTAGCTGAGCCTCGGCAGCAGTCGCTGCCGCCGCCGCCTGCTCGGCCTCGGCCTTGAGCTGGGCCAGCGTCTGGAGCTGACCATTGGAGCAGACGACCAGGGAGTCGGCGCGCGGCTCAAAGGCACAATAGTATATTGAGCCGGGCGTCTCCAGCTGCTCGCACAGCTTGTACGACCAGCTCGCCTCGGGCTGGCTGTCCAGGGTCCAACGCGACCAGATCAGCTGCATCACATGCACGTCCGCCTGATGCGGCGCGGCGGCCTCGCGTCGCCTCACATGGCCGGCAATCAGCGAGATTTGCTTGCGCTCCTGCACCATGTCCAGGCGCGCATCGTACAGCACAAATCCGCGCTGCTGCATGTCGTTGGTGACCGGCGATCGGGTGACCAGCTGCCAGCTGGTGTCGCGCATCCGATCGCCGGTCTCCAGCAGATGGAAGGTCAGCATGCCGTCGCACACCACACAGTACTTCTCGGATATGAAGCGCAGCGTGTAGTTGTAGTCGCCGACCAGATGCTGGTACCCATCGCCGTGATCCTCGCGTCGCATCGTGTAGACGACACGCTGGGCGCGCGGCTGGCCGTGCTGCTCATCGTAGGAGCAAAGGACCAGCTGGTGGGCCGTGTTCATGTAGTAGCTGTTGTGTCGGGCCCACGGATCCGAGAAGAGCAGATTGTGCTTGGCAAAGAGCTCGACGTGCAGCAGCGAATATTGATTCAGGTGCGGCTCCAATTTGAGCGGATCGCGATCGAAGCCTTGACGGAGCACCGGCACCGCATCAAAGGAGAGCTTGTACCCGTCGAAATTGGGGCACAGCAGATTGCGATCGACAGTTAGGTCCACCACCGGCATGCTGGCGAATCAATTGGCAATTGCTATGAGCCAAAACAAAAAAAAAAACAAAAACACAAAATTCAACAAACAAAATGCTTTCAATTTCGATTGATGCACAGTGTTGCAAAGCGGCGATCAGCCTGCTGTCATGTTAACGTATCTGTTCAAATAACTAACAGTGTGCCGGCATGATACTTGCATGAGCATGTTGTGCTGCTCTTGTGCTATTATGTTAGCGTATCTGTTTAGGCAATTAGCAGTGTGCCGGCATAACATGTTAATGTTAACGTTATGTTAGGGTTTCTGTTAAGCCAATTAGCAGTGTGTTGGCATGACACTCGCTCATTTAATGCAGTGCTCTTGTGGTGTTCTGTTAATGTTTGTTTTGGTCCAGTGCTGTTATCTAAGCTGTGTTGCCGGCATACATCAGGGGTAGCCATGTCAAAAAACATCGATGTATCGACTGACAGCAAACGATTTTTTTTTTTTATCAATATTCTTATGTGTTTTCATTTAAAATAATATAACTAAGAATTCTTATTGAGTTAATTTGGTTAAAACACCAAACACGCGTATTACATAATTAACGTTTCTGTTAAGTTATGGTTAACAGTTACAAACGTTGTTATTTCTAAAATTGTGCAATATTTCCTTATCAATATGTCCCTGTCAAAATATATATCTATACAGCAAGTGTCATTACCGCACAGCAATTGCCAGCGCTGTTAGCTCAAGACATACGTGTTCTTTGCAACTCTGCGCGCACAGTGCTGCACAACGCACGCCCCAAATAAAAAAAAGTGTTGACACGTTGACAGAACATTTGGCCCGTCTTTAACGAGGAATTGACTATTATTTTTGTTGTTATATTTACAGCCAACAATCGAGCCGAACGAACAGTCGAGCGACAAAACTTTGCACTAACGAATTAAACAGGTGAGCGCCGGCACTCGAAAATTCGCTAGAACTTGAATAGATAATAACTTGTATGCGTGTATGTGTGTGTGTGCGTGTGTTTTTTGCAGCTGTAACTGAGCAAAAGCCGATATTGACGCAGGATTTGAGGCTTGTCAGCTGCTGCGTGGCAGCAAATGCTCTTTTTTAGTCAATAACTAGCCGCAAATACCAAATAGAGAAAAAGAAAATAGCGAAATGCGCGACGAGCAGCTGAATAACCAAAGCAACAACTGCAGCAGCAACAACAACAGCAACAACAACAACAACAACAGCAGCAGCAGCAAGAAGAAGAACAACAGCAGCAGCAGCAGCAGCAAAGTGAGAAGCCCAATGTTGTTGCTGTCGCTGCTGGTGCTGGCAGCGCTGCTGCAGTGCAGCTCCGCTGTGGAGTTCACATTCGATTTGGGTGACAATGCGGAGGATTGCTTTTACGAGGAGATCAAGCGCAATACGAGCGCCTATTTTGAATTTCAAGTATCCGCCGGCGGTCAGCTGGATGTGGATGTGGTCCTCAAGGATCCACAGAATCAGATCATCTATTCGCTGAACCGCGCCACCTTTGATAGCCATCAGTTTACCGCTGAGACAACGGGCGTTTATACCGCCTGCTTTAGCAACAAGTTTTCGGCATTCTCGCACAAAATCGTCTACGTGGACTTTCAGGTGGGCGAGGAGCCGGCCCTGCCCGGCGTCGATGAGCACGCCACGGTGCTGACCCAAATGGAGACATCATCCCAGGCGATACACAAGGCCCTCAACGATATACTCGACGCCCAGACGCATCATCGTTTGCGCGAGGCGCAGGGACGCAAACGTGCCGAGGATATCAATCAGCGTGTCATGGTCTGGGCCTCGCTGGAGACGGCGACCGTTGTCCTGATCGGACTCATACAGATTTTGGTGTTGCGCAACTTCTTTACGGATCGCAAGCCCAGCCAGGCGCGCTATGGTCGTCTGTAATCTGTAATCTGTAATCTGTAATCTGGATGAACTGGAGCACGCAGTGGGAGAAGCGCAACCATCTCTACCATATAAACATACATACATATATATATATATATTAAATTTTTTTTTATTATTTTTAATTTTATGAAACTGTTGTCAGGCTAACTTCTCACATGTATTCCCATTGCCCAGCAAATTGTAATTGATTTGTTTATAAGCCCTTCCCCACGTCCAGCCCACACCGAATGTATCCTACACCCCCGCCACCCCCCCCCTCAAAAAAAAGAGAAATGTTTTTCTTAAAAAACACAAACAAGCAAAAAAAGAAAACTAAACAAAAATACAAGAATGATGCGGTTTTTTTTTGCTGAAAGCTTTCGCATTTGGCCGAAGACGCTTGTGGAGAATGTGATGCCATAAATGTTTGCCATAAATTATGGACGCTCGTTATGGCAGCACTGGCAGGATGCCACCGTTATAGTTGTTGTTGTTGTTGTTGTTGCTGTCTCGCTTTGCAGGAAGCAATAGCTATTACCTAACAGGCGGAAACCAACAGAGCCAGAGAAAGATAGCAACTGTTACAGCTGCCGTTATTGTTGTTGCCGTGGCATTTGGCACAGAAAACATCATATTTCGATCAAATTATTATGCATACATATTTATTGCCGCAGGGCAAAGCGGCCCCGAATTTAACTAAAACAAAAAAAGAAGCAGTAAACAACAGTAAGACAACAACTGTATCAACAAGGAGCGCGTCAGAGCGAGAGAGCGCAAACAATCAAACACACACACACACACAAACAAACAGTTGCTTAGCTGTGCTAAGCTGAGCGACGGCGAATTCGATGCGGCAATTTCGGCGGGCTCATAGTTCAACCGTCGCAATTTGTACAAACGAAAAAACAGCAACATAGGCAAGCGTGCTCTAGTCGGGGGTGCACGACTATTGGATACCCTATACCTAGCTGAAGAGTTCATATTTTCTCTCAATTATGAAGAAACGGGTAGAGGTAACCATAAGTTGAATATTCTGGATCTGTGTATGCTCTACGAGAGCCAAGATACTACATTTGATGAGTCAAGCTCTATCTCTAGGTCAAACCAGTATTTCGATATATGCATGTAGATTCTTATCGATTGCATAAAAACGAAAATAATCTCGATATATGAACGTTATAGGTGGATCTACGGTCAAGATTTCAGTTCACATATGTACATACATACATATGTATGTAGTTCCCGACATCGACACGTTCATACAAAAGCACATGGCTCTAACGGACTAGAATAGCATATACATACATATGTACATATGTGCGTATGTGTGCATGTATATACATATGTATTCCTTTTGCCTGTTACATACGTTTGCCAAAAATGAATTTACTCAGCTGCAGCCATTTTCAATGAGTACAGGGCATACAAAAAGAAAACAAGTTTTGTTCCAACTGCGATGACAGCGTTCATTTAAATGAGCCGCAATCTGTGCTGCTGCAACAACAACAACAACAACAGCAACTTGAGCGTCGCTGCCTGACCTGCTGCTCTACTACACTACAGAGAAGCAGCACTACAGAGAAGCAATGCCGCTCACTTGCACCAATACAAGCACAGATCCACACACGCACACGCACACATACACATGCATGCATTTGCCTGCACATAGGTCGAGGTTGTCGCGATTTTGGATGCTGCTTCCTCGTTGGCGGCTTAAAACAAAGGCAGCTAATGCATGTCGAAGACTGAATGCCCTTTCATTTCATCAAAAGTAGCTTCAAACAAAGAATTGCAATAGAAACAAAAGAAATAACGATTACATTTGGCACGCCATTAATTAACTAAATATATGTATGTATATTTATGTGGCTTACAAATGCTTTTGAGACAAAGCTTTTTTTCCGATCCATTGTGTTTATTACGGCCATATAGTAAACCGATTTAATACGGTTGTGATTAGTTACCTTAAAAAAAAAACAAAAACGTTTTCCATACAAACACCCATTATTTAACCGATTTTTTCAATAGAGATATACGATATAATCGTACGATTCTGATGGGTTTTTGGATACATAATAGGAGCATAATAAGGTCTGTAAATGCCAAGTTTGGGCCAGTTATGATGCGAATTAAACAAGTTTTTCATAATAGAACTGAAATTTTGACTGATTAATCCTATGGCAGCTATATAGTTTAGTACTGATAGAAGTTTCCTCATACAAGTATGTATATAAGGCGTGTTTGATCAAGTTATCTGTAAAATCAAGAAAAAATAAAAAATGTTGCACCGCTTCATGATACTTAATATATACTTCTGAGATCCGGATGATCTGCATTGGAAAGAGCTACCAAATAACTGAGAGACAAATGTCAGATAAACTCGTCTATCGATACCGATATAGAATATATATATGCACTATATGCTCAGCGTGTTCAATTATGCGTTACACATTTGGCGACAAACTTTGAATACCCTCAGGAAGTGTATAAGAAAAAGGAGACCAAAGATGTGTCGCAGTGGATGCTGCTGTTGCCAGCGACGGGCGGTTAGCACTGAATAGTGCATACCCTGCATTTTCAGTCTATGGAGTGTTTTTAACTATTTTCTTTTATTTTTTTTATTTTTATGGATCATCGAATCATTCGTTGAATACTTCTCTATACCATATGAATAATCTAGCTGAATGCATACTCACATTTTATTTATCCACGTAAAAACTGGTTTTCGTTTACAATTTACAAAAGTTGTTCTCAATTACCAAAACTAAATTTAGCAGCCTTTCGATTGACACACAATTCAAATTTCTATCAGAGTTTTTTTTTTATGTAGTTTTTGTTTTCGATAGTATTTTTTCTAAACTTTGTGTGAGGTGCAAAGCGATTTCTGATTGAGTTCAATAATTTTCATAATTATCATTATAATCGAAGAGATTCGCTCAACAAACAGTATTTCGATATCGATTTTTATCGATTGCTTGGAAACGGGGCAAGTTATCGATTATCGGAAACAAACTCGTAATTCGAGGGCAGTAGAAGGACCTACGTTCAAAATTTCAAGTCTCTTGCTCCTTTGGGCTCTGAGATCCTTGCGCTTATACATATGGACGGACAGACATAGCTCGATCGACTCGGCTATCGATGCTGATCGAGAATGCTTCCTTCTGCCTGTTACATACATCTGCACAAATGCACAATACCCTTTTTACCCATCTTCATTCAGGGTATAAAAAGTTAGAACCAGCAAGCTTGCCCTGAAGATTCAAATACCTGGCATACTATTCAAATACTATGGGGTATAACAAGCCGCATCACCCATTAAACTGGAAAAAAAGGGGGAAATAGTAAAGTGTTCGCATATTATTATTAATACAATGCACTCGTATCTCACGCAAAGCGATTTATGCTCGGGTCTACGTCAAACAAATGAGGGGAACCTACCTCCTATATCATTATCCCAAAACGGGCTGCCATTGACAGTTGCCAGTTGCCAGCTGAGAGTCGCGGCTTTTTATACCCTGCATCCATTGAAAACGGCTAAAAGGGGTATAATGTATTTCAGAAAATGTGTGTAACAGGCAAAAGGTAGCATCTGCGTCCACAGAAAGTATATATATTTTTGAACAGCATCAATACACAAGTCGATCTAGCCAAGTCCGTCCGACTGTCTGTCCGTCCGTCCGTCTGTCCGTATGTATGAACGGAAGGATCTCAGAACCTATAAGAGCTAGAGACTTAAAATTTGGAATGTAGGTCCTCCTAGTGCTCGCGCAGTAGGAATTTCTTTCCGATAACCGATAACCTGTTCCGTTGCCAAGCAATCGATAAAAATCGATATCGAAATACTGTTTATTGAGAGTATCTCTGCAATTTTAAGAGCTAGAGTCTTCAAATTTGACATGTAGGTTCTAGAGTAGTATATATATATATATGAAGTATCTTTAATTTTTTACGGTGATAGAAGAGGGTGCAGGGTATCTGCTAGTCGGTAGCTCCCCACAAGAGCCTCTCGCTTGTTTTTATATGCCTTTTCGGTGTCGTGTCTTGGCTTCTTCACGCTTCTTCTTCTTCTCCTGGCTTATATATATGTATTTCGTGGATCTGGTCTCGATGATTTGCAACTGGCATCGAGAGACTTGGGGGATGACTCGCGACGTTGTCTTTTGGCCGCCTGCACTTCATTTGACTTCGGCAGCAATTTCGAGCTTTTTTCTTATTTACTTTTTGTTGTTTATTAATTTGGTTTTAACTTTTTTTTTTTCGTACTTGCTTGCCGCTTACCCCTCCCGGCGATTGTGTAAGTGCCGCTGATTGCAGTTTTATGATTGCATTTTGTTTGCCTGACAAAATACACAATTTGCAAATTCGCATTGTGCGTAACCAGTTGCCGCGGCGCGGGGGATGAGTGTGGCAGGGGGAAGGGGGGTGGGGGGGAGAGAGAGGGTATTTGGAAAATATGTTTGCATCATCTTGACAATTTTCTTGGAAATGTATCCCGATTGAATAGCTGAAAAGCTTATTGAAAGCATTTCATAACATTTTTGTGCTCTGAGGTTTTTTTCTCTTATAAATTTATTGCAATTTCTTGTGTTTTTTTTTGATTTTTTTTTTTTTGTTTTATTTCTGCATACCAAAAATATCTTATCAGCTCGCCTTATCATAATTGTAGCGCGTTTTCTTGACACTCAGCTAAATTAGGTTCCACTTCACAAATGCCGCGACGAGTGCTCAATTAAGACAATTATTTCATATTAATTTATGTTTGTTCTATTGAAAATATATTTCATATGTTGCCAAAGTCTGATAATTGAGAGTTCAGACAGTTTATTTACACAAAAAGAAAATATCTTAACTAATTGGGAAGGCAGCTGAAACGTTCCGTTTTCTTCTCGCCTAGTTCAATTCCAGACAAAATATATATAATATAATAATAATAATAAATATATTATATTTGTTTTTAGATCAGAAAGAGTAGAAATTTCCAACTTACAATACGTCTCCGGATTTGGTTAATCCAAAAGCGTATAAAACTAACCTACTTTGGATCAAAAAGCTTCTTTTTTTAAAAAGGAATTTTAACAAAGACCTCTGAATATGAGTTTAAAGCCTATCCGGATCGGCAGAATAGTTGCATGCAACAAATTTCCGCTTAGTTTCCACAGTTGTGCGTGGAATTCCCATGATTCGTATTCATTAAGTTCTTTTGTAGCGCTTTGAAAATAAATTAGAAGCCAATCGGTTAAAACTTAAAATTTAGTCGAAAAAATAAATTTGTGGCCGATTGTGGATGGCAAACTAAAAAATTGTATGCTACCGCTTTTCGCGAGTTTTCCACTCTTGCGGGTGGAATTAGCCCGAATTAACGTGCACGTCCATCACATAAGATAACCTCTAGGTTTGAGCTGTGCGTTGATAATCGATCAGTCACTTATAATACAACAATCAAGAGGCTCTAGTCAGGAGTTCCTGATGTTCAAAATTGTATTTTTAAATTTCCAAGGCTCTAGCTCTCATAGGTGCTGAGATCTTGCGTTTATACATATGGACTGACAGACGGACATGGCTAGATCGACTCGGCTATTGATGCTGATCAAGAATGTATATACCTTCTGCTTGTTACATACATCTGCATCTTGTTGGTGTTTTGATTTATGGAAACTTTGGACCCAAGTTTCGCTTAGCTGAAAAATGTAATCTTTCCACTTGCTAAGACCCAAGACTTAGGCTATCAAATGCTTTTGTATATATGTAAGGATATATGTAAGCTAGAAAACAATGGGTTCAGGGCTAGCAGCTGGCTTGCCGCAAATCTCGTTTCGCGGGCATTGAAGCATTGAATTTCTCAAGTATATATTATATATATGTTTCAAGTCAGCTTGACCATAAAGTCACTTAGCTAAGCAGCTGCTGACTAAAAATTGCCTTCGCTGCCAATTTGATGAGTTTTGCGGTTCTCACAAACGCTTACGCGAAGGTGTTCAACAAATTGTCTGACCCTCAGCAAATGATGCATATAATTTGCAGTTGAATTCCAGGCAAAAGCGATTCATGTGCTCGCTGTGCGATTTATAAATTGCGTATACGCTGCGTATGCGTGATATTTGGACAGATTGCGCATACGCAGCGTGTGGCAGGCGAATATGCTAACTAGAATCGAGAAGCGGCAGCAAGTGCTGCGATTTGCGAACGTGCAACAAATTTAAAGAAAACAAAAAAAAAAAAAAAAACAAAGGCAGATGTTAATCAACTAATGGCCAGCAGCGGCAACAGCAACAGGTAAAAGGGGCAACAAGTTGCAAGTTGGGCTGCAGCAGCCGTTGCTTATGTAATGGGAAAGGTGCAGTTAATGCTGTGGCTGAGGTTGCGGCTGCTGCTGCTTCGGCTGCTGCGGATGCAACACAAACAAGTCGCCACCAACGCTGGCAGATGCTGCTGTTGCTGCTGTTGCTGCTGCTGCTGTTGCAGATGGGACAGCAACAGTTTGTTGCCTGTTATGACTTGTTGCCACTGCCTGGCTGGCTGGCTGGCTGTATAAGGGCAGGGGTTATGGGAGCGGGGGGGGGGGGGGACTCTGCGGGCGTCTGGCTGAGTCTCACTTTCGCCTAATGGCAATGATGCGGCAGCATTTGGCCCATATTGCCAGGCACACTCACACCAACACACACACACAGCGAGAGAGAGACAATGTTGCAGACGGTTGGCAATAATCATGACAACGGCGGGAAAAATCGTAGATGCCACACACCGCAACACACCCCACGGCCTGCCTTGGTGCATGCATAGCGAATGGTTTTTGGAAAAACGTTTTTCCGGTTAATGTGTGCCAACTTGGTAGTTGGGTATAAAAGTCTGCTCAGCCAGCTCTGGTCATGTCAGTGTTGTTTCGTGCTCCACTCCAAGCAGCCAGCGCAGGATATCACAAGAGCAACAACATACTTATATATAATTATATGTATATATATATATATATATATATATACCGATCAATCAGTTAACAAAGTAATCGCATAATTCAACGTGCAGCCATGAAAGTACGTACGGTGCCTTTCGAACGTGTCAATTTACTCGCCGCGTGCAACATTTAAATTTTTTTTTTTTAATTACAATTTTTTATTTATTTTTTTTATATTTTTGTTGTGTTTGTGTTGCCAGAGACTTGAGGATTATATTGGTTTATTGTTGTTGTCGCCAGCTAGGACTTTATAGTTTTTAAAGTCACAGTTTTGCATTCACAGGGAAAACAAACTTGGTTTCACACGATCACTTCCATTTCCGCAAATTGTCAACAAGTGCAGTTCACGATACCGAAAATCGGCTACAGTTTTAGAGTCACTGTTTGTAGTTTACAATTTTAGAGTCATAGTCGAGAGACTCACAGTCAGAGATTTTTAGCTCGACGGATCACAGCTGAGTAGCCGCAGTAGCATATTTAGTTTAACGTCAAGGATCTAGGTTTTAGAGTCACAGTTTGATTTATCAGTTATCGAATCATAGGCCAAAGAGTCTCAGCTCAGGGATCACAGTTTTAGATTCACCGTTTGTAATTTACAGTTGAAGAGTCATAGTCGAGAGAGTCACAGTCTCACAGTGCCAGCTTAAGGATCAAAGTTTTAGAGTCACCGTTTGTAATTTACAGTTGTGAAGTCATAGTTAAAAGAGACACAGTCTCAGAGTCCCAATCTCAAAGTCTCAGCTGAAGGATCACAGTTTAGTGGACACATTAGCAGATTTAATTAAAAGTAATAGTTTTCGAGTCACTGGCCAACGGGCACAGTTTGCGAGCTATAGCCCAACAGTTGCTAATAGTTACACATTTTAAATTCACAGTTTTCGAGTCACCGTTTTAGAGTCACAGTCAATATATTTAGAAGTTCAGCGGCACAGTTTTGAAGGCGCAGTAATATGTTAAGGGGATTAGAGTTTGAGAGTCGAATCTTAGAGTCACAGTTTTAGAGCCCCAGCGGCATGTTAAGGAACTTAGAGTCACAGTTTCAGAGTCAACGACTAAAGGACACAGTTTTGAAAGTCCCATGTCTTTCAGAATCACAGTAATTGAGTCACAACTTAACAGGCATAGCTAAAGAGTCACAGTTTGCGAGTCACAACAAACAAATCACAGTTTTAGAGCTATAGCGAATAGATTTAAAAGCTCAGAGGCACAGTTCTAGAGCCATAACAGTATATTTGCACATTTAGACTCACAGTTTTGGAGTCCACCATTAAAAAAGTACAGTTTGAGAGTCACATAGTTGTTGCTAACTGTAACAGTCATTGTTGAGAAATCACAGTTGGCGAGTCACAATTGTCAAGTCACAGTTTTAGAGCCGCATAAGTATATTTCGAGGCTTAAAGTCACAGTTTTAAGGTCAACGACTCGCAGTTTGAGAGTCATGTAGTTGTTGCTAACTTTCCTGTTGCTTTTTCCATTGCAGGCCTTTGTCTGTCTACTGCTGATTGGGGCGGCCAGCGTGACGGCCAAGCCTAAGCCAGGTGGTGGCGGCTGGTCCTCAGGCGGCGGCGGTGGTGGCGGTGGCGGCTGGTCTTCGGGCGGTGGCGGCGGCGGAGGACATGGCGGCGGCGGCGGCGGCGGTGGCGATGTGCAGGTGATCAAGGTTATCACCGAAAGCGGCGGTGGTGGCGGTGGCGGCGGCTGGTCCTCCGGCGGCGGCGGCGGCGGCGGTGGTGGTGGCTGGTCTTCGGGCGGTGGTGGCGGCGGACATGGAGGCGGCGGCGGCGGTGGCGATATAAAGCTCATTAAGATCATCAGCCTGGGCAGCGCTGGCGGCGGCGGTGGCGGACATGGCGGCGGTGGCGGCGGCGGCTGGTCCTCCGGTGGTGGCGGCGGCGGCGGCGGCGGCTGGTCCTCCGGCGGTGGCGGCGGCGGCGGCGGTTCTACCAAGGTCATCAAAATCATTAAGCTGAGCGGCGGCGGCGGCGGTGGCGGCGGACACGGCGGCGGCGGTGGCGGCGGCGGTGGCTGGTCCTCCGGCGGCGGCGGCGGCGGCGGTGGCTGGCAGCCAGCTGGCGGCTGGGCCTAAGCCCGACCAACCAACAAAATTAGCCAGGCGCCTGTAAATACTGTATATAATTGAGACATGATTTTTTGTTAATTGTTGTTAATTTTTTTTTTTTTTTAATTTTTTTATTGATTTCACAAAATTTTCTATGTAAACGAAAAGAAAAAAAAATGTTGTAATTATTTAACCAAATGTATTTTTTTGTATTATACAATATTGCACATCGTTTGGCCCGAAACTCGGCCAAAAGACTACCGAATATTTGCAGACAATCGAAATAAATATTATCAACTGTTATTTAAAAATTTGGCGTCTGTTGTCTTTAAAACCGCGTAGATCCATAAATCAACAACTGAAGAATCATTGTGCGCTGATAATGATATAATGCCGGCCCGCAAAGCGTTTTGTTTAAAGCCACGCGAAGAAAAGCTGCTCTAAAGTGATTTTAGTTTTTTTTTTTTTTTATATATTTATAGCTCTTGTCGGGCGCGATTTATCAAAGGTTGAGCAAAAGAAATGGGTCTGGCGTATGCGACGCGCTGATGACCTCTGTGTGTGTAGATGTGCGAGAGTTGGACCAGCAAGCGAGAGGTTGCCGGCTCAAACCCAAAAGCATTCTTTTCTCTATAGCTTTAATATTTGGTCTTTGGGTCTTAGATTTCGACAATTACACAATTACAATTTCTCTTCTATTTATTATAATAGATTTTATTCTAATTTATCCTAAAAGATATAGAAATATTCGTGCTGAAAGACACTTCTATGCCAGAAGGGTTTCTCCAATATTTTGATCTTATATATATCATGTATTCTCGTTAAATAATTTATTTATTACAATATTATACAAGATTTATACTATGCAATATTATGTTGTATCTGATTCCTGAACCTTGAACCTGCATTCATGTCTATAAGAATCGAGAAAGTAAGCATACCGAAGATTTAATACCCTTGCACATGTTGTGAGAAGGTTGAACTCTTGTAAATTCGGAGTTTTGATGAAAACATCTAGGAAAACAGAATATTTTGCCATACAAGAATCTACTTTTCGACCGATTCTTCCCATAGAGCTATATAATGTAGTATATGTAAGCATATCAAGATATCTTGATAAACAAACAAATGTTTAATTTTCGATCGATCGTTCCAATGGCAGCTATATGATATAGTGCTACGATCCAATTCCGACATATGTACGGGCAAAGTTGGCTATATCCAATCGGCTATTGCTGCTGATCTAGAATATATATACCTTATAGGTTCGAAGATGTCTTCTTCTATGCCTTACACATTTGATGACAATAATAATAATACCCATAAAAATGTTTTCTAACGTACTTTCCCATGTTTGACTTCAGCTTAAATGTAACTCCTGCTGCCCAAATGCGTGGTATCTTCTCGTCGAGCATGCCTGAATTGCCTGCCTGGCCCTGGCTTGTCGCCTGCCAAAGCTATTGTTGCCAAATTGCTCAATTTGTTAATAACAAATAAATAGTTAATAAATGGCAATTAGCAAATGGTAAAATGTTGCGAACAAAAAAAAAAAAATAAATAAATACAAAAAAAAAAACAAAACGCGCGCGTGCTTAGTTTTTGATGCGTTTTTAGCCGCTGGCGTTTTTCTGCTTGGGCCACACACGTGTCGCCATAGATTTTTCCCAACGAAAAGCTGCATAAAAACAAAAAAAAAAAAAAAAAAACAAAAAAACCAAAAACCGAAACTGAGAGCCGCGCCGTGGCAGGTGAAAGGTCGCCGTTGTTGTGAAGGACATGTGTAAATGGTGTGATTGAACAACGATTGAGCGATTGATTGATGTAATTGGGTTTAATCAAACTGCCAGCACAATTTGCTAATGCTAATTATGAGAAGCCATAGGTAGGCCAGAAAGCTGATGCGACCAACACGTTTGCCACACATTAAAAGCCCATTAAAGATCAGCCAGCCCCCCTCCCTTCCCCGTCCGACCGCTGCATTAATTGTGTGTTTCCCCATCCATTCAGATTTGCATCCATAGCCATGCATAATAGATGATGCCAATCAATGAATCTCAGGTTCCAGCTTAAAGCAAAAAATCGAAATGAACTAAAACCGAAACACGCCCCAAAAATCGGCGGCGACGCTTTGGCTGTCGCGGCTGCTGCCTGTTCCCAAAATGCTCGATGCTTTATGTATCAATTAGCTGGCTTGGCAACCCAGCTGAGGGGGGAGGGGGGACGGGGGGGGGGGTTTGTGGTGCCTGCAGGGGCTCAAGGTGGGCAAACCGCGAAGAGCCCAAACAGCCAACCGACAACTTCAGCGCCTAACGCGAGGCGTTCGTTGAGTTGTAATATCTGAAGCATACGTAAGTTGGCAAACCGGTTACTTTTATTGTGCTGGTTCAAACCCGAAATTACATTTTATAGCTTCATTTTCCCTATGAACCGAACCGGTAGCCGGTTGGTCAAGAAATAGTTAAAAGGCAAACCGAATCCCTATAGACATCATAAAAAATGAGAATGAGGAAGAGGGAGAGAAAGAGAGAGAGAGAGAGGGAGAGAGGGAGAGAGAAAGAGAGATAGAGACGGAGTTATAATCAGAGATAAAGGTTATAAGCTTCCGTCAAACAAAGCATGAAAACCGGCTAGGCCTACTTGTATATGTGAGAATCGCATAGTAGGGCGATATTTGAAAAGTTAATTTTGTGCAGCACAGTAATATGTAAAATAGAGTAGGTAAGTAGGCTAGAATTCCGCGATTATCCTCAATCAGTCGATCAATAAGTGAGCATCAATCAGTTATATATATATCTTTATAGATTCTTTTGTGTGTTTGGATTGATTTTGATGCATTTTTGCTGTGAACCTCAACTTGGATCTTGTAGGTAGCGCTGCCATTGAATGCTTTTTTATATTATATATTTTGACTGTTATTTTTTTAAAAATTTGTATAAAGATTTATCCTCCAAATACCCGTTTCCAATCATATATATATTTATATACAGATGGATATAGTTGATATATTTTTATATCGAGTGCCCCTCGCTGCGAATTTCATATTCAATATTGTTTTCCCTTTCTTTGCATATGTTTTTTGTTGATTTTATTTTGTTATAGTGTGTTTTTTTTATGAGCACAGGCATTGGCATGCTTTTTGTTGGGACAACTTTTGGCATTGTTTTACGGGTGTTGCCGTTGCTACCTGATTGTTTAGCTGGGGATTGGGATTGTAATACTCGGCGATACAATAGCTATACGAGTATCTTGTCTCTGACATTAACGCGCCGAACACTTAAAACATTGATAAATAGGCTTACAAGACAATTCATGTAAATGCAAATCGACAAAGACAAAGGGAAAAGATGGGGAAAAAATGACAAACAAAAAATATGCCAGCTTTGGCCTTTGGGTATATTATAGATTAAATATTTGTTATGATTGAAGAAGAGTTGAAATTAATTTATTAGCTTGAATCGATTTTAGAGCCTTGTTTGAATAGAATAACATCAAAGAAATACCAATAACTATTGCGCAATATAATAATAATAAAAAAAAATACTTCCATAGTAAACGACAATCATGTTAAAGTGGTCTAGTCGGGCGTGTCCGACCAGAATATACCCTGCCGTTACATATATCAAAATACACACAAACACAAACTATCTATATCTATAGGAAATGCATTCTTGGGTAACTTCGGTCTTTATAGTCCGATATTTATGAAATTTACTTCATAAAACATACCAAAGGGCATAGCTGGCACTTCTAAATCTAGGTGTTTTTCAATTTCTATAGATAACGGAGGAGGTATGCCAAAAAGTGCTATATGCTTTATGTGTGTATTCTATGCTAGAAGCTGCACGTCCAGTTTGGTGTTGCCAGCTCTTAAAATCCTGGAGTTCGTGCCTAAAAGACCAAGTCACACCATCGATATTTATCGATACAATTTTTAAAAAGGAGATATCGATTAAATATTAGCTACTTGTTTTTATATTTGTAGTCTTTAGCTTTTATAATCTTCAAGTGCTTAATGAAGACTCACAATCGATATTTATCGATAGTTGTAAGCAACGGGCAGGCGCTATCGAACAAATATAAAAAACTTTTTATTTTTGTTCAAATTTGTAGTCTTTAGCTTGTATACAAATAACAAATAAGGTTGTTTTCCAAATTTAAATTTTTTAAATTTTAAAATCTTCGAGTTTGTGCTTTAATGACCAAGGCTCACAATCGATATTAATCGATATTATAAAACAGGCAGAAGATATCGAATAAATATCAAAAACTTTGTTATTTTTTTCAAAAGGTTGTTTATCGATATTTATCGATAAAATAATGAAAACGGAACGAGGTATCAAACAAATAAAGCAAAGGGTTTTTTTTCCAAAATTTGAATCTTCGAGTTTGTGCTTAAATGACCAAGACTCACAGTCGATATTATGAAACAGGCAGAAGATATCGAATAAATATCAAAAACTTTGTTATTTTTTTCAAATTTTAAGTCTTTAGCTTTTATAACCCCCGAGATAATCCACACAGAATGACAGATGATCCACTCAGCGCGTCGTACTGTCCAAAATAAGAAAAACTCCATGAGCTGAGCAGATGCCTCCTTCGGCCTGTTACTGGCAGCTAGCCTTTTGTTAGTCATTTTATTAGATTATTTTATTTTGTATTTTTATAGCATGTCGATAAACAAATAATTTGTTAAACAGATTTCGGTTGCTTTTGTTGTCCGTCTCTTAGGGGTGGTCAGTTATGGCCCATTCAGTTGGCCAACTTGTTAACGTTTTTTGTCTCGAACAGTTACTTCAGCTCCGGCCTACTAGCTTAATTCATGGGCCAAGGTTAATTGTTAGGAAAGTGACACAAATAAATATAGGAAAAACAACGAAAAATGCCGAAGAAATATGGCTGGAAAAATATTTTGATGTCTGTGCCATTGATTGACATTGAATAAATTTTTATGAGTGATTCGGAAATAGATTTGGATGCATTTTCAAAAGTGAAAGTATTCAAAATTAGTAGCCGAAATGAGTGTGTGAACATCTGCTTCTCCCCCCTTCGAATTGAAAACCATTTTCAATATTCCCACAGCATTCGTGCGGCCAGACGTAACGCGAGCCAGAAGGTTAACCAATAAGAAAAAAAAAAACCAAAATTAAAAATGTGAATGAAATGTGATCTGGTTTAAGCGTGAACCAAAATTAGTTAGTCAAGCTTAGATGTATTATGGATGTCATTGGCATATATTGCTGACTCTCAAATTATTGCAAATTCATTTCGCTCGACAGATACTTATCATATCCAAAGAGTGAAGAGAATAGCTTCGAGTCTATAAAGTACTATGATATAGGAGACTTGAAACTAGCAAAGAAGGTACAGAAAGCGGGAGGTATGCAGAATCGGATATATATTTATAATCTAAAATTAGAGAGTCTGAGAGAGGAGAGAGAGAGAGATAGAGAGGGGGAGAGAGATAGAGAGAGAGAGAGAGTAAGAGTAAGTATAAGAAGAGATTAAATTTATTGGGTTCCCAACACATGAAAACTTCTCAGGCTTACTTGCATGCATGAGAATCGCATAGAAGGGCGATATAAACAAAAATATTTATTAAGTCTGCAGTTGAACGACAATAAAAGAATGAAAGAAATATTTAAAAAGAGTAAGAGTGGAAGCAGAGATAAAGTTTATTGGATACGAAATACATTTGTGTATATAATACTTAACGGCAAACTAAGAAAACTTCTCAGGCACATTTAAATTCATGAGAATCGGATAGTAGGGCGAGAAACGATTTTCTTAGTCTGCAACTAAACGGCAAAGAAACAAAAATTTATCTGCGTTTGCTAACGAAAAAAAGAGAATATATTCATAAGCAAATACACACATATATTGATTTATGTATTTGAGCATGAAGTATATTGAACTCCTTATTCTTCTTTACGCAATATTCTTAAACACTTTGCAAGTAATTTTGAAAATGAATTTCTTTTAGGCAACAAAAGGCTCGAAATCATCAAAATAACGTGCATTGAATGAAAAATGACTAAGAAAAAGTCAATATAAGTTTAAAGCTTAACAATTAATTTAAATTTTTATTTCATTGATTTTTAGCTGTGTATTAAAAGCGGTATAAAATAAAAACTTGAGCTATTCCACGAAGCCGAGTCTCGAGATTTTGTGCATAAAATATATACAAACAAAATATTTGTTTGAAAATTATAAAAATTTGTTTATTTGTCATTTTAAGAGGGGTTCGTCTCAATTAATTGCTGAACATGTCCAATAAATGAATATTAATGCAATTTAATTAAATTATTGCCGCTGCCGTGCCGTATATATATATATATATATATATACATGATCTATTAGATAATGCCGCGGCCTGTGCCAAATGCAATGCATATAAAACTCTTTCATCAATATTTATAGACAACATATTTAAGAGCTTGGCCCAGAGGCAAAGGCACACCCAACTTCGAGACGTTCAGCCAGCATTTTATGGGCCCGCATAACGATAAGACGATAGGCGATAGGCGATAGACTCGTATGCATCGATATCACTTCCCTAATGAGCCGACACGTATATTAGCACATAATTAATTGCCTGGCATTAAAAACTGGCCGCAGCTACCAGCTAAGTATATGGTATACACCCATTTCCCCTGCCCGAATCGGAACCCCTTTAAGCTAATGATATAATAATTTTGATTTTTAATTTATTTTATTTTTATTTATATTTTTTTTGGCATTGTTAGGCAATGACAGAAAACTTTAGCAAATATTTTCGTAAGACGCAATCAGATTAAATGAGGCATATCTGCATATGGACGTACCAAGAGCTGGAATACGCTCTAGATAGGGTATAATGACTGTGCGCCAAACTATGTAACAGGCAGAAAGGGGCAGTTCCGATCCCATTAGATCGATCTAGTCGTGTTTGTCTGTCATTTGGGACTTCAGATTTATCTATCGATATCTCCTTCCTTTTTCTAAGTATCGATAAATATCGATAGGCAGAAAGGGGCAGTTCCGATCCCATTAGATCGATCTAGTCGTGTTTGTCTGTCATTTGGGACTTCAGATTTATCTATCGATATCTCCTTCCTTTTTCTAAATATCGATAAATATCGATTAGTATAGTAAAGTATCGAGATAGTAGAGTAAAGTATAGTATATAATACGCCTAAAAAGGAAAGAAAAACTCCTTGTGCTTATATTTAGCCGCTGAAATTCGCAAAAAGATCGGACTATAAGCACCGAAGTAACTCAAGAATGCATCTCCCATAGATGTGTGTGTGTGGCAAAGGAAGAATTCACTGATTGTAGGGTATCGCCTAGTCGCACACGCCCGCCCAGAGCGCTCTTACCCTCTTTCGGACTTGCAGTCCTTCTATACATATATGCATTGGGCTAACCCAGTTTGTTCTCTAAACAGTACAAAAAAAAAGCAAGAATTGAAAAAGCAAGAAAATTGAAATTCAAACAAATGAAAACAAGTTTCATGAATTTGGATGATGCACAATTTGGGGCTAAGCTTTAATTATGGAGCTAATAAATTGTTGTTGTTGTTGCTGATGTTGTTGTTGTTGCTGTTGTTGTTGTTGTTGTTGTTGTTGTTGTTGTTGTTGGCATATTAATAGCATCCGCACTGCGCATACATCCGCGGAATTGGCATAGTGTCGAATTTCGGAGCATTACGAATGAAATGTTTGTAATAACTCAATAAATAATTTGCATTTCAAGCGAGCTAGAGAAAGAGAGAGCGAGTGAGAGAGAGAGTGGGAGAGAGAGAGTGGGAGGGAGAGAGAGGGAGCGAGCTAAAAGCTGAAGCGCAGCTGCCAAAAATGTTGCGCATGCGCCACGTTGAATTAATGAAAGGCCAGCGCAGTGTGTGGACCATGGCATTGGGATGGCATCAAAGAGACACACACACACACACACATGCAGAGCCAGAGCTACTGAAGACTGAAGCAAATGCTGAACTAATGCGCGCCCTTGTATAAAATGCGTGGCCCGGTGAAGCTGGGCCATCATTGAACGATTGGACATCGAGGGCTCAAGCACGACCAACGTGAAGATGAATGTAAGTGCAACAGCAGCAGAAACAGCAACAGCAGCAGCAACAGCAGCAGCAACAAGTGCAAGTGATCAGAAAAAAAGAACACAAAAAAACTAAAAACCAAAGGACTTAAAAGTGTTATGCAATATAAAAAATATGTTATGCAATTTCTAAATATCACAATTTACATAGTAGAATTTTTTTTAATGTGCTAATTTTGTTGTCTATTTTTGTTTTGTTTTGTGGCCAAAAGTTAATTGGCGCCTTGTTAACGCTCGCCGCCGCCTGCTCGCAATGTGGATTAATCGCTGCGGATATATCGCTGAAGCCGCCGAATCGGTTCGAGGAGAGCAGCTATGGCAATTCGGGCTATCAGATCTTCGAGGTGCACAATCATTACGAGGGCAAGGCTCGTGCGTCGTATCTGCCGCCCGCGCAGCCCAGCCACGAGGAGATACACATACATCAGCAGGCGCCACAGCAACATGCTGCCAGTGCAACGGCAACAGCTGCCGACGATGACAACCTGGATGTATCGTATCTGAGCTTTGCCGATGACGATGGCCATTTGCAGGCAACTGTTGCCCGACCATTGCCGGTGGCAACTGTTGCCCGGCCATTGCCGGTGGCAACTGTTGCCCGGCCATTGCCGGTGGCAACTGTTGCCCGGCCATTGCCGGTGGCAGCGACTGCAGCTGCTTCGGTGCCGTTTCCCTCCAGCTATCAGCATGATTTTCAACGCAAGCAGACGCAACAGCAGGCTGTGGCTTATAGCGCGCAGCCCTATTTGCCGCCCACTGCTGCCACGCCCAGCATACAACAGCAGCAGGTATATCAATCCACAGGCAGCGGCAGCTTGAGCTCCGTGTTAAGCTCAACGGCACCGCAGGTATTCTCCGAGCCACCAGCAAGCTATCAGGCGCCTGACTATTTGCCACCCACCGCCAGCAGCTTGGAGCAACAGCAGCAACAGCTCGTCCCCAATCCTGTCTATAGGGCCAACGATTACTTGCCGCCCACAGCAGCAACAGCTGGCAGCTATGCACAGCAGCAACAACTGCAGCAACAGCAACAACAGCAACAGGTGTATCGTGCACCGCCCTATTTGCCACCCATCAGCAGCAACAGCATTGCCAGCAGCAGCAACAGCATTGCCAGCAGCAGCAGCATCGCCAGCGGCAACTCGCTGCAATCAAATTACCGTGCGCCTGGCTACCTGCCACCTGGCTATGACTTTGCCAATCCAGAAATTTCGCAGCAACAGCAGCTGCCAGCAACGCAGCAACTCGCACAAACTGTGCCGCAAGCAACACTGCCACTGCCAACGGCGACAACAGCTGAATATCATGCTCCTGGCTATTTGCCGCCTGGCTATGACTTCAACAATCCCAATCAATTACCATTGGATCAAATCATAGAACAGCCACAGCTGCCAGCACAGACAGTTGCTGCCGTGCAGCCAGCAACAGTTGGTGAGTATAGTGCACCAGACTATTTGCCGCCTAACTACGATGGGGCCAAGACACAGCCACAGCAACAGGGCAATCACAATTATCAGGTATCGCAGCAGCAGCAACAGCAACAATTGCAGCTGCAGCAGCAGCAGCAACCGTTGCAACAGCAACAACAGCTCAGCCATCCTGGCGCGCTGCCAGAGGGTTATGAGTTTAGCAAGCCCGAAAACTTTGAGGCCGCCATTGCCGAGCTGCACAGCCTGCAAACGCAAACGAAATTGCTCAAACAGCAGCAGCAACAGCAGCAGCAGCAACAGCAGCAGCAGCAACAGCAGCAGCAGCAACAGCAGCAACAGCAGCAGCAGCAATTGCAGCTGCAACAGCAACAGCAACAACGGCAACAGCAAGTGCAGCCACGACGTCAGGCTGTCCAACCTGGCTCTAATATAATTTACGGCGTGCCCAAGCAGCAGCAGCAACAGGTAAGGACAACAGCAACTGCAAGCAGCACGCTGGCAGCAGCAACAACAACAGCTTATCGGGCGCCCGCTGTAATTGCCGCCCCACTGCCCGCTCCGCCCACACAGCACACACACATACACGCGCTGAGCAGCTATATGAACACAGTACAGCCGTATGCACGCTACGGACAGCCACAGCAGCAGCATGCACAGCAGCAGCATGTGCAGCAGCAGCAATTTGTCCAGGTGGCGCCAATGTACCGTGAGCAATCGAAGCGTCCGCTCTTCTATGCGCCAGCCATGCCCTACGCTCGCAATGCACTGCCCACGCAGTACCATCAGCACCATCACATACATCACGTGCAACGGCAACACCAGCAACAGCAGCAGCAGCAACACCATCAACAGCAACACCAGCAGCAGCAGCAGCAGCAACAGCAGCAGCAGCAACCGCTGCAGCTGCCACGGCCTGCGCTCAGCCTGCAGGCGCAACAGTCGCTGCAAAAGTTCATGCCACGCGAAATGCAATTGGCCGTCAATGTGGCTGTTGCTGCTGCCGCGCCTGTTGCACGTGGCAGCTCCAAAGTGCGCACCGTACAAATTGTGAAGCCGCATGCGGTGCGCACATTCAAAGTGCTCGAAACACTCGATGCTGCCGGCGTGAAGACCATCAAGATACTGGGCACCAGCAATGAGCAGCCGCGCGGCCAGCATCATGTTGTCAAGGTGGTCACGCAGGATGAACACAATGTGGAGAATCACGTGCAGACGGTAAAAATCTACGATGATCAGCAGGAGTATCAACAGCAGCAGCAGCAGCCACAGCGCCAGCCCCAGCCCCAGCCCCAGCAGCAGTCGGTGGCGCCTCACGGTTACCTGCCACCCTTGGCTGTGGCCAGGCCACGTGAGCGCGTTGTGCGCCAGACGAGGCCGCTGCGTCTGCTGCCCGTGCCCAGGCATTGAGATAACCAATCCGCCTCCCACACACACACACACACACAAACTCACACACACACTCACGCACACAGCCGTAGCACTGATTAGTTGTTTAATTTCATCATATCGAATCGAATTTGTTAGCGTTTTGCGCGCTGTTTAAAACGCGCGCTTCATTATTTGAACCTAATTTCTATGTTTTTTTTTTTGCTCGTTCAACTTAACCGATTTCCTAACTAATAAATTTACTTATATATATGTACATAAATTGAGTTTTCATTGTTTGTCCAGAGCATGGCCGACTGGCAGTTACCCTGTATCTGAGAATATTCGAGCGTGATAAAAAGACTGAACGATAGACAGAGAGGCTGGCTGACTCACTGATAGACTGACTGAATGATTGACTGACTGACTGACTGACTGACTGACGGACTGACTTACTGACTGACTGACTGATTGAGGTACGGACTGACTGATTGACTGACTGACTGACTAACTGACTGACTGACTGATTGACGTACGGACTGAGTGATTGTCGACGGACTGATTGAATAACTGACAGACAGATTGACTGACTGATTGACCGACAGACAGATAGATTAGTTGACTGACTAACTGACTGACGGAAGGATCGACTGAGTGACTAACTGATTGATTGACTGACTGACTGACATGCAGACTGATTGCAGGACAGAATGACATGGCTAAAGAGGCTCAGATCGAATATGTCTCTCAACTTTTGTTCAGCTACCTCTGTAAGCCATATCATACCCATTGACGCTCTTTTAATGGGTATAGCGATCAATCGCTTTGCGAAGCTTAAGCTGCGCTTAGCTGACCTTCGCCGCATTTTCGGTTTTCGATTCGTTTTGTGGGGTTTAATTTAATGTTTATCTCTAAATTGGCTAATACGGCGCGGCCCTAGCAACAGGGCTTAGAGAAAGTCACACGAACACTCATATGTAAATTTAATAGTTGGCGGCGCTTTGTTTGCCTTAGTGCTGTGACATGATATTTGGCTATGAAAATTCAATGAAAAACCCACAAAATGGGCCGCAACAATGGGAAACTCGAACAAATGCCAATCAAATCATAATCAAAGCCCAATCGATGCTCGTTCATTACAACTGATTGATCAGTCGTCTCTCTGGCTCTGTCCATCTCTTTCACTCTCTCTTTGTTACTCATGACTTTTATTGCCTTGTGACATAACTGGGATGACACACAACTGGGCTACACCCAGACCCAAGTGACGAGCCAATGGGCCAATGTCATCGGGTGACGGGTTTATTTGTCAGTTTGTCAAATGTTTTGTCTTTCCTTTTTTTGTCTACTTGTCTCAATCTGTCCACATGTTTATCTTTCTATTTGTACTCATTGATCTCGGGAACTGTTACAGCTAGAAAGGCCGAATTTGTTATGTTGACACTTGTTTTGGATTTTGTGTCTTTTAACTCTCAAACGGATGCAATCGCATGCCCTGTACTTGGATATGTTTTAAGAGCGGGTAGCATGCAATTGCTAAAGTATGATCAAAATTATAATATAACTATATATTAGCATTTATCGTGCTTTCCAGCTACCTGTTGAACTCTCAGCACGAGGTCGTCGAGATGTTAGGAACAAGTTTTGTTTTGGGTATTTTGGAAGGGCGGTAACCAAACGCGAAGTACTCTCAATCTGTGTATACTTTGCGAGAATCTACAAACGAAGTTTAATGCATAGAACTTGTAAATTCTTCGAGTCTTTAAATCTATACTTTTCGATATGATGTAAATGACAAACCGTATCGATTTTTATCGATATGATGAACATTTATCGATTTTAATCGATTTGATAAACATTTATCGATTATTACCGATATGATGAAAATATGAGGAGATTTTGATGTAAAAACGTCTGTCTTGAAATCAATATTTATCGATATGATGTAAATGTATCGATATAGATCGATATGATGAACATATATCGATTTTTATCGATATGGTGAAAAAATGAGGAGATTCACATGCGGAAAAAAGCATGTCTTTAAATCAATATTTATCGATATGATGAAAATGTATCGATATTTATCGATATGATGAAAATGTATCAATTTGTATCGACATGATGAAAATGTATCGATATTGATCGATGTGACGAAAATATGAGGATATTCAAAGGCAAAAAATGGCATGTGTTTCAATCAATATTTATCGATATGATAAATTATTATCGATATAATAATAATATAAAGAGATGCATATGCAGAAAAAGGCAGCTTCAAGCCTTTCAAAGTAGATCCTATGCCTAAGCAGTCAACTTTTAAGACTAAAGCTTGTATTTTTCTAATACATGTGATTTTATATCATCTGGTCAGAGTTTAATAAGGTTTCGATAGGGAATACAATAGCTATTTAACTAAATAGTGCAAAAAAAAATTCCTCTATGTACATGTGAGCGCTATTACATAAGGTTAACCTGAGGCAACAGTACGGGGCATTGCCTAGTCTATCAGACTCATCTATAACACACTCACTGCCTTCGGCCTGTTGGGACGCGCCTTTAGGTCCAGCCAAATGCCGCCCTTGTGGGCGCCCACAAAGATAAACGGATCCAGTTCGATGCCATCAAGGGTACGTCCATTGACAAGCACCTCGTACCGCCTGACAATGGCCGCCAGCGCGGCCTTGGTTTGGGTCAGGCCCAGGCGTATGCCCACACACTGACGCGGTCCGTTGCCAAAGCCCAGAAAGACGCCCAGCTGTTGGAATCGCTTGAGACCGCCATTGAGAAAGCGTTCGGGTCGAAACTCTTGCGGCTCTGGATAATAGTTGGGATCATGATGCAGTCCATAAATGGGTATCATGACATTGTCACCCGGATACATTTGCAGCGGGCCGCTGTGATGGCTGCCATGAAAGGTGTAGGGCTCTGTGCAGGTCTTGGAGGCCCAACCGCCAGCCGGATAGATGCGCAGGCTCTCTGCAAAAGGATAGAGAGAGTGAAATCTATTACAAATAAAGCACAAACATTAATATGCACACAGGTGTATGTGCGTATCATAAATGCTGAAACAAGAACGTTTACGAATGAAGCACAAAGAAGAAAATACGAAACATAGCATAGCGTGTGTACATGTGTGTAAAAGATAGAGGAAGCAAAAGTTGCAACAAATGCTAATACGAAAACGTTTACGAATGAAGCACAAAGAAGAAAATGTAAATCGATGCACAAACATACACATAAGCAGATGTAAAGGGAGAGAAAGCAAAAGAAACCGCTTACATATTATGCTTAAGTACTTGCCAACACAAAAACGTTTACGAATGAAGCACAAAGAAGAAAAGTTAAGCTTCTATGTATGCATATGTGAGCAATGTTAGGTAATGTCCGAATTTAACCCACCATTTAAACAGGCACTCAAATAGGGCAGCTCACTTAACAGCTCAAAGTCGGGCAGCAGTTGATCTGCGGCACAGGCCTTGTCCAGCTCCAGCCACAATCGCTGCTGGCACTCCGGATAGCGGCCGAGCTGGGAAGAAATAAGCCGCAGCTTAGCTCAAGTTTGTGCTGATTGCGAAAGGCGACTCACGAGTAGGAGACAATGCGCAATTGTCGAGGATGTTGTGTCCAGGCCATCGAACATGAAGGTCATCGCATGCGATGTCAGCTGTGCTTCGGTGAGCTGATAATCCCGCTGCATGTCCAGCAGATGATTGATGAAATCGTTGCGCTCCTGTCGCTTGCAGCGCCTCAGACGGAATGCCTCGTGCAGCAGATCGCCAAAGAAGCGATCGTATGTGGGCGGTATGACCTTGGGGCGCAGGCAGCGCGGCAGGCGCGGAAAGAGGCCGTTCAGGGCGCCCGCCAGGGCCAGCCGGTAATTATCCTCAGACATCGCCTTGTTGTGCTCGGCAACGGGCAGCGGCGCATCGGTAAAGCTGCGTGCCTCGATGCCCAGAACGCAGTCGAAGAGATTCTCGCTGGTGAAGCGCAAGCCCAGCTGCAATATTAAGCATTAATAATGATAAAACTTAAAGCTTTTAGGCTTGGTCAGCTGTAAGCCTAAGCTTTCATTTGTAGCAAATTTGAAAAGCTTCTGACTTAAAGCTCTCGCCGAGCACAATTAAATTAGCTTAAAGCTCGCACTTGTGGTCGGATTATTAAGCTTTCAAGTACCAAGCGCTAATATGCTTACTTAAAGCTTTAACTTTTATGAAAGCTTTCGCGTTCAGGCATTTGAAAGAGTCAGATTATTAAGCTTTCACGCTTAAAGCAGAAATTTGCGTACTTAAAGCTTTAACTTATATTAAAGCTTTCACGTTAAGACATTTGGGCGAGCTTTTAAATTTTACTTTTAGCAAAAAGTCTAATTGAAAGCTTGCATGTGCGCTGTCAACAATGCATTCGGCTGTTGCAGCGTTGAAAAACAGGAGAAAAAATCGCACTATTATAAACGATCTACTCACATCCATGCCATTGTAGGGCTGACCGCTCTCCGACAGCTGATCAATGTAGGCGCAGAGCTTGCCACAAATGCGCCGCATATTGCTGTAGGCATTGCGTATACGCCCGCTGGTCAACAGGGGCGAGAAGATGCCCCGCTGCACTCGCCACTCGTCCCCGTCAAGCACAAAGGGATTGCACGAGACGAGCCTGTCCTTGTCCGTGTCAATCATGCGCGACGCATCGTTGTTCTCAAAGTGCCGGAACGCGCTCACGAACACCTCGTTCACCAGCTTGGGCTCCAGCAGCAGCAGCTTGGGAGCTCGCACCAAATAGGTACCCACATAGCTCTCCGTTAAGCGATATTCCCTGAAAAATATGATGCGGAAGCCACAGTCAGAAATCAATTATTTTCTTATAAATACAAGATACTTGAAATGCGCAATATGAATTCATCCTACGCTCATCTTTTTTGGTTTGATAATGCCTTTCATTTTCTTAATATCGATAAATATCGATTTGTAGTCATGTTCTCGAGGATTATAAGCGCTGGAAGTGCCAAATTTGGTATGTGGATTGTTGCAAAGCAGATATAGATAAACAGTTTTTCACCTTTTGTATATCTACCCCTGTTAGCCCGAAATTTTGGAAATAACTCATCTTGAAAGGTAGAGCTTTGTGCTTTGGTATACACGCGCTTTTGAATGCGTTATTTAGGCCCTGAAAATCTCGTTAGGATCGGACTACAAGCACCGAAGTTACTCGAGAGTGCATTACCCATAGATGGTAGATGGGGCAAAGGAAAAGAAGAAGCATATCTGTTGTATAGAAATAGCTAGAATGCTTATCGATCGACTCCATTTTCAGTGCCCAGTTTTAACTAGTATTTCGTATCCCTCACTCACATGTAGAGATCGCGCATATCGTTCAGAAAATGCCGGCGCGGCCAGACCATGTTGGGAAAGGAGCCGAGTAGCGGCAGGGCGCGCGGCTCGCGAATGCCGCGACGCCGCCAATGCCCGAAATTCCATACCAGAAACACGTAGAGCAGCGAGAGGAGTGCGATGAGGGTCAGCAGCAGCGCCAGATACATGACAGCAGCGATTCCGGGCAAACGTTCGGCGGCAACTGACGCGAGGCTCTGTCAAGTGCCGGCAATCGGAGCTCCGCGAGCAACAAACTTTTGATTGGGCTACGGATTGTACGCCTCCGCTCGAGCAATCAATCAAGTCACAGCTGCTAGCTGTAGGCAGGCATATCATTGCGTAATTTGACTAAAGCACGACAGTTTCCATGGCTGAGTGACGTCGGGAAATTGGGCATTCCCATTATCGAATTAAACGCTAAGTGGCCCGGCTGAAGTGTGTAAAGTGCATTCAGAGCTTGTTTGGATAAACAAACGTTGTAAGTAAGCGTAAGCGTATACGTTATATTGTGTTTATCGATAAATGCAACTATCGATTAGCGATAAATATCGAACTGCGATTCATAGCTGCATTTCGAAATGTATGCTGTATTACGTTATATTTTGTCTATCGATAGGTTCAACTGTCGATTGGCGATAAATATCTTCAATCGATTCATAGCTGCATTTTGTTGTATGTTGCATAAGGCTATACGTTATATTGGGTTCATCGATAAATGCAACTATCGATTGGCAATAAATATCGAAGAGCGATTCATAGCTGAATTTCGAAATGTATGCTGTATTACGTTATATTTTGTCTATCGATAGGTTCAACTGTCGATTGGCGATAAATATCTTCAATCGATTCATAGCTGCATCTCGTTGTATGTTGCATAAGGCTATACGTTATATGGTGTTTATCGATAAGTGCAACTATCGATTGGCGATAAATATCGAATTGCGATTCATAGCTGAATTTCGAAATGTATGCTGTATTTCGTTCGCATAAGACTATACGATATATTGTGTATATCGATAAATGCAACTAACGATTCGCGATAAATATTGAAGTTCGATTTATAGCATTTAGAAAAATTCCAAAGGATTCCCTTTTAATCCATTAAATAAGTCATTATGCATCTTTAGTTTTTTTTTTATAAGTAATACCTGCTTCGCCTAACAAATCACAACTATCGATAGTTTAATCGATAGTTTTTAGTATCTGCTCTCGCAACAAATATGCTTACAGTACATATTATATATTTTACTCTCAATTAAAATCTTAACAAATTTTTCGATGTTTTATTAAGCATTGATCTTTTGTTGTTTCAAGTTTCAATCATCGTTGCGCGTTTAAGTATCAATCAATCATCCAAATCGTTTGAGCGGCCACAGTTAATATTTGTTTTGACTGGATCGATTTATAAACAGCTCTTTTAAGCCGGTAGCCGAGTATATTAATCACAGCTCTAGCAACAGACGTAACTTGTTAGCAATGCCCGAGAAGAAAATTCCCATTTCACCTTTGCACCGGCGACATTGACATTGTTTCCCGGATCGTGACCGATTGACTGTTAACTGCCGGCAATTCGGTATCTAAATTTAGAGCCGCTTTTAAAGATACTTTTGCACTTAAGTATTGCAAATGGGTTTTACAATATGTGAATGGGCTATGTTTGATATCCGTAGCACGCAACAGTTAAGGCTAATAATAATAATAAGGCTAATAATAGCTTACAGTCTGCAGTCCATATTTATAATATAAGCTGTATTTTCATTGAGTTTCATTCACGATCATATAAATCAATTGTCAGTAATAATATCATCATAATAATTAATTTAAAACTATGATTATAAGCAATCAATTAACTAAATATTCTCAAAGATCTTTGAAAATGAGTTTGAGGCCGGATCGCATGGAAAATATCAGCTTCCTAGCTCTTACGGTTTGGGCTTTGCGTTGATCTATATTATATTATTTGGGATATTTCAGGGTACGATTTATACATGAGTTTTGAAGAGTAGTATAGTGTCGTAACTCGCACTTTTTGAATTTCTCACCATTTGCTGGCGCCATCTGTTGGCACTGGCAATAAACGTGGGATAGCATTTTTATTGTTATGGGCATACATATTCCGAGCTCTTTTCCACAATCAAATAAGCAGGATAAATATGTCTTTGGTGCTCAGTAAAACCTTATAATATGAATATGTTTTAAGATATTAATGCGAATAAATAAACATAAATCTTACATTTGTCTTTTGAAAATATTCATAATTTTAATAACACTTACCAATTAGCTACTGGCGCCATCTATTGAAAAACGTCAATATACCTCTGCCAGCCGATATATTGTAGCCCTCACAAAAAAACATCGAGACCTTGTTGCACGCAGCAAATGTACATGAATATGTTGTGAGTGCAATTCCTTGGTGAATGCAATCGATGTGCGATATTTTTAAAAATAGTATCAACAATCATAGTGGATGTATCGCCATTTTCAGGCACACCGATTCGCGATTCGCATTTAACTTCTATTTACCCGAATTGAAATGGTAAGCGGAATGGTAATTAAAGCAAATGTTATTATGCACGCTATTTACTAAGCATTTGTCATGGCACAGGTGAAAAAAACTTGCCTAACCTGGCTGGGCCTTGTGGCGGCGGCATCGATGCTTTGGCCAATGGCCCTCGTCAACGGCTTTGACAAAGAGATGACGGTTTATGTGGAAGCCGGCAAAAAGGAGTGCCTATACCATACTGTCAAGGTTGGCGAAACAATTGACTTTGAGTATCAGGTAATTGATGGCGGCCACGGTGATCTGGACATTAGCTTTGCGCTGCTCGATCCCATTGGCCTGGTGATTGTCAGCGACTACAAGAAGCCGGAGAACTTGCATCAGCACCAGGTGCAAAAGGATGGCGACTATCGCTTCTGTTTCGACAACAGCTTCAGCATGTTCAACCGGAAGACCGTCTTCTTTGAGCTGATCGTGGAGCGCGAAGGCGATCAGCATCATGGCGATGAACAGTGGAAGGAGGTCAATGAGCTGACTGGCCTAACACCGGACGAGTATTACGACATGAAGGTACAGGATATTATGGACTTCATTGGACGCATACGCATGCAGCTGACCAAGGCGCGACAGCTACAGGATCTGTTGCGCTCCCACGAGGCGCGTGATCGCAACCTGGCCGAGGCCAATTTCCAAAAGGTCAACAACTGGTCACTGCTCCAGATCAGCGCCATGATCGGCGTCGGCCTCATCCAGGTCTTCATGTTGCGCAGCATATTCGAGACACACGGACGCATGCATCACTTCTGGCGCAAACTGGGCATTTGATGAGGCAGCCAGCGTTTGAGGGCGCAGGCCCAATGTTTGTCCTCGTAGCGTTTACCAAAGATGTTTGTTTGCATTTAATCAGGGCAACATTTGTAAGATGCAAGTTGTTAAATATTAGTCACAAACTCCTTATCAGTGTCAACAACATAGTTAATAGCTTTAATTAGGACTGTGTGCGTGTGTGTGCAACTGTGTGTGTGTGTGTGTGTGTGTGTGTGTGAGTCTGCATTTATTATACAAAAGCAATTGTAATTTAAGGTTAACATTCGGATTACTCTTGAATGATCATTATGGAATAAAGCGTTGACCAACTGTTTCACAAAATGAAACTGAACCATATATAAATCTGCGCCATATACAAGTATTTCGCTTGACCCTTGCGATTCTCAATAAGTTAACGTTTCGTAAGGCGAACAAGTTGTTGAACAATTTGACTCTCTGTATTCAATAAATTAAATAAAACTTAGCTAGTCTCTGAATACCATATCATTCAGCTGTTTTGAAAACATTTCATATTTTTACCAATGTCTGTGAAGTAATCGCTCGGAAATTGAGAACATTTTTATTTTTTATATATTAATCTTTTAAATGGGCCAATTGGTCCAGCTTTGTGCCACCGGCAAATAGAAGATGATCCTATTATCCGAGGAGCCAATTGGCCCGGCCGTTTACCACCAGGGCATAGGCGACGGCCCCATTTGGCCAGGTCTTGGCCTGGAGCAAACAAGAGTCAGCCGAGGAGCCTATGGTTCCGGCCGTGTAGCGCTGCGGGATGGTATCCAGCAGTCAATTCGATGTGAGAAAATTAAAAAATATAAGAAATCCTTGAAAAGTGCTTGGGCAGACCGACATGCGCTCATTCCTAAGGAGTAGACTCTCAAGCTTTCCGTATGCGCTCCCGATGTGGTCGATTTTAGTATAGTTAAGTTAAGTTTTAGTTAATAAGTCTGCACTTAAAATTTCCATTTGTGGTTTCAACAGTTTTCGTGCTCATTTAATTTACTAAAAAAAAAAAAACAGATCCATATTATTACTAGGCATAGTATTTATTGAAATTTCCGCTTGCGACGGGCAGTGTGTGGAGTGAGTGGGCGGGTTGTGTTGACCGCTCCGCACGTTGGATGCTTGCAAAGTTGCCCACAGTAAACGCTGCTGCTCCGCTTGCCGACTGAACTGAACCGAACGCTTAAGCTTAGCCCTGCTTGTTGAGACGCTTCTGGCGCTCCAGCAGCCGGCGTTCCCGCTCGAACTCCTTCATGCGCAGCACATAGTCCTCGTATTCGCAGGTGAGATAGTCATGCTTCTCGTGCGCGCACTGGTAGACGAAGGGGAACTTGTCGGCGCGACAGGACTGATAGGCGAGCAGCTTGTGGGCACAATAGTCGCGTGCATCCAGTGGCAGCTTGGCCGATTCCATCTCCTCTTTGGTGGCAATCATGACGCGCTCCTTGCGCGACTCAAAGCCCAACATGGGATCGAAGCTGGGCACCACATCCGGCCCGGGCGTTACATCTGGCTTCATATAATGGTTCAGAGCGTTGCCCATGCTGTGCTAGCGTTAAAAACACACACGTTAAATCCATGCAAAATGCAATTGAATATAACAAATATAAATTACGTAAAATGTTTTCCTCGATTGTTGCTGCTGCTGCTGCGGCGCTGCTGTCAGTTCAGCTGTTGTTGTTGTAGGCCGTTTGACAGCTGTTGTAATGCAGGGCTGCAATCACTAAACATCGTGCAAGAACAATCGATTAATATCATTAGAAGTTTTTTTTCAGCGCCCACAAAATTTAAATTATAGAAAGGCACGCTAACCAAAAAAAATATATATATAACAGAAACTCACGTACAGTTTTATTAAATTTTCAAATGAAAACGGCATTAAATATATAATCGATAGTATCGACATTTCCAGGCATTACAATCGCGAAGCATGCGAATGTCCTGTTGCAATTAATCGATAGATTTATGGCTCGTATAGCCAGTGGTGCAAGCATACAACAAGAAATATGCATTAAGTTTCGCTAATAGAATAGTTAATTACTTAGTTATTTTGTAAATTTTTGTGCAATAAATTTTAGCCAAAAATCAAGCTGACAAGCGTTCAGCTATTAAGTTATTGTTGCTCCGGTGGCAAGCGCGCGCTCTTCTCCCACAAAATAAAGCAGAAAAGTGTCGTGTCGGTGTGTTAACGGTATAACTATAACGGCATACAGATGTACATACATATGCATGTATATATGTAAAACGCATACATAAAATCGATTTTGCAAATTGTTGAACGTCTTGCGCAAAAGCCATGGTTGGATTATTGAATCCAATGAAATATGGCGATCATTTCTACGAATTATATACGAGCAATACACGCAGGTAATTGTAAATAATGTACGGCGGGGTGGTGACGGCAGCGGCAGCGGCGGCACCGACATTGCATTGGGGGTTGGAAAAATCGATCGATTTGCGGCGCGGTGTAATGTATATTGTATGTAGGTCTTCAACCCCTAGCAGGCGGTCTGTTTGTCGGGGTTGAAAAGTTGGCGCCTGCACTTATGCACGACAAGTGGGCAGCACTGGTCGCAACAGCTGATCGATAACAGCTGAGCGTTGCCAATCGGCTGCAGCACCCCGACCTGCATTAATTCGTTTGTTGTTAAATCAATAAAGCTGCTGGATATGAGCAACAACATAATCGATACAAATTTGTGACCCACTCTCTTTCCCGCTGTCCCTCTTTGTAATTGCAGAAAACTGCAAAATGAGCGCAAGGCTCTCACGAAGCGCAAGAGCCGCAAGGAGAAGTCGGCTGCGGCCCTGGCAGCAGCTGCCGCCGCCGCTGTGCTGGATATCAATGGCGGTGGCGGTGGAGGCGGCGCTGGGGCTGGTGGTGGTATTGTAAACCCATTGGATCCACCGTTGGTTAAGGATCAGCTGCTGTTTATACCGGCATTTCCCGTAGCGCAAATTGAGCTCGATCCGAATGCATCGAAATTTGCGGTATTTTCGGCCATTCGCTCCACGGTTCTGGAGGCAGAGACACGCTTTGCGCTCTTTCACGAGGGCAATGGACATGGTGGCAATAGCTCCGGATCGGCGCTTCGAAAATGGAGCGGCAATATGGGCTCCTCGTGCTGTCTGGTCTGCGCCAGCAGCTGCATGGTCAGCAATCTGGTCGAATGCTCCTGCCATGCGCAGCATGCCGTGGGCGGCGGCGGCGGTGCCGGTGCAGCTGGTGCCGCTGGCGGTGCAGCATCTGCTGCTGGTGCTGCCGGACAAGCAGACAAACGGACAGCAAACAGCGCCAATAGCGATGCCGACTCGGATGCAGAGGAGCCGGAGGAGCGCGAACCGGTCTATGCCACAGTTCCGCTCATTGTCGGTGCCGGACTGCGCAGTCTCTTCGAACTAATTGCGGACGCACGTCATATCCAGCCGCTGCTGTGCACCAAGGCGCTCAAGGCTCTGCTCGATGTCATCCAGGGCCAGCAGCCGGAATCGTTTAAGCTCGAACCGGAGGATCTTATCAATCCGCTCTACGACCTGCTGCTAGATCTGGCCACCATGCCGGCGGCGCTCACATCCAGCACCGGCGCCGAGGCCAACTGGTCGGCGATGGCATGTGCCGCCCTGCTCGGCCTGTGCATTGCACGCGGCGACACGGGCAAAATGCTTAAGGCGATTGCCGCCATGCTGATGTCGCCCAGGCAGCTCTCAGCACAGATTATCCAGCTACCCGCCGTGCTGGCTGCACTGCAGCATACGGTTGTCAGTGCGGCGCTCAATAAGCCAACGCGTCCCGACTTCCATAGTCATGGAGTGCCGCACAATTCCCTGGTTGATGAGGTGAGTACGAAATGTAATACACTCATGGAAAATGCGTGGAAATGTGGTAGCTACAAGTTAAGTTAAATGTTGTTTTCTTTCTAATTTATCTTTTCACATTTTGCAGTTCGCCTTGAAGTTGCCCTCGCTGACGGTTCCACAGCAGCACACGGCGCCAGCCATGGCCTGCGATGGCGTCTTTGTTTATGTCCTTTATGGCGGTGCATTGTTAAAGATTGGCACCGGCTTCGGTGGCTCCTACAAGGGGCACATCTATGCACAGAACGACGAGTTCTGTCGCGAACGCAACGCCTGGCTGGGCTACAGCGGCGGTCAATTATATTTTCGGCGCAATTGCAAACGCAGCGCCGATCAGCTGCAGCTGGTCGGCATGGACACGCTGGCGGTCAAGTCAATGAATCCACTCAATATGCTCTCGATGCGCGAGGGCCTCAACTATGTGCTCTTCACGGACGACGATTCATTGCATGCCATTTGTAGCAATCGCGATGTGAGTTTAAGTCAATATCCATTAGGGGTTCTTTCTTAATATTATTATACCTTTTAGTATAATCATAATAGTAGTCTATTAGTTAACTTCACTAAACATATATACCCTAAGAATTAACAAGTTAGTAGCAAATTTTTGTTAATCGACCATTTGAGGAGCTTATCCTTAACATTCCTTCCAAATTTGGTCGTATCTGTGCCAGATATAGTTCTTTCTTGATTTTTCACGCTCCCCAGTGGGCATAGCCCTGTAAACTGAGCAATATTTTACGCGAATATACACAAGTTTCGAGTCTCCAATTCCCAGAATCGATATACTCTAATCACTTTGAGAGCAGAGTATAAATATTCGCATAATTTGTACAAAATTTAATCCTTATTTTTGGTAACTTCATAGAAAGTAAAATCTCGTATAGCCTTTTAGATATAGACTACGTAATACATAAAAAAAGTATATATCTTTCAATAACTTTCAACAAAGTTTTCACCCATTTAGGTGAATTTAAAACGTTTCTGTTTCATTTCAAGCAGCTTTCACAATATGTAGGAAAATATGAAATCCGAAATTTTTGTTATTTAAAAAATACATATACTATTTATAACTGCAACTAATAATGCACCGAAAAAATTGACCGCAAAGCGCAAGTGCTAACAAAATAGCTTGTGTAACTCGCGCCAATTGCAGTTGTAGGCAAAGCGGCTTAAAAACTAACCCGTATCTAGGCGTACGCCCTTAAAAAATGATTGAAAATTAATAATTTGAGCCAGCGACTTCTTGCTTGTCGGTCCGACGCTTCCTTTAGGCTGTGCGTTGATTCCTAAACTTTCAGTTAGAACAAACTATTTGATATGCTTGTAATGTTACTAATCATAATTTTTCCTGTTACTCTTATTGCCTTGCAGGACACGCTGGTGGTTAAGAAGCTTAACCTTTATCACAATAGCTACAGCAGCGAGCCGCCGCCGTTCGAGCTGCCGCTGCAGCTGGCGCGCAAAAAGTTCCGTACGCTGGGCTATGCGGCATTCGAGGACGAGCTGCTCAATCAACAGCAGATCCAGCGCATACAGTCGGCGCACAATAGCTTTGAGCCAAAGTTGCCGGCGCCGTGTCGCGATGACGATGTGCTGGGCATGGCCTGCGGCAAGGAGTTCGGATTGGTACGTGCCAGCAATGGGCGTGTCTACTATTATGGCAAGTCGGCGGCGCTGGGTCTGAAATGTGTGGGTCGCACGCCCACACTGAAGCTGACGGAACTGATTGTCTCGAAGGCGGCGCACATTGTGCATGTGGCCGTGGGACACGATGGCATACATGCGCTGCTCGTGAACGATGACGGCACCGTCTATTTTGCGGGTACGGCGCGGCGTGGCGAGGATGGCGACAGCTCCAAGAATCGACGCCAGCCAAAGGCGGTGAAGCCCAAGAAGATGACCAAAATCGATGGCCATGTGGTGGTGCATGCCGCATGCAACAATGGCACCTCCGCCTTTGTGACCAAAACGGGCAAACTGATCATGTATGGCAAGGATACGGCACACTGCGATTCCATGGGCTTTGTCACCGAGCTGCTCGATCAGCATGTGACCAAAGTGGCGCTGGGCAAGGCACACTGTGTCGCATTAAGCGCCAAGGGGCAGGTCTTCACCTTTGGCCTGAACAACAAGGGTCAGTGTGGGCGTGTCTTCAACAAAATGATGCCCGTCCGTGATGTGCCCAGCTCTTCGGCGGCCTACGCCCTGCTCGGCCTGCACTCCGACAAGCTGCGCCACAAACTGGACTTCTCAACGCTCTGCGACTACGATGATCATAATTTGGTTCAGGGCCAGTGCCGTGTCTGTGTCATGTGCCGCGAATGCACCGGCTACAATGTCAGCTGCGTGTCTGCGCTGAATGTGCCGCTGGAACAGCGTCTGGCGGGCAGCATTTGTCCCTGCGGCCATGGCGATGCTGGCTGTGCCAAGTGCGGCCTGTGCGCCGCCTGCGTTGCGCTGCAGGAGAGCGAGATTGGTAGGTGTCAATGTTTCTATTTTTATTTGGTCCAAATACTGACGACTTGCCTTCAGTTGCAGCCGATGCGAAGGCGGAACTGAAGCCGCTGCCCGGTGAACTGCAGCGTCAGCAGCGCTCCAAGACGCTGATCATGCGGCGCAAGGAAAAGAAACCCTCGGAGCTGGAAACTGGCGCCGCTGGTTGCACGGGCGGCGGCGGTACACCCACCGATCTGGAGAAGGATCCGCCGCGTGTGGCGCCGCTGGCACCGCAAGTGCTGCAGCTACCAAGTGGCTCGCCGGTGGTGCAAGTGGCCTGCGGCCTACACCACACCGTGGTGCTCACCCTGGCCGGCGAGGTCTTCACGTTTGGCAGCAATCAATACGGCCAGCTGGGCAGCGGAGATCTGCAGGCGGTCACCGGTCCGATACGCGTACAGGTGCAGGGCGCCATTAGCCAGGTGGCTGCTGGCAGCAATCACACGGTGCTGCTCACGCACAAGGGCATTGTCTACACATTCGGCAACTATCAGAAGGGTCAGCTGGGTCGCTTGCCCAGCGAATATGGCCAGAAGACGGTGCCCAACAGCGCTATTGCCCAGCAGCAGCTGCTGCAGCAACAACAGCAGCAACAGCAGGAGGAGGAAGCTGCCACACAGGAGGCCGCCTGTGTGCTGCCCGGTGGCTCAAAGGAGACAATTCTTATACCGCCCAATACGGCTGCTCTCATAGCGCAGCGTCAGAAGTTTCTATGGAACTGTGCGCCCGGTGCCGTCTTGTAAATACCTTCTCCTTATTCCATTTATTCAAGAACCATCCATAAGTATATAGAATTTATACATAATCTTTACTTTGTAGCGGCCTGGGCCCCAGCTATGGCAAAAAGGTAACCTGGATCGGTGCCAATGGCGACCAGACGTTCATCAAGATTGACGAGTCGCTGATCACCGCTCAAATGCTGCCCAAGATGCATGTGGTGGCCAACAAAAAGACCATAAGTTAGTATGCAACCAATTAAAATAAGTAATTATCGAAGTTTAAATACCCTTCTGGAAAGTGCTTGAGAAGTGTAGAGAACGAATGAGTCCTCAAATATTAGGTTCTACTTCACAATTTGTCTAATGTCCATAAACCGTGAGCCGCAGGATATTTGCCATTCTTCTTGCAAGCGATTTGATTTATATTTTATGGATCATCATTAATTCATATGCTGTTGTTTCTCTTCCAGTACTCATACCAAGCATACCGCTGTCATTTAACACGCTCTCCATAAACCGAAGCGATGGCAGCTGCACACCGCATTATCACGGCCAAACGAACTTTGCGCAGCTGCTGCAGGCGCAGCAGCCACTTGGTCAGCCGGAGATCAATCGGAATGTGGACGTGGCGACGCCTTTGGTCGCCGAATTGCCGCTGGCCAGCAGCACCACGGCCGGTGTGCCCATCAATGAGCAAATGTCGCGCAGCATGCACGAGGCGCGCAATCACATCTTCGAGGAGCAACAGCATATGGAGACGGCTCAGGCCACATCGCTGGCGGCCTCGCCACGGCTGCAGCGACGCGTACGACCGCGGCCAGAGGCAGCCGCTTGCCCGGCATCTCCCGAACAGCAACAGCAGGCGCTGCCGCCGCAAATCTCCTTTGCCATGGATCCCAGCTACAATGTTCTCTGGGTATTCGATGGCGGCGCCCGCAAGCTGCGCTGCCACAATGTGGTGGCCAGCGAAATAGCCGAATGTGATGTGGTATGTGGCAATCAATTTAATCCTTAGCTATATATATAAGCTAGCCATAGAGCTGGGCAGAGCTTAAGATTCTATTAACCACACGCCTCAAATAACTCAATTAACTTCGAGATTGTTGGCAACATCGTCTTACGAGCAACAGACTGTACGGGGTTATAATGTTTTTGTGCGAATACGTAGAGAAGGCAGAAAGTGAAATCTATGACTCCATAAAGTTAATATATTGCTGAACGTCCTCTGTCCGTATTGCTGTATGCGTAGAAGGAAGAGGTTCGGGATATCTCCTCTCGTTTCATTTCCTCTTTTCCCAAAATGTGTTTGCATTATTTATATTTGAACTAGTTGTGCATGTAAAGGAATTGAATTTAAGTGATTTATGCCGTGTCAAAGCTGCTTAACTGAACTCAATTATGTTGCAGAACGCGGGCAACTATCGGGCGCTGCTGTCGCCGGAATTGTCGCTGCCGTGCAAGGCGGAGGCGCGCGTGTCCCGCTCGCAGGCATCGCTCAATTTGCTGGCCTGCCTGGATATACTGACATCGGCACAGGACAATATACCCGGCTGCTTTGAGCAGGCGCTGCCACAGCAGCAGCAACAAACGGCCGAGGAGCAGAGCGGCGAATACCAGGTGGTGAATCGTTTCGACAACTTTGGCGGCGGCTGGGGCTATTCGGGGCACAGTGTGGAGGCGGTGCGCTTTTCGGCGGACACGGACATTGTGCTATGCGGCTTCGGCATGTTTGGCGGACGCGGCGAATACAGTTGCAAGCTGAAGCTCTACGATCTGGGCGCCGACGGCGGTGGCTACGAAAAGGAGGGTGTGCTCATTAGCGAAACCAAGGAGGTGCCATACGAGTGCGCCGCACGCAGCAAATATCACATTTTGCTGCCGAAGCCGGTGAGCGCAGCTGCGGGTCGCTGGTATTTGGTTTGGGCACGCATCGCGGGCCCATCCTCCGATTGCGGTTCGTGCGGCCAGGCATCGGTGACCACCGAGGATCAGGTGGTCTTCTCGTTCAAGTCCAGCAAGAAGGCAAACAATGGCACCGATGTCAACTCCGGCCAAATACCCGCCATATTGTATCGCCTGGTTACCCAGGACTGCAAGCAGCCACCGTTGCCGCTCGATGCGGATCCCGTGCAGCGCATATCGCGCGCCTTTGCCAACAGCGTCAGCCGCGAGTGCTTCGAGAGTTTGGTAGTTCTGCTCAGCTGGTCCTGGGACTGCTTCAAGACACAGCTGCGTGAGCAACGCGACCGCACAAGGCCGCTGCAGTTGCAGCAAACGCTTCAGTATCTGGGCTATGTCAATAAGTCCTGTCTGCGCCTGCTGCGCAAATACACCAATGAGATATATCCACAGCGTGCAACAACAGCAACAACAATAACAACAATAACAGCAGCGACAACAACAGCTGCGTCTGGTAGCAACACATCTGCGAGCGGTTCTGCTGCTGCTATCGCTGCCCTTTCCAAGCTCCAACAAGCCAAGACAGTTAATAAAGGTATGTTCCATCAGTTTGTTGGCTCTCCAACCGTTTCTTATACTTTCTTTCCTTTTCCAGACAAGCCACCAAGTCGTGCGCTCAGCAATGCAGCCACCGCGCAGACCGGCGCAATGTTCGCCATGGGCACGGGCACGCCGGCCACGCGCAAAACCAATCTGGAGAACATTCAGCTGGCCGAGTGTATTGGCAATGTGCGCGCCCTGCTCATTAGTATCTTTTGCGACGACATCTTTAAGGACATCGCCACCGATGAAGGTGAGATATATGTATATATATGTTAACTTTATGAACAGCCCATCTGTCTGATTTACTGCAAGCTAACGCTTGGCGAGCGACTTATCATTCTGTTGGTGGCAGTAATTATGCTAAAGAAACGATCGGTTGTTCATTGCGTTTCCAAATAAACAAATCTGTTGTTTTTATATGCTCACTAGGAAATTCGCTTTACCCTTTAGTCAATATACGAATTTTGTTTATGCTTTGAATTCTTTGAATCATAAAATATAGCCCGCTAAGTGTTCCAAAAATAGCTCCTATGTTTGTTGTCCGATCTTTAAAGGCCAACAATGTGGCATTCAAATGTGTGTATATAGCAATTCACAGGGCTCTAGCGTTAAGACTGAGCTATTTTTCAATTTTGAAGGAAATTCCCCCCCTTCCCTTAGTCAACAAGTTAAATATTCATACAAGATGCATGCCAAACTTGGTGTACACAGCTTCTATAGTTCTTGAGTTATGCCTACCAAAACCAAGTCTGAAAACCGATATTTATCGATACTTTGGAAATGTTACGTGGCATACTTTAGGAGCACATAAATTTCAAGTTTCAAGTAGGCTTGATATCTGAAGATACATAATGGGCTTATCATCTTTATATTTTTTTTTTTTCAATATTTCTTCCCAGTTTCAATTTATCGATACAAATCGATTTTGAGCCTTGGTATTATAGGCATAACTTGAGAATTATAAGAGCTAGATGCGAAAAATTTGGTATGCAGGTTCTCTTATTGAACACCCTCAACAAGAATTACTTCATTTTTTGAATACCTTCACCTACCTATTCCTCCCGGAACTGTAAGAATAACCCATTTTTAAGGCTAGAACTTTGCACTTTGGCATAAATAAAAGGTTTTGGTCCTCCTTTATGTCTGGGAGTGCATTATAGAAGTCATCTTTTATTTTGTTCCCTTTTAACATGAACTCCAAACTAATCTTCTCCTGCTTTTAGGCTATGCCCTGGTACTGGAAATCCTAGACGAATGCCATTTGAGCTTTGTGGCCTGCTTCGATGCATTCTATCCAACATCCTCGCTCAAATGGAACTGCCTGTGCGATTTGCTGGCCCAAATGGATCGCGGTGCGCTGCATTCCCGACTGCTGAGCGCCATTCTGGCCGGCCTCTGCTCGCCGACAGTGAAGCTGCGTGCCACATTCTCGCTGCTGAATGCGGCTGGTGGCAATGAGCGTCAGTCGATAATCAGTCCCAGCGATAATTCGGGCCTGCCCATGCTATCTTCAACGGAGGCCCATCAGTATCCCATATTGGTCGAGCAGATGATCTATCGCACGCAGCAGGAGAAGAGCGACTTTTTGAGCAACTCGTGGACATTTAAGGATGTTCTGGTGCGCCTGCTGGAAATCATAGCCAGCCCAATTAGGGCGCGCATTGAGTCCATCTATAGTCGTTGCCTCGGCGGCAGCTATGCGTTCAAGGAGTGCATCAATCAGGGCCTCATTGACAACTGTTGCCATCTGTTGGCCCGTGTCCTGGCCGAAATTGTCTACCAGACGGCACTGGGCGAATATGATAAACTATTTTTGCCGCCACGCACACTGCACTCGACCAGTTCACGTTTCGCACGCTGCGACTTGAGTCGCACCTGGAATACAGGCAACTTCGGACCGGATGCGATTGCCTTCTCGGTGGATCGTCCAGGTATTGCCATCGCTGGCGCCATGATCTATTCCGGCTCGGGCAGCTATGACTATCAGCTGGAGCTGCTGTATGACAATACGGTTGACCTGCAGCCGCAGCACAAATGGGAGACGTTGGAATCGATATCGGGCAGCTATGATCAGGAGGCGGTGCACAATGATCTGGCCGAAATCAAATTTGAGCATCCGGTGCACATCAAGGAGCATGCACGCTATGCGTTACGCCTATGCTCCCAGGGTGCACGCACCTGTTCCGGTGATGCGGGCATGCCCACAGTGCGCGGCCCGTGCGGCGCCAATTTTCATTTCTATGCCTGCGATCTGAGCTTCAATGGCACCACGCCCGCGCGCGGCCAACTGCCCAGCATACTCTACTACAGCACGCCCATCAAGCAGCAGCAGCAGCAGCAACAACAGCAGCAACAGCAGCACCATCACCAGCAGCAGCAGCAGCAGCAGCAGCAACAGCAGCAGCAGCAGCAGCAGCAACAGCAGCAACAGCAGCAGCTGCAGCAGCAGTTGCTGCAGCAGGACGCGGCATCGTCTGGTGGCGCCGGCTGCTCAGCGGATGCGGCACATGGCAGCGCTGTGGCCAGCAACGAGATATCCACACGGGATACGGCGCTGCAAATAGCCGCTGATATAACAAAAAAATGCACCGAGCTGTTGATATTGGCGCGCAATGCGATGGCCGCATCCTGTTCGCCGTCAGACAACTCATCATCGAATCATACACAGACCATCGATTCGGAGCACAATATAACGCCCATTGAGGAGCATATGGACATTAATTGGGCCAACAATTCACGCACCGCAGCGCTGCCCGTTGATCCGCAGCTGTCGACAACGGCCAGGGATTTGGGTAAACGTATCGAGTCCTTCTCCAAGGGCATCATGGAGACACTTAAATTTGACAAACGCTCAACGAATCCATTCGAAATGGAAATCGAAATTGGCGCCACGGAAATTGGTGTTGAGGAGACGGCCGAAATGAATTTCTCCAATGTCCAATTGGCCGCCAAGCTCAATGGCAATGAGCGTGCCGAGTACGAGCTGGCGGCAGAGGAGCCCGAGAAGCAACAGCTGCAGCTGCAGCAGCAGCAGCAGCAACAGCAGCAACAGTTGCCGTCACAGCAACAGCAGCAACAATTGCCGCCGCAGCCGCAGCAGCATTCATCACAGCAACTGTTGCATTCCGACTCGGAGGAGGCACAAATTGTTGGCGGCAGCGGCGGCGGCGGTGTTGCCGCTTTGCAGCTGCTGGAGGTCTTCAATTTGGCCGCCTCGAATATGTTTCATACGCTGTTGCCGCTGGTCTATGCGCACATCGCCAACTTGGCCTGCAGCGATCCCAAGAGTTCGGTGCAGATACTCGGCCTCATCAAGGAGATATTACCGCACATTGCAGCGCTCAATCAGCTGCATGTCTCCAAGGAGCAGCGCACAGAGCAGCCGCCGCTGCTGCGACCCGAACCCACAACGACCGCCAGCAGCAACAGCAGCACCACCACCACCAGCAATCACTATTGCATTGTGGAGAGCGAACATCCGTATCGTAGCGCCAGCATCAGTTGCTATCGTGTCGAGTTTCCGCCATGTGTCCAATGGCTAACAATTGAGTTTGATGCACAATGTGGCACCGCACAGCTTGAGGATTATTTGCTGCTATCGATACCCATGCGTCCGGCGGCTGCAACACAGCCCTGCCAGGCGACGACAACGACGCCAGTAGCTACTGCTGCTGCTGCTGCTGCTGGAGAGGATTACTATGATATACTCGATAATAATGTGAGTGCACGACGCGCCCATAATGCCCAGCTACAGATGACCAGCTGCTGTCGCACGCCCGGCACAGCGCCACTGCGTCAAGTGGATGCAGTCGATCACGATTGGATTGTGGTCAAGAAGTTTAATACGTACGCACACAATTTATATATATTCGCGAATTCCAATTGATTTTCTCTTTGGATTTTTCCAACGCTTTCAGCGCCTCCAATTGGCTGCAGAACGTTCTGATTTTGCCCGGCAATTGCGTTGAGTTCTCACTGGAGACGGCCTCGCTATATGCCCAGGATCCGCACAACAATCGCTATGGCTTCAAGTGTCTGGTCGTTGGCTACGACAATCCCACGGCGGTAAGCGACCTACTTTCCAACATATATCCATCCAACTTGTACTTAACTATACCAAACTATTGCCCTCTCGCTCAGATCAATGCCAGCAATTCGTGTCTGATACGACTGGAACAGGAGCTGGCCTATCTGGGCGGCATGTGCAGCGCCAATCTCATGAAAAAGGATCTCCATCTGCCGGGTACGTCATATCTGCTTATATTTTCGCAATTCTAGCGCTGCGCACAACCAAAATTTGAAGAAAAACCAGGAAAAATTGCATAGCCTTAATTTTGTTGATTTAACCTTTTCTTGGCCTTGCAGAGGGTTGTATAGTTTTGACGGGATAATGCATAAAAGGAGATGACCCCATGAAATATATATATTCTAGATTCACCTTAGCTGAAAAATGATTTATTATATGGAAAACTTTGCTCTTTTTCAAAATATACTAACCAAGCTCGACAATTGTGAGCGTCAGCCATAGAAATAATCTGTCCATATTATTTTTTTTTTGTAATTTACTAAATCGCCGGCAGAAGATAGCCTTTCTATCTTCTAACATATTTATGTTGAAACTTTTGCTATTCTTATTTATCTTCTCATAATCCGTTTTAATCCATTTTGTGCAGATGACAAGGACATGGACGACATGAGCGGCATTGAGGAAACAATTAGCGCTCACCATGCGCTGCTCTCCAAGGGCTTTGCGCTATCCGAGCCCCAGTTAACCGTGCATCAGGCATTGGAATCATATCTGCCCATTGGGTAAGTGCCATTCACCATGATTATAGTTTGACATTAACCTGACGAGTTTATTTCTAAATGTTAACTTTTTCAAGAGTTCCTTCGTTAGAGACATTTCAGTGTATTCGCTGTTATGTTAACGAAGCACTGTTAATGTCGCACTGTTAAGAAACATGTTAATTAACATTCAAATGCATCGCACTACAGATTTACCACACGGGTTTTTTTTGCCATACAGGTTTAAGCTTTAGACCAAATATTCTTCAAGGTTTCGAATACAAGTGTTTAAGTGAACCCTTTTTTTTTTAGTTTAGTTAACATACTCTGTTATGTTATCGTCGCAACATACTTCACCAAGCATTAGAGATGTTAAGGTTAAGGTTTGAACACCAAAGTCTTCGCCTAAAAATGATTCTTCAAATCGAACCTACTATGCGGGCTTGAACCCGAGAAACAAACATTTTGAACATTATCTCTCAGTTCAAAATTTGTCAATTTTATCCCTAAGTTGGGCGCATGTGTGATTCTATTTGAAGAGTAGATGATTTGAGCCTTGCCATCATGTTAATGTGACGCAGTTAACATAACATGCACTGTCAACGTGCTGAATGTTAACATAAAATGCACTGTCAACGTGCTGAATGTTAATAACATTCTGTTAAGTTTTGTGCTTACGAATGGGTCATTGAGTAATAAAGAGACAGAGCTGAAGGCTTGCTCCGAGCTTTTTTTACCGTTTTGAAAATCATGAGAGGTAGATCGGGATGGTCCGCAAACGCAAAATCCAACTCAAAAATAAAGCTCATTTACTATAGGAAGCAACAACAAATCATTCGCAAAACAACAACAGTGCGCTTTTGTTTTTATCGTCGTCCGTCTTGATCAAAAGTTTCTGCGCGATGATGAGGACATAGGAAACTCAGTGCAAAGAAAAGGGACAAATAATGCCACTGTGTTTGTTGCTGGTTTCTCTGTCGTTCCAACAAGGCAGCGCGTAGAAACAACAACAACACTATTTGGGTTCTAATGTTGTTGTTGTAGAAAAATCGAATGCGAGCAGGCCATGCCATTTAAATCAAAGGGTTACGCACACGGCGTGTCAACATCATATACTATTACGTTACGTTTTAAAGAATTTCATTTCTTGCGATGCTTAGAATATATTTATATCTTTATTACGTACTTAAAAGTAATCTTTTATAATAATGCATGTATTTAATAATGTATTACTTTATTGTACGCAACGGTCGCACACAAAAAGCCTTAAGCTGTGACGTCACATGCGCAACAGAATGTTGCAATCTTCTCAAACTCATTTAATCCCTTGGCTGGGAAAACACATACATGCATATTTTTTGCCAATGTGTGTGAGATGAGACACACATGCCAACAACTATTTGGCGTGTCGAGGCATTGATACCCTTATTTATAGAAATGGTATAGAATGTTTAAAGAAAACAATTATTATTGATTGTACTAATAGTTGCACACTAAATACGAAATTATATTTTTCTCAGACATTGGGTCAAATATGTGTATATAAGAAGGTTAGTGGTATTTGGTTACAGAACTTATAAATAGTTAAAATACCCTATTTGAGAAAGGGTGCCTTGCTGATCGAAAAATGAAAAATTATAAAATCTGCCGGGCTGCTTGCAAGTTGAAAGCGAGTGGAGAAGAAGAAGACATGACTTTGCGAATTAAAGGCATAGCAGTGCTTAGAAACCACAACAATAAGTTAGAAGAGTGTAGAAGCTTAGATCATAGGCTGTAGCTTTAAACCAAAAAGGGATAGCAGGGACAGAATTTGGGGTGTGCTTTTTTCATTGTCGAGTCGTTTGTTTTGATTATGGTTGTTGTTGGTTCATATGGGAAATGTTCTGAAGTTGTCTTTGATTTTTGGGCAACGGCAGAAGTGGCTGTAGACAGCCTGGTGTTGTGCTTGCAATTTGTCATTGAGTTATACTCAATTTTGTTTGCAACCTCGCTATCTCTCATGAAGTGTTTCGAAAAAGAGCTTTTGATCCAAAAGCCTCCTCTGTCTCTTTATTACTCAATGCGAATGGGTTAAAATTTAAAGCTTAAGTGAATATTAAAGAAAACAAAAAGGAGTCGTTTTTCTTATTTACAGCTTATATAGGTTTTAGGTTTAACATAGTTGCGATATTATATAGATAGGATGGATAGCATAATGTTACACGATACAAACTAAGCGTAGGCTATGAATTTGGTACAACGAAAGGTCACTCTTGGTGGTTCTTGGTGGTGCGCCGCGTCGCTCTGCTTTAGCTAGCGTCTGTCAGCTGTGTGTGTGTGTGTGTGTGTGTGTGATTTGTGTGTGTGTGTGTGTGTGTGTGTGTGGCTTGTAGCTTTACAAATCAGTCTTGAGCAGGCCTGCGTTCTCGATTTGGTATACAATCTGCGTCTCCTTGTAGGTGCGCGGCTCCGGCTGCACCACATCCAGCTTACGTCGCCGCCGCCGCTGCGCGAGGCGCCACCACAGCAACAGAAGCAGCAGCAGTAGCAGAAGCACCAGCAGCACGCTGCCCGCCACAATGTATGCCACATAGCTGCGGCGCTGGCATTGCTCGCCAATTAGCTGACGCAGCGGCATAAATGGCGCTGTGCCACCGACTGTGGCGGCACCGCGGAACAGCAGCTGCTCGCTGTGCTGGCGAAAGAAGTCGGCGCGTGGCTGCGGCGGCTCTGTGCTCGTGTCCAGCTGCTCACAGCTCCAGACATTGTCGTAGCACAGCTGGCGTATGCTCAGCGCGAAACGCTCATTGAAACGCAGCGGCTGAGGTGGTGCCGACGCCGCCGCCGCCGCCGCCGCAGCCCCCGCTTGATCCAGGCTTTTGCCGGGCAGCAAACTGTGCACCGTGTTGTTGTGAAATCGCAGCTCCAGCCGCTCGCTTAGCTGGTAGTCGCGATGCACGAAGAGGCTGCGAAATGCAATCTCGCTGGTGGCACCAAACAGATTGCCACGCAACGTGACCGCGTCCCGTATATGCGCCTCCAGCCACTCGCCATCAACGGCCGCAAATCGATTCTCGCTCAGGCTCAGCTTGGAGATGACTGCATGAGAGATTTATATAATGAAATAATAACAATGGAGCTGATCCTGTCCAGCTGCACTTACGCTTGAAGGAGAAGGCGTGCGAGTGCACCTCCTGGAACTGATTGTTCCGCAGCGCCAGCTCGTTGGTCACCTCCAGCTCGTAGAAGGCGCGCGTTGGCAAATTTCCAATGAAATTGCAATTGATAATTATCAGCTTCTCCACGGCAAACTTTTTAAAAGCCTGCAAAAAATCAAGTGATAATTTTAAAATGCGAACAAGTAATTCTGTTGCTCAAATGTTCCATTTCGTAGCTTAGCTTCTTGTCATTCATCTGTTTTTTTTTTTTAATTCTTGCTCTATTAGCTCCTAAATTTGTCCTGTTTTTTATTTTGTCAGAGGATGTGAATGTTAACGTCACATAAACATAACTAAAACATGTTAACACAATGTTAACGACAAGCTACTCAAATGTTAACTTAAGTAAAATGGAAGCAAGTACGTTCATGTAATTCGTAGCTTCTGTTAACGAGCAACCGATTCAATTAGTTTGCAGTTTGAAGCAGCGCAAAAATATAGGTTTTTGGCTAGTTTTATACTTCGTTGTCTAACTCCTAGAGCTAATGTTGTTAGGCTGATGTTAAATACACTTTGTCAGTCATTTGTGCAAATGTGGCAACGCTTTTAAAAAATTGGCAACATGACAAAGCGAGAAAATAATAGAATAATCGAATAAATATGCCTGTCAAATGTTCAACAAGCAGCTAACCTATAGGCAACAGTTAGACAGACAGGAACAGAGCAGCCAACCAAAGCAGATACAGGCAACAGTTTTACAGGCATAGATCAGACCAAATCATCAACCTTACGTTTGACAGCATGTCTTACTGGCTGTTATATATAACAGATACAGATAAACTACTGTCAACGGTTTTACAGCCGCAGAGAAGCTAGCCAAAACATAAACTTCGTTTGACTGCATGTTCAACAGGCTGTCAAATTAAATAGAAGCTACTGTTACTTTTCGTTAACTTCGTTTGTTAACATTTCTAACTGGCTGTGAAATTCTACATAAGCCGATAATCTACTGGCAACAGCATGTTTAACTTGCTGTCAAACTTAATTGAAGCTACTGGCAACAGTTTGACAGAATCAAAACAGCTGGCTTAACCTTTAGCTTCGTTCGTTAACATGCCCAACTGGCTGTCAAATTCAACAGAATCCGTTAAACTAGTGACAAGTTTGACAGGAACAAATTAGCTAACCAAAACATAAACATAACGTTTAACAGCATGTAAAACTACCTGTTAAGTTTAACAGTAGTAAATAGACTGTTGTCAACAGTTTGACAGGTAGAGAACAGTTAGCCAAACCTTTAGTTTTGATAGCATGTTTAACTGACTGTCAAAGTTAACAGGCATTTAACAGCTTCTCTGCTGAATTTGTAGAGCTCTACTTTCTAGAGACTTGAACTCCAATTAACTTACCTGACTTTCGATGCGCTGTACGGTAACTCCGTCCAATTTGAGCAATATGGCACTGTCCTTGATGGTGGTGAAGCCAAATGGATGCATTTGCTCGATGCGTCCACCGGTGAATGAGATCTCCTCGATGTTGCCGCTAATGGCATGCGAGTCGATTAACTGAAAGTTAACATTCTCGAACTCGACAATTAGCGCCTTGTTGCTGGCATAGCGGGACGCGCTTAATGCGTTCTGCTGCAGCATCAGGCGATTGATGTGCTTAAAGTTGATCTTGCGCAGACCCTCGGTGTTATCCAAAGTATTTGGCTCCACGGTTAAATCGCGACAATTGCGTATTTCCACCTGAAAAACGGCGCCTTGCAGCTGTGGCATAACCATGGCCTGTGTACGGCAGGTAGAGAGAGAGAGAGAGGGGTAGATGAGTGTTAGCATATGGTTAATAGATTGCTTATCTACACTCAGAGAAATGTGACGTACTAAGTTTCCAGTGTGAACGAAAAAATTTCAATTGAATGCAGCATGAATCATTCTAGTTACATAGATTTTTGGAGTTAGTGAAAGGGGCCTAAATGAAGTGCAAAATGTTATTGACAAGAATTTTGCAACTTGAATTAAGTAAAAAAATTACTTAAATTGAGTCCTGGCTAGTCAATATTGAAGATAAGCGTAAATGTGGATGAGAAGAATTTTTTGATTGCTTAAATTGAGTTTCGCAACGTTTTTGACTCGTCAATATTAAAAGTATGTGAAAAATGCTAGAATTAAGCACAAAATATTAATGATGAGAATGTTTTGACTTGAATTAAGCATGACAAATTGCTTAACTACTTTATCATTTCTGACTTATTAGCAAGTCAAATTAAATAAAAAATTTAGTCAAAAAAAACTCAAACTAAGTTTAAAATATTATTCGTATGAATGTTTAAACTTGTATTAAGCATACAAAAATACCTCAATTAAGTTCTCTATCATTGACTAGTCCATATTAAAAGTATGTGAAAGTGACTTGAATTATGTGGAAAATATTGATCACAAGTCTGAAAAAAACTATAAAAAATTGCCTCAATTGAATTTTGTATCATAACGCGTCAATATTGAAGACAAGTATTAAGGCTTGAATTAAGTACAATATTTTAATGAGAAAAATTTTGCAACTTTTTGACTCATCAATATTAGAAATAGGTCAAAAAGACTTGAATTAATTTGAAAATGTAAGGCACTATAATTTTTAAGCTTAAAAAAGCTTAAACATTTGCTTAAATTGAGTTTTACAATAGAGATTCATTTTTTAATACGTGAAAGCCTGTTGTGATAAGAACTTGTGCGCAGTTTAAGAATTTCAAACTTGGCTGGGCATAAAATTGCACAAATATTAAACACAAAATGAAGAGAAAAACTCTTAAATTAAGAATTCGAGAGTTATTATTGGGCTTTGTACGAAAGAAACGAACTGATACTCATTTAAGAATTTTGAGCACATTTTTAAAAGAGAATGCGAGCTCGTCGGGCAAACTTTATGCACTTCGTTTAAATTTGTTTTTATTTTTTTCTGAGTGTAAACACAGACACACGCGGCACTCACCTGATCATCGCTGTTGCAATCGCAGGTGATTGTTGTGTCGTGCTCGGTGCAGCTGACCTTTGGCAAAGCCGTCGAGATCGCCGTCGTCGTCGCCGTCGGGCAGAGCCAGAGCAGCCAGAGCAGCAGCACGCCGGTGGGATCTTTGAGATTTTTGATGTTTCGCATTTCAGAGCGTCCTTCTTCGTTATGGAATTTCAGATATTTATGGGAGATATTTCGGAGTGTTTTCTTTATGGCAAATTATTCATAATCTGAGGGAATAGTGCGCCGTTTGCCGTCGATTTTGCTTCTGCGTTTATGTCTCTGTTTCAGGTATTCTGTTTCGTTTCACGCTTCAATTCAATACACATGCGGCTTCTCTCCTCCCTCTCTCTCTCTCTCTCTCTCTCTCTTCAGTTGCTGTTCCGTTGTTTCCGTCGTTCCTGTTGTTCCGTTTTCAAATGTTTCATAGGCGCTGATAAGAGAGCGAAAAAAAAAAAATTTTTTATCGCCGAAGGTGTTTTATTTTTTTTCTGCTTATCAATGCTTTTGGTGTGCATGTCTCTGTGTGTGTGTGTGTGTGTGTGCGTGTGTGTGTCTGTCTCCGTGTGTGTGTGTGTTTTATCAGCACAATTATACATTTGATTCCTACTCGTATGACACACATGCAACTGTAAACTTATCTTTAACATTTATTAGATTTGCAAGTTTGGTTTCATTTTAAAGAAAACACTTGTGTGGATTTTCGTACACTCTTCCACAATGTGAAAGTAATATGCTGACTCAATAAAGAGTATTGAATATATACTCGTTTTATTCCTGTCTGGCATCTTGCTTAAATATCTATAACTAACCCAGCTTTAAGGCTAGGTTCGCCACATTTTTGCAGGTATTTGACCATTTCCTCTCGACTCTGGCCATCAAAAAATATTTAATCTACTTTCACAGCAGATATTCTATATATTCCGATCAATTTGTGGGCTAATATGGAAGATGTTATGGGTAAAAAAAATGCTAGGATATCAGTGAGAAGCATCGCCGATCCCCTACACTATATATGTATATAGTATATATAGTCAGCAGTCGATCTAGTTATGGCAACTGTTAAGCTCAAACTCAGAACGTATAAGAACGTTGTTCCCCATTATGACCGCTCAACTCATCGATAACTTGCCCAGTTTACATGAAATCGATGTAAATATCGATATCGAAATGCACTTTATGGATCATAGCTCAGATATTAAATATATATCGAGTCAGCAGTCGATCTAGCTGTGGAAAGCTGTACAGGGTGCCCAGCCTAACCACACAAATTATCGATAACTCGCCCAGTTTACATGAAATCGATCAAAATATCGATATCAAAATGCAGTTTTTCGATCCTAGCTCAGATCTTATAAAAGCTAAAAGCACCAAATTGGTAGTTTAATCCTCGTATCGCTTGCACAAATCTTCAAGTGGCATTGATTAGGCGAACTGATATTGGTAATACATAAACTAGCAAAATAGGCCTTTTGCTGTATGAAATTTCAGTTCCCTTCTATCGTCTATATGAACGTGACAGCCCCGTAAGTTATAAGAACTTATGTACGTTTTCCGACTTCATTATATAAAATTGAAGATGTAAAATGTTCATTTTCGAAAATCAAGTGCAGAGTAAGTTTCTCTTATGTTTCTCTCTCTCGATATATAGTAAGAGATCGATAAATGATGATCGATTCGATATTTCCACATAGTTACGTTACGACATGTGTCGATCATCATTATCATCAACTAACGTTCTCGCATATTGTTCTAATTGAATCAGCGACTAACGGCACTTTATGCCACGATCAAGTTTCATAGTACACACAGTTAGTAGTTGGTGGTCGTTCGGTTCCAATCAGTGGCAAATGCTGTTAATTGAGTTTTGGAGGTCGCGCCACACAAAGAGACGCTTCCAGATAGACTCCCAGGTTCGTTGCCATAACGAACAAACATCGGCAATTATGCTTTGCCGTTTGTTTATGGGCATTTCATTTGTTTATAGACCTTTATTTAAACGAGACGAGAAAGTGCTGTTGTCTACGGCACACCGATGATTTAATACCCTGTATGAGACATATGCCTAAAGGCTTTGCAGATATTGTGAGAAAACAGAATATTTTGCGACCGACTCTTTCTATATTGTTCAATCATATAGTCGTGTGAAATGTACCTTCTTTTCGGCCGATTGTTCCTATGGCAGCTATATGATATAGTGCTACGATCCGGCCAATTCCGACATATGCACTGCCTGCCACAGAAACACGGACCTAGCTTTAGAACTGTGAGACTAGTTCGTACAGAAACAGACGGACAGACAAGTCGACTCATCGAGACAATATATACTTTATGGGGTCACATATCACGACAAAAGCACAATACCCTCATCGAGGGTATACAAATGTAGTCATCCGTCGACGATGTCGCGTTACAGCTGTGTATGTGCTTGCCCCCCTTTGGGCCGCCTCTCTTCTGGTTTCATCTGCTTTTGTGTAGTGCAAAGAGCTGGTCAAATATTTGGGAACTAGTCACGAGCATTTTCATTTAGACACTGACGCACACACACAAACACACGCACACACACACAGACAGATCGTAACGGTCATTTGAGTTATCGATTATTATTTAAAGTGATGTAACTTGTGCTTTATGCTATTTGCCAAGAGCAAAAGTTGGTGTTTTCTTTGTGAGTCACGCAAAATGAAAGAAAGTACGACAAAATAAAATCGATAAAACCGATTAATATTATGGCTCTAAAATGACAATCGATAAACTGTTCCTATTATAAATGTTTGTCATAAAAACTGGGAACGAAAGAAGAAAAATCTTGCTTTATTTCAGCTCCTTGTAGACTGTACAAAAATCGATAACATAACCGATAACACATGTAAGAAAGTAATTATTACAGTGTCTGTCAAAAGTGAAGAAGAATGCGTAAAAGATCTTAGTTTATTTAAAAACAGGAAGAATAATTGAGCAACCATATTTTAAAGTATTCTTTAAATAAAATATTAGATTATAGGCAAAAGTTATCGATTACATATATATGCAAGTAATGTCTACCAAAGGAGAGAGTAAGATGTGCGATTTAAATAATCGATAACATTATGCAGAAAACTTTGGGTTTGATGAATATATATTGGAAAAGAGAATGTTTTGCTATACAACAACTAATCTTTCGACCGATTCTTCCTATAGGGCTATATTATATAGAAGTAATATCCTTTACAAGCATATAATGTGAATTAGCGATTGATAATAATCAAAATATCGATAACAAGATACACAACAAACGATAGACATTAGTTAATTGGCTGTCAATAACGATTTAAGCGAGATCAAACGAGAGAGAGAGAGATATTGGAGAGATAAAGAGAGAGACAGAGAAAGAGGAATAGAGAGAGCCAGAAAAAGAGAGAGATATACAGATGAATACTTTCTACTTGAGTAAACAGCTTGCAGCGGATGCAACACAGACACACACTCACACACACACACTCACACACACACACTCACACACACACACACGCACACACAAATTGTGCTTTGAAGAACTCTTTAATTGTTGAACTCTCTTGTTAATGGACTTTATTAAATCGTACTCACGCATGGAAGGAAATTGAATAAAAGCCAAATTGCATTTCCTGTGCGACACCTCGCTGCGCTGACAATCAATTGAAGCGATTTACTTGGTTAATATGGCACAGGGGGAGCGATTCGCAAGCAATCCCAATGTAACGCCCAGTTTTTAATCTTATCTCTTTAGCAAAACAATATATGTAACATTGATTAGATATGCACTGAGTCAGTGCGAAGAGTAGGCAAAAGTCTTGCGACATTTCCAGCTTGGTCCGATGAGAAATTTTCAGTAAATAATGAGTAAAAGGTCAAATGAAAGAAGAGTGGAATTGAAATGGGGAACGAAATGGAAATGGAAACAAGTAGTACAAGTGGACGGCAAGCGACAGAAGGCAGCTGAACTAAAGTAATGTGGAACATGGATAGAACATTGTAACATGTTTCAATTGAAAGGGAATTTATAAGGGGATTCATTGCAAATTAAACATTAAGTACTTGGAAATAAGACAGTTGAATTTAAAAGGCAAAACAGTGGAATATGCAACTGTCACAGCTGGTAATGGGTAAAGTGAAGGAATAGGGAACGAAACGGAAAGGAATATTCAACATTTCACATAAAACAGTCGAAATGAAAATAGTTTATCAGAAAATCAAGGAAAAGATCATGGGAATAATACTACTCTAAAGTGGAAAGCCAATTTTATGGGGGTATGTGTAATATGGAACGGTGGAATGTGAAACAGAGCAGCAAATTAATTTATCAAGCATAGGAATTAATTGAAAATGGAACAGTTGGATAAATAAGGCATGAAATAGAATTTTAAATACCAACTAAATGCAACTCAAGTAATGATACAAAATACTAACTAAATGCAAATGGAATGGAACATTTGAATGAAAAAGACCCGAAATGCTAGAATTTTAAATACTGACTAAATACAAATTAAGTTTCAGTTAAAAATACAAACTAAATGGAAATGGAATGGAACATTTGAATGAAGAAGACCCGAAGACTAAATGTAAATTAAGTAATAGTAGAAAATACAAACTACATACAAATGAAATGGAACATTTGAATGAATAAGACACGAAATGCTAGTATTTTAAATACTAACCAAATGCAAATGAAGTAATAGTAAAAAAAATACTCACTAAATACAAATGAAATGTAACATTTGAATGAATTAGACTCAAAATGCTAGTATTTAAATAATAACTAAATGCAAATAAAGTATTAGTCAAAAATACTAACTAAATGCAAATGGAATTTGAAGAAAGAAGACTTAAAATGCTAGTATTTTAATACTAACTAAATACAATACAATTTAGACAGTAGTAAAAAAATACCAACTACATGCACATGAAATAGTAGTAAAAAATACCAACCTAATGCAAATGAAACATAGTAAAAGAAAATACCAACATCTTATCTTGAAAAAGGCTAATAAAATAATAAATAGTTAGTTAATTAACTGTTGAGAAGAATGAAGCAGATTATGTGCCCGCAAACAATTACTCAAAAGTGCTTAAGCTGTATTCCCTTTGTCAGACGCACGTGCTCGGAGCTCAGGCAACGATCCCTCAATACATACATACATATGTATGTATGTATTTTTGCCACTATGTGCCGAGCACTTGACTTGGGTTAATGGGGTTTTTAGTTCTTTTTGGTTCTGTAGTGTTTGTGATTTTCATTCTTTTGTGCGCTTTTTGCATGTTGCCGCAAAATTCGCTGAACTTTTCATAACTTTGACTTTGAATAACGACAAAAAATGTGTGTGGTTTTTTTTCTTCATTTTTTTGCTGTAAGCTAATTTCAGCTTTTTAGCATTTTTATTGCCCGCCAACCCATTCCAACAACAACAACAACAGCAGCGAACTAAAAACAGATTTTGTTCGTCATACTCGTAACCTTGAAATATTGAAATAATTTGCTTTGGATATGGCAATATGGCAATAAGTATGGAAAGGTGCCATTTGTGATGTTTTGTTCGACAACTCCCAATTGGTCGGGGCGAGTATGTGTTGTGTGTGTGTGTGTGTGTGTATCAGGGGGAGTGTGTGTGCGGATTAGCGTAGAAATGTCATTTGTTTGGCTGTTTGCGCCTTTCTTTGCGATTCTTAAGAATGCGCCCTATCTCGCTCGCACATGCAAATTCCATCAGCAGTTTCTTTTTTTTTTTGCAAGTTGTTATTGTTTATTTTGTTTTGTTTTGCTTTGGTGCGTGGGGGCGGCTGATCTCAGTTCACTGTTCTCACTAACTTACGCAACTCACACAAACACACTCACACACACTCACTTATTTAGCTGAGCAACGTGAAAAATGTAGAGTGACCGAACGGGAGAGCGTTAGCTCCTGCTAAGAGAGCACACGATCCTGTCAAAAAACGAATTACGCTTTGCTTAAGCATTTTAGCAGCAGCGCTGTTTGCGTCGCTGCCTGCTGTTTGTTTAAGTTTTTTCTGCGCGCGCGTTCTCTCTCTCCCTCGCTCTCTGCTCTCACACGTGTGCTGCTGTGTGTGTGTGTGTGTGTGTGTGACGGCGGTCGCATGCAAAAATGAAAAATGACAAAAAAAAAAAGGAAAAATAAAATACAATTTCTGCTGCTGCAGTTTTTATTGCTTTGAACTTTTTGTGGCCATTGGCCGTTGGGGGCGCACTGTGGTTTTTGGGCGAGACACACGCACACACACACACACACACACGCACGGCTTAGTATTCAATATGTATAAACAACAACAAAAATAAAAGAGAATATGACAGCAAACAGCTAAACGCAAATATTTGCATTAGCTATGAAATCAGCGCACGAAATTAAAACACAAATACAGAGCGATAGCAAATGAAAACAACGACAACAACCAACCAGCGGCTAGGCCTGGGCTTTCGGCTGGCGCGACCGGCGTAAGCGCGTGCAAATGTCAAACTGAGCGCCAAACGGACAACGAAACATTTACGAGCCGCTGCCGTAGTCGCTGTCGCGCCAGCGTCAGCATCAGCAGAAGTCTGCGCTCACTCTCACTCGCTCTCTGTCTATCTCGCTCTCACGAGCGCTGATCATGTGGCAGCGCCAGTGCGGCTGCTGCTGCTGCTGCGCGGCTGTGGCTGCGGCTGCGTCTGCGCAGCTTTGTGAGCTTTAAGAATTTTTGCGTTTTGTTTGTCTTTTGCTCTTTGTTTGTTTTCATACTCTGCACACAAAGTGAAGTAGAGCATATTAGTTTTGGCAGCTCGAAGGCAATTTTCTCTTGATATATGTAGTATATAATCGTGTATATTCGCGTCAAATTGTTCACAAAACTTGCGGGCCATATAGCTCACAATTTTTGAAGCAAGTCCTATCAAATTCTACTGAAAACATCTCTTAAAGATCGACCAAAGCATGTGAAACAGTGAAACGGAACATAATTGTAAATGAAACAGTGGAATTTAAAATGTAAAACAGTGGAACGTGAAATACGGAAGTGAGAACATAAAGAACTGAGAAAACAAATTGTCAAGCAGAAGATAAAGGAACCTACTAGTCCAAGTGGACTAATGCTAGTTAAATTGGAATTTAAAAAAAAAATAATATTGTTGAAATCTGAAACAGTAAAAAAGAATATACAAACTGGACTTGTTAAATTTGACAGGTAGCCTGTTCTATATGTAAAGAAAAGATTAGATTAGATCGATCAAATATGTTTGGGTCACGCCCACAATATGACGCACAGTTTTAGCCCTCCTTGATAGTCTTATCGAGCTCCGATCTTATCTGAAGTGTGGACACGCCCACAGATACCTATACAAAAGGCAAAAATACTGTCACGATTTAAAAGTTCACCAATAGCATTAATTAAGGAAACCCTGTTTTTGACTGCTTTTACATAGTCAATTATGCGCTGTGAATAGCGTATCGCGCAGTCGTTGGAAACCGACTGCGAATGTTTCTAATTGGTTGCTTTGGTTTTTTGTTTTTGTTTTTTTGTGTACCCGATTCCCGCACGGTGGTCTCTTGTTGGCCGTTGCTTTGATTGCTCGCGCCGCGTTTAATTGAGTGCGCGTCGGCCTGACACGCATCGCTTGACACTTGCTGCCGCTGTCGCTGCCGTTGCTGCTGTTTGTTGTTGTAAGTGTGTAATATGCCCCCGCAAAAAAAGAAGAAAACAACATAAAACCCACAAGTACGCCCGGAGCCAAGCGGCCACTTAGAGAGCTTGTTAAGGTCCATCATCTGCTGACGGATTTGCCGGCGGCTTGAAGCCAAAACTATGTAAATTAAATGCCGGTTAACATAGTAGATACATGTTAGCTGAGCTTAACATAAAGGTCTTTACATAACTCTCCGCTGTTAAGTGCATGTAACATGATGTTCTGCCTGCTTGAGGCAAATATGACGCGTTGTCGAAGACTATGTAAATAAAATGTCAACTAAACTTAACATACAAAACGTTCGCCTCACTCTTAGCTGTTGAGTGTATACATCCCATAGCTGTTAAATTACATAGCATATATTAGCAAAAAGACTATATAACAGTACGTAAAGCGTGCCACAATGGCTAGCTAAGCACAATATGTAAAGCCCTGGCATGCAACTGTTAGACAAAACCTACAAATGTAAACAATGCCTAGCGTGCCATAGAACCCCGTCACTAACAGCTGTTACACGAGACATTTTTCAATAACATCATCTGCGAATGCTAACTGTACTTAATACTTATACTTATTCTAGCAAGCAGCACGCCAGTCAGCCTTTTATTTACATAAACATTTAACATAATGCACAAATGTGAATAACATCTGAACCATAACTGCATTTAGAATACCAGCCAAAGCTGTTTCAAGGCAGATTTATGTAAATAACTTCAACATTAGATAACAAAACCAGAATATGCCAACTTAAGATAACAAACAACGCACTCTCTTTTCTAACAGCTGTTAAGTGACAAATGTTAAGCAACATAAATGCATTACATAGCTATTAAGAAGCATCGAAAACATAGCATTGCAACAAAGCACAGCGACAACTGTTGTGCTATAGTTTTGCAGACCTATTCTCAACAGTACACTGTAGACTTAACATAATGTTAACCGAAAACTGTGAACCGGCCTCTTGAAAAAGTAAAAAAATATGTTTAAAGCTCTTTAATATGTCCTCAAATTGCAGATGTTTTATTAAGAGATCTCTGCTTTGAGGAGCACAATCTTACACTGAATGTAATTAACATCGTCTAAACGAAAATCCAGAACTGAAAGCAAAGCATGCTGATTGCGCTTGCAAATCAAGTTATTCAACAATTCAACAAAATGCAATGCATATATAAATATATATGTATATAAGCAATCATATTAACAAGCTGTCAGATCCCTTGCCCCGCCGTTTGAATACGTTAAATGTTCAACGGACTTTAACAAAACTTGACTAGTGCGGCAAAATCTCCATTAATAATAAGTATGCCACACGCAAAGCGGCTTTTGTTTATGCAACCGAAGCATTTTCAACCCAATATGGCATCGGTTGACTGATTGAGAATATGACTCAGTGCTTAGCTCAGGCACTTTTAAGTGTATGATCTGTCGAAATATAGTTCCTAATGCGTCCTTTCAATCTACATTACATATATGTATAGTATGCATCTATAAAAGTGTTTTGTCTACGCACAGTCCAAAATTAAGAATTATGAAGCTGCTGTTGTAATAAAAATATATGCTATTTTTAATTCAATACAATAAACATTTATATAAACAAAAAAAGGAAGCTGAAATTTGTACATAAGAAAATTTCTATCTCCAAGCTGAGAAATACAAAGTTCAAAGTTTCTATGAAAGAACAACAACAATAACGCAGTCATAAATGTAAGTTTGTCAGGCAAATGTGACGTCAGGAGCCTGTAGAACTCAGTTGTGTGCGCGTCGGACCAACAAGTGCGCAGTCGCCGGTTCAAACGCAGCAGCAATTTAACAACTTTTATATACTTTTGTTGCGTTGGCTTTGTCAACAGTTCGACGAAACCTCCCGAGAAAAGGAAAAACAAAATAAATTGTATAAAATTGATAATATACATTTGATTTTTTTTTTTCTTTAAATAATTTACAACAATAATAGAATAGATCGCGACATGTGTGAGCAGCAGCTGAAGGAGACGCATATTATATCTAATTGGGAAAAACTAGCCCACTTTTGTGACACTTTTTTTTCGGGGGGGGGGGGGGGGAAATCAAGTTCGGAGCATGAGAAAATACTTTGTTATACAACAAAAGTTTTAATCTGTTTTAATTTGTTGTCTTTTATTGTGAATGCTGCCTTTTGCAGTTCTTTGAGAGGGAGAGGGGGGGGGGGTGGAGCTCTTAAATGCTGAGTTTGATGAAAATTGTGGGGAAAACAGTATTATATAGTGGTTTATAATAAATAGTGGTCCGATCCGGACCTAGCTTAAAATTGAGAGACATGGCTATAGCAACTCGGCTATTGATGCTGATTTGGAATATATGTATGTATATAGTTTCTGGGGGTCGGGGATGTCTCCTTTAATGCGCTACACATTTCATGAAAATATTGTTTTTTTTTAGTTATCACATGTGTTTTTGTTATATTATAATATTGATTAGTTTTTTAGGCATCAACGTATTCTATTTCGTCGATTTTGACAGTCTCATCGCTCCCCCCTGAATGATTTGAGCCAGAATCTGGCGGCATCGCAGCCATATCCTCCATGGCGGCCAAACTGGCGGCTCCATCCAAGTACTGAAAACTTCGCATGGTGTTTTGGTTGCTGGGAAAGCGAGACTGGCTGCCCGAGGAGGAGCTGGCTTGATTGGGATGCAATTGTGACATCTCGAGATCTGGACGCTGGTCGCGTGCATGGCGTTGCGTTGCCGGCTGGGCGGAGAATGTTGTTGTTAAAAGTATGGGCGTGGCATCGGCCGTTTGACGCCAAACGGGCGTGGCATAGCTGGCATTGCTGACATTGCTCACACTTCGGTGGGGCTGGCCACGCTGGGATGTGGCTTGGCGCTGCAGCTGGGCGTACTGCGGCAAAGCCTCCAGATCTTGTGGCATATCGCTCGCATCTGCAAATGGAGCAGAGAGCAATCGATTAGTTGACATATTTGCATAGATGGTCAGTTAGTGAGAGGGTGAGAGAATGCGCCCGAGAGCGAGTGTGAGTGGAAGAGAGAGCAAATGTCCCAACAGCTAAAGAGACAAAAGAACAGATATTCAACTGGTAGAGAGACAGAGGAAGAGAGAGAGAGACAGAGAGAGAGAGAGATGAAAGAGAGAACCGGCACCAATGTTTACTACAAATCAGAACTTTTCAAATTGTATACCTTTTTGGTTAATGCGTTCCTTAAATGTGGCTTGCCCTTAGTACCTGTGCATACTTTTGTGTGTGTGCCTGTGCGCGTGTGTGTGTGTGTGTGTTTTTGTATGTGTGTGTGTGTGTGTTGTGTGCATTATCATTGCCTATCGTTTTAACAAAATGCATTCCAAATATTAACTGCGTGTCTCTTTTTGGGAGCACATGTATAGTAGGCAGCATGTGGATCGTATATGGATCGCGTTTTAATCTTATATGTTTACGCTTTTCAATGCGACCAGCTTTTGCGTAACACTTGGGGTGTGGACCGTATGCGTAGATCCCATATTTCAATATGTGTACTTATTGTAGATCGCAAGTAAAATTTACACATTTGGTGTGCCCAGCTCTTGCAATTATTGTGTGTTGCATTTCAGGTGTGGATCGCATGTGGATCCCTTGTTTTAAGTGTTTGCTTACACTTGGCTCTGTTAAATGTGTGGACCGAATGTGGATCCCAAGTGTTTGCGAATTTCAATGCAATTATTTTTCATCACATTTCAAGTGTGTATCGTATGTGTGGATTCTATATTGCAAGTGTTTGCCTAATCGATCTCTGTTTATTGTGGATCACATGCAGATCCTAAGTGATTTTTACAAATTCGGTGTGCCCAGCATCTGCACTTTTCTTGCATTGTTTTATGTGTGTGGATCGTATATATGGATTCCATGTTCTAGGTGCTTGATTAATCGCTTCACAAACTACAGTGGTGAGTGGACCGAATGTGCTTTTGCAATTATCTTGTGGATCGTATGTGTGGATGCCATGTTTTAAGTGTGCATTTAATCGATCTAACTAAATCCAAGTGTTTTAAGCAACCAATGCGCCCAGCTTATGCAATTGTGCATTGCTTTAAGGCGTGGATCGCATTTGGATCCCATGTGGAACGCATGTATTTTTGTGTGCTGCGTGCTTACTACTGGCTAACAATGCGTTGTGTATCGTGTTTGTTGCTCAAAATATGTTAGTTTTTGGTTCTTGTTGTTGTTGTTGTTTTTAGTATATAGAATTCAATGTTAATTTTGGTACAACAGATACATGGATATAGCATATAGAAATATAAAACGAAATACAATTGTGTTCGCCAGTTAAGTATAATATAACTAGGCACACATTAAGAATTTCGAATTAAACATAAAATATATGCGCACAGCCACAAAAAAAAAAAAAAAATAGATGTGTAAATTGCCAATTTTGTACAGATATGCACATCGATATAAAAAGTCAGGAACGTGTGGAACAGCATAACAGCTACGCTCAATTGCCATACTCACTGGCTTCTGAATTGTAGGGCTCCGAATAGAAGGACGTTGCCGGCGGCATTGGATCCGGTGGCACTGAATATTGAGCGGATAGCAATGGCTCGGCATAGATGGGCTCCTGATCGTTTGCATCGTGCGTCGGAGCTGTCGGCAGCGGTGAGTGCTGATGATGATGATGATGATGTTGTTGTTGTTGTTGATGATGATGATTGGCAAGTGTGTAATTGTCGTCATCTTCTCTGCTGTGCGCCGATGCCATATGATTGGCGAGCACACGATTCGATGTATCGGATAATGTTTTCAAATCCTGCATCAGCTGCATAACAACGTCTGAGCATTGTTCGGGCGTTAGCCTGTTGCTGGTTAATTTCTTGATTAGCTTTTTGGCAACGTTATCATCCGATCTCATTGACAATCGCTCCTTTTCCAATATATTGCGATCCGTATCCGACAAAATGCATGTTTCGCGCGGACCCGCACAGCATTTGGAGAACAAATAGCACGCAAAGAACGCGACCACGCTGCAGACCAGAATAACGCCAAAGACAACTGCGATTACCGTCCAGTACGAGATGCCCTTCATCTGTTGCTCTCGCTCCTGTTCCGTATAGAAATTATCGCGATACCATTTCATGGTATTGCCGCCGACACAGCGCAACGTGGTCTGATTAACGCCGCACACCTCGTTCACGTACCGCCGCAAATGCACCTGGCTGGCATTGAAGCATCTGCCCAAACGCTTGCCCAGCTGGCAATAGAGCTCCGAGCTGAGATCATGATCGGTCAGTGTGGGCAGCCACTGTTTGGCATCGTCGCAGCTGCACTCATGATCCACGGTTATGGCGCGCACCTCACAATTGCTAAAGTTGAGGCTATTCGGCTGCGGGTTGCCCAGCCAATTGTTGACGAACGTGCAGTTGGTTCGCTTGCGATGATCCTGGTTCAGTTGCATGGGCGCAAAGTTGCCAAAATGATTGTCCTCGATCGCAATCAGCTCGCCATTGTTCACGTGGATCCAGTTATCGCCCAGATACTTAATCCAATTCCTTTCGAAATACACAAAGACGCTGTGCACCAATATCGCGTCCTCCTTAATCGTATCAATGCTGCAAGTGGAAAATTGAAAGGTTTCAATTAGTTGAGGGGCTTATAGACAACAAAATATATTCCAGCTGGCAAGTTTTGTGCTTCACATTCTAAATACAACTTTTTCACCCATTTTCCGCAAAATCTAGCCGTAACAAAAAAAAAACGTTCGTTCATAATACCTTAGACTCGCATTTCCATACAAGAGCGTGGATTTTGCGAAAAACATTTCAAATAAATTATTAATTTGAGAATTATTTTAAAACCTTTCCGATGGCAAGCAAAAAAGTTGCAAACTTTCACGCGATTTTTCCACACTTGCGGGTGGAATATATTGATGAATATTTGATGTCAGAATGAATGCTCGACTTGGAGATACTAATCTCAACCCTGCGCCAAATTAACGTTACATTCCTTATGCAGCGACTATTCTACTTCTTCTTGATTAACTTCGGTATTTATAGTCCGATCTTTATGAATCTTTTAGGACTTAAATATGATATGCAAAAGTAGGCATATATCAAAGCACATATAGCAAAATTGTCCCAAAAATGAAATATTCTTAGTCTGTGCAGTCTGTACGAAAACCTAGACACCGTAACTAGCTTTAGAATCAAGTGTTCAAATGGATTTCAATTGACATTAGGGAAATGATAAGCGAGAGTACGGACGCATTCATACAGATTGACATACGATAATCGATATCTTATCCTTATCCTAATATCGCATCTTATCGTTATCTTCCTCTCTGACTTAATCTTTATCGCTAGGCGATTCGTATTCGCATCTTGCGCGATAAATGGCATAAGCCTTGTCATAGCTAAATCCCTACTGTTGTCTTAGGCACTCACGTATTCTCCTTGAGCGTCAGCTTGGATATGCCGCTGCCCATGATGGCTTTGCTGTCGATGGTGCCGATCTGGGTGCCTGTGATGGAGACGTGCTCGCTGAACAGTTTGCTGGTGAGGGCCCGCTCCTCGATCTTCCCGATGCGGCAGTTCTCGAAGGCCAGCTGTTTGATGTTGGTTACATCGAAGGCCTGACTCTGAACGCTGCCAATGGTGCAATTGATGAATACGATTTTATTCATCGATACATCGAATCTGTTAATGTGCTCAATGTGCGCGTTTTCGATGTGTAGCTGCAATTGTATAGATTATTGTTATAAAATAGATCCACATTGAATAGGTTAAACTATTTGTTATGCTCACGTTTACGAAGGACTTGAGAATGGGATTAAAGGATTTCTCGTTTATCACCAAGCTGCGTATGTTCGTAAAGTTGCACGACATGTTCATATTGATGAAGGCATTCGAGAACAATACCAACAAATCGCTGTTCTCCACACGTAGCTTGATCTCACCACCTGTCGGAATACAGAGAGAGAGAGAAAGGAGAGAGAGAAAGGGAGAGAGGGTTTTATATCAAATCTGGCACGCAACTGCTTCAAGTATGTCTAATTGCGCCTACTTCATTCAATGAATCCCTTCCTGCAACTTAATTAAAGTGTTTAAGCACAATTATTCACACTTAAAGCTCTGAATTACAGTTTTTTGCCTCTTCTGCTTCTGATTTTACAGTTTAAAGCTTTTCCTAGCTTGCTTTTAGCTTACAGCTGAATAAATGATCAATAATATTAAAGCTCTTTTACATATTCCAATTTTTTTTGCCTTAAGTAATCAAATCTCTAGCTAACAGAATATATCTTGTTAATATTGTCCTTTTTATAGATATTTGAAACTTATTAATAGCATCCTTTTATTTGGAGCTTTAAGTGGCCTTTAAAGCTTTTTTCAACTATCATTTTAGCTCAAAGCTTTCTGTAATAAATACGTTTGAACCTTTTTATTTTTAAGAGCCCTTTACCTTGCTTTTTTGTTAACATTAAAACCTAGTATTGCTCGAGCTTTTTAGTTTTTATCTTGCTTTTTTGTTTCATACTATCTATTCAGAATATTAAAGCTTGCTTAAAGCTTTTTAAAATTCCTCCATACTTCAAAGTCTTTCGAGTTACTTTACATTTAGCAACTAACAACTTAAAGCTTGCACAGCAAGCTTAAAGCTTTCAAATATTTGTATACATATTATATGCTTGAGCTTTTATGTATGATTCAGGGCTTTATCGACTTTGTGTTAATCTGTTTACTAAAAATAATAATTGGTTAACTCACCTGAGAGCGAATAGTTGCGCACAAATACAGAGCTTACGCCGAGTATCTGCAGATCCGGATAGCCAGCCTGATTGCCGCGAAAGGCGTTATCTATCAATTCCACCTGATCATTGCCATTGGGTACATTCGGTCCCTTGACCACAAACCGATTGACGCGATTCTGCTGAAAGAGGCCGCCATGCAGTTCAAATTCCGTTCGATCCGTCAGCGTCAGTTCCATGGCGTTGATATTTGCCGGCACCGAGTACCTACTGTCCAATATGGGCGACAGCTGCGAGCAGAGAGAGAGAGAGAAAGAGAAAGAGAGAGAGATATAGAGAAACTCAGTTGCACAAATTGTGCCCGGCTAGGGGAGAGGCACAGAGACAGGGGCGTGGCAGACCAGACAACACGTCACTTTTTCTTTTTGCATGCTGCTTGTGGCAGATATTTCTATGTGTGCCCTAACAAAGGGTCTTGTGATTCTGTCAAGAGCTTGTGATATTAAGCAAAGGTACCAAATCGATAAATATCGATATACAACAACATAATTTGAGGTTAGTTTGTGATAACATAGTCCGATATGTCGCTTCTTTTTGTTTGAAAATAATATTCGTTTCATTAAAAATCGATAATTATCGATAAACATTTCCTGTGAGGGATTTACGTGTGCTGCCAGGCTAAGTTCTTATTTTAAATGAAATTACCGCATCATCGTTTAATGCCGATAAATGTTCATTTGTGTTTGATAAATCTCTTATAATTTGTGCAAATCGATAAATATCGATATAGAACAACACACATTTTGCTTTTCAAGCTAAAGACATAAACTTGAATATGTGAATACTTTTTCTAATGTGTGAGTTATCGTTCGCTACAAAATCGATAAATATCGATAAGGAACAACACACTTCTGGTAATGTGTGAGTTATTGTACGCTGCAAAATCGATAAATATCGATAAAGATAACATGATATTTTCACTTGTGGCCCATTAATTATTGCAAAATAGCAATTCGTTTGTATTGTTGCCATCGAATTCGATTAATATCGATATATTTTAGCTTTTGGGTGAGGGTATCACAACATGGACTCGAGCTCGTTTCCACTTTGGCGTTTAGTTACTTTTAATGTGGTGCTCCGTTGTCGATGTGACGCTTGACTTACATTTCTGTGCCCGGGTGCGCTTGGTATTATTTTTAAATGTCTGTTGTCGCGACAACAACAACAACAAACACAACGACAACAATTGCAGCTTTGCTGCAGACAACGGCAAGTTGACCGCAACGTTCATTGCTCCAGCCCCAACAGCGACGTTGCACGAATGTGTGCGAGAGCAATTTTCTTATTAAATTAAAGGAAAATAGTTTGACTTCCAAGTGCTGGGGTGACAGCAACAACAGCAACAACAACAACAACAATAGCAACAATAGCAACAACAATGTGCTGGTTGTTGGACTCGAGTCTCAGATGGCAAGTGCGACTTTTTGTACCCTTGCATAGGGTATTAAAATGTCGTCATCGTATGTGTAATGCTTAGCTGGAGACATCTCCGATCGCATATAGCATATTTATATTCTAGATTAGCTGCCGAGTTGATTTGCTAGGTCCGTCTTTCTGCTGCAGTCAGTGCATATATCGAAACCAGATGGATCATAGAACTATATCTTATAGCTGTCATGGCAACGATCGGTCGAAAAGTAGGTTCGATTAGTGTCTCTTTAGAGATATCTTGACCCAACTCCACATTTACAAGTTTCCCTATGCTTATCATATATACTATATGTAAAATCTTAGCTTCATCGGACTACTTGCCATAGAAACGATCGGTCGAAAATTAGGTTCTATGGAAAACTTTTTTGCTCATCAAGTTATCTTGACCAAACGTGGCATTTCCCCCATGCACATGCAAGATCTTATCGACATCGGACCACTATATGATAAGCTCTCTCAGGAACAATCGGTCGAGGATTAAGTTCATGTATGAACGACTTTTTTGTTTATTAAGATATCTGGACCAAACACGGCATTCACTACTTAGTTCAACAATGCTGCTTATATTTGAGCCAAATCTTATCAATATCGCACTACTATATCATATAGCTCTATGGGAAGAATCAGTCGAAAAATGGATTTTTGTATGGCAACATTTTCTGTTTTCCAAGAAATAAACATAATTCGTTTAATTTATGATACATATTCTTATTTTCAAGAAGAAACGCCTGAGTTTATAAACTCTTGGGTCAATTTGTAAATTCCTACTAATAATAAAATATATTTATTTGTTTAGTTATTAAAAGCACAGCCAACGGAAGGTTTCCATATTCGGAAATTATTTTCTTTTATTTTACTCCCAAATTTATTTTTCCGCTGGGCAGACGTCCGTTCTTTAGACCGGATGCGAAATCTATTAATATTATTTTTTATTATTACAAGACACGCACACACTGCGAAAATGGAATTTCACAAAAAAAGCAAGACCAAAACGGTTGATCGTAACATATGTTATGTTACATAATTATGTTATGTGCTATGCGCTGTTAACTTTCTTTTAACATGCATTCTGCTGGCCTCAGCATAGATCGCAATCACTTGCAATCAATTTAGATAATCTTATGATACACACTATCTCTCCCTCTCTCTCTCTCACACACACACACACACACACACATACACGACTCAGCTATGCAAAGTTATTGTTGGAAATTAGTCGGGAGGAGCTGGTCTACGTGCAAAGTTAAATGTCTGCTTGGCTTCCGCATAATTGTCGTAAATCCAACTGTGCGTCGCCCGCCATATTTGGTTCACAATTGCAAAGTGAATAAAATAGGGGGCGGAGCGGTGCGGGGCGGGGCGACACATTGTTATACAAGAACATGCAGCTGTTACTTTGATCAACGGTAAACGGGCTCCAAGCCCAGAGATAAGACCGTGACAGTTTACCTAAACAACGCTAATAAGCCATTTAAAATAATGATTAATATGTATTTATCTATATATATATATACATATGGGTCCCCAAGAAATATACATATGTACATATACCGATTAATATTGAGTGTTCATAAAATTAATTAATAAAACGTATATATGTATGTATATAGTTCCTCGAGGTCTCCACATTTTCCGATTTAAGTTAGGAACTTTAGTAATTTACTATATCTGATCTATTCATGGTATTTTACCGATTTATATAATTATATATACATAAATAACATAATGTATGTATATATATATACGCTCACATATGCATGTAGTTCCTCGAGGTCTCCACTTTTTATACCCTTGCAGAGGGTATTATAATTTTGTCGTGAAATGTGTAACGCATAGAAGGAGACATCTCCGACCCCATAAAGTATATATATTCTTGATCAGTATCAACAGCCGAGTTGATATAGCCATGTCCGTCTGTCCGTCTGTCTGTTTCTATGCGAACTAGTCTCTCAGTTTTAAAGCTATCTTTATGAAACTTTGCAGAAGTCCCTCTTTCTGTTGCACGCAGTTCATATGTCAAAACCAGCTGGATCGGACCACTATATCATATAGCTGCCATAGGAACGATCGGTCGAAAAGTAGGTTCTTGTATGAAAAACATTTTTGTTTATAAAGTTATCTTTACTAAACTTGGTATTTATTAGTTTTACTACGTTCCCCATATATATGCAAAATCCTATTAAGATCGGACAACTATATCATATAGCTGCCATAGGAACGATCGGTCGAAAATTAAGTTTTTGTATGGAAAATTTTTATGTTTTTCAAGATATCTTGACCAAACTCGGTACTTATTAGTTTTACTAAGCTCCCCATATATATGCAAAATTCTATTCAGATCAGGCAACTATATCATATAGTTGCCATAGGAACGATCGGTCGAAAATTAATTTTGTACGGAAACCTGTTTTATTTTTCATGATATCTTAACCATACTCGGCATTAACTATTTTCCCTGTGCTTCTTAGATACGGGCAAAGCACTATAAGCATTTTGAAAAGGTTGGGTCTGCAAGGGTATTAAATCTTCGGTGTGCCGAAGATAGCACTTCTTTCTCGTTCCGATTTAAGTTAGAATATCTAGATAAGCATTATCTGATCTAGCCGACTTATACACAGTTATAAAGCTTATACAGGACCTTAAATCGAATTAGATACAAATAGCCTCAACTATTTATTTGGATAATAATTTTTTATGCCGAATAATCCGAAATCGGTACAAATATAACTTATAGTTATATTTGCTCTATAAACAAATATTTGTATTTTATTTGACCAATTATTCCAATCTATCGGAAGTATATGGCATAGAAAGACATAAATCCGACAACATATCTCTCGCCGCGTACATTACCCGGACTCATATCTGACGAAATTATGACGTCTTATTATGACAACCAGGAGACTAAAATCGTGGCCATTAACAGTTCCATTTTCGGGATATTTATTTAATGGACTTTTTACTTGTTTTCCAATACATACGTATTGATTAACCAGATATATTAAAGGCTACATTTTTATGTCAAATTAAAGTCAATAATGAATCATAATAGAGCGAGAGAGAGAGACACAGAGAGAGAGAGGGAGAGAGAGAGAGAGAGAGAGAGAGGGAGAGCGAGAGAGGGAGAGCGAGTATTGCACAGTCAGTTGCACCTGACTTGATTTATTTTCTTTTCTGCCCCATTCGTTCTTTTTCTTTTTTTTGCGCTCCCCCCACTTGTGCTTGCGGTACAATTTTGTTGTTGCTGTGGTCTGCGCGCAGCTGCGACAATTTCCAGAAGTCGCCGCGACGCAACAATTGTTGCCCACCTCTCTCTCGCTGTCGACCCCACCGCCGCCGCGACTAAACACACACTTGCCCGCACTTTGCGTCTTTCGGCTCGCGCCCCCTTCCCTCCCCTCCCCACCTCCTGCCCTCACCCTACCTCTTCGCTCTTGTACATGTATTCTGCATATATTTTCAGACATTTGCGGTTTATTATTGTTATTATTCATATTAATGTGGCTGCAGCTATTGTTTGTTTGTTTGTGTGTGTCTGTGCGTGTCCCCTCGCCAGCCCCCGCCCTTCTTCCCCTTGCCCGTCTGTTGTTGTTTTATTGCATTTACTTTACAACCCATCACTCAGCTTGCGATTGGCTTTGCTTCGGGCGCAATTTCTTTCAATTGCTCCAGTTTTTTTTTCTTACTCTTCTTTTATTTTTTTTCTGTTTTCTTCTCATCTCGTTTTCGTTTCTTCCAAAGCGGAAATTTCAATTAAGTTCTGCTTGTTATCTTTCGATGGAGCAACACTCACCGCGGATTAGCTGTAAACTTGCATATATCAACTTTTGAGGGCTTTACATACATACATATGTATATATGTTTGTTGCATGTGTATATATCTGTATATGTATGTGTGTATATGCATGTGTATAAATGTATTAGGGCCCACTTGTAAGGCACAATCTATATTTAGAGAACTTCTCTGTGCATTTGTGTGCTTTTAACTTTGTCTACTTTTTCTGCTTCTTCCTCTTCTTCTTGTCCCACCGACTGCACTTTTCCTAATTTTCCAGCGCATTTTTTGTCGCCGTCGCATTTATATTTAGAGCCCAGCAACTGGAAGTTGTGTAAATATATACATACATACATATATACATATTTATATATTTATATATATGTATGTATATAAAGAGGTTTGTTTGGCGGGCGGGTTGCGGGGCGCTGTGGGCGGAAATAGCAGCCGACATTTGGCTGATATATGTTTATATACATATGTATGTATGCGTGTATACATGTATGTATGTATATAAATAAGCCAAACTGAAAATCAATTTAAAATAAATTATGATGTGCATTTGCGTTGAAGATTTTCGCGGCACATGGTGAGAATATTTTACAGTTTTCTTGAGGAACAACAACTTACGCACGACGCACGCACGCACACACACATATACATACGCACACGCACACACACACGCTCTCGCCCATATGTGTGCCGCATGGCGTGGCAGGATTTTCCAATTGCCGAACGCACAGCAAGCGTCTGGCCAGCAAATCGTCCGTTTTTCATTCTTGTTTGTGGCTCACGTGCGCGTATCTGACAGATACCATTGTATCTAGAAGTCTACGTGAGGCAGAGATTGTGTGCATTGTCCAGCAGTACGATTGCCCAGCCCCGATAAGCGAGCGGGTCTTGTGTATCAAGCAAACATTTCCCGATCATTCTTTGTATATATGTATGTATAATATATGTATACATATATTCCTATATCTCCTCGCCTTTGGCCAGGGGAATATTCATGAAACGTCATTTCTTGGGCTTATCTTATCGAACTTCGAACTTGAAATTCGAGTGATAAATATAAAAAAGTATTAAGAATGTAAAGTAAAAATTGCATCTGTAACATCTGGTAAAATCCACCTACACGGGTGGAAAATGAACGAAAATCGATTGTTTGCAAAAAAAAAAAAAAAAAATAACAACAGTCGAGCAATGCCTGGCAATATTTTGCATATGAATCATAGTATTTAAAGTCTTCGAGCATATTAGCTATGTGCAGGGTATTTCGAGTGCGTAAGGTAAAATCAAATGAAAAGATCAGAATTTGCAAATCAATTGAAAATGTTTTTTAAATTGAGGAATTGAATTGGAATTTAGGTTATATTTTATGGCACTTCGTTGACTTAACGAAATATCTATAGTTTCTTCTATAACATACAGATTATAAATAGGAATGTGCCATAAATCGCAATTGCCATTAGACCCAAGTCTAGGGGCTTGGTGTATACAAATCATAAATTTGGGTGCTTGAAGATGATTTTAGAGCATGCAAATGGATCTATAACTAGACTAAAACCGCATATACCTATATCTGCATGTAAATATGTACATATGTGTATATTCAAATTGTAATTCAAATTGATATCTATGCAAATGAAACATCTGGAGGCCGCTTGCATTCTGTTGCACCTCCCGCCGGGGTGGAGGGGAGGAGAAGTCCAAAGACTTGTTTGCCACTTGATGGATTTTTTAGTAGCTCTCGTGCCCATTTCCCATTTCCATTTCAATTTCAATTTCCACTCGCATTTGGTTTTAAGTAGTTTTAGTACCCATTTCAATGGTATTTAAACAGTCATTCCTAAAACAAACACACAGAGAGCGAGAGAGAGAGAGAGAGAGAGGGAGAGAGGGAGAGCGAGCGAGAGACACACAAACACACACACATGCATTCGCCTTCCAAACAATTTTCCCGTCTCACTCTAGAGTGCGTTGCATGTTATTTATGTGCCTCGCATTGGAAAACTGAACATTTTGTTGATTTCAAAATGTGGAAAAACTTGTGCGTTCACTAAGTGTGTATTTCGAACATTTTGATACCCTGTAGATATTAGAGCACAATTAACGCTAGTTTATTTCATATTTTCGATATAGTTATCGGGCGTTTCAATTAGATCGATAAATATCGATTTGTCATGCGGTTTTTAGCGGAACTGTAAGTGCTCGAGAACGGAAATTTGCAAATATATAAAACTTTTTTTGTATTATACAAACGAGCTTATTTATCTTCCTTATACTGTTATCTGCTCTCATTATATCATTATGAAAAAAATATCGATAAATATTGATGCTGAGACTTGGCTTTTGAGTACGCACAACTTACAGATTATAAGAAGCATCAAATTATCAAATTTACAAGGCGAACAAGTTTATTAAACATTTTCGATACGATAGTTATCGGCCGTTTTGACAACATCGATAAGTATCGGTTTGCCTTGCGGCTTTTAACGTCATTTATCTCGGAATTGTTAGAGCTGGAGAATTGATAATTTATAACATATTCAACATTTTATCAGCTTCTCTCATTTTCATATTATCGATAAATATTCAAAGGGAAACTTGGCTTTTTAGTGAGCATAACTAGAAGATTATAGGAGCTCGAAGAGGTATTATAAGAGTATACAATTTAGTATGTGGGTTTTCTTAAGAAATAAACAGATTAAGAATATTTGACTTTTCGGTTAGCTTGTTGCTCGCTCCGTGACTTGGTTATGACTTGGCTCTTTGAGCGTAACTAGAATAACTACAACTAGAAGTAGACACCAAAATTTTGATGCCTCCTCTTGTCTCAGATACAGATACAGACATAGATATCGATATAGATACAGACACAGATACAGATACAGGTGCAGAAACAAATACAGATTCAGATACAGATACAGTATATACAGATATATATTAACAACCCTTTGACTTATATTTTGTACTCACAGTAAACTCTCCCTGAAACAATCGTTGATTGTTTCGTTAACTTTGCACATTCTCCGCAATATGCAATGAGCGTGTGTGTGCGGTAGTGAGGAGGAGGGAGGGGGCTATGGCGGATAAGCCGAGCGTTTTATAGTACATACATTTTAAGCTATCTATAAGATGCCGACACACACACACACACACACACACACACAATCACACACATCAGCTGTCACGCCATTCGAGCGACAGCAGCAATTGGCTGCCGCCACGCCCACTTCCGGTTAAACGCCCTTGCCTCGATTTAGTTAAAAGTTATAGTTAAATTTATCAGCAGCAGCAGCAGCAGCAAAATGCATCCGGAAGCAGGCGGCGACAACAACAACAAAGGCGAATCGCGCCCCAAAACTTGCAGCAGACAGAAGAACCGAAGATAGACAACAGAGACACGCACACACTCACACCTGCCTTACACCTGATTCATTAACATAACCAGTTGAACTGGTTGTTTTATTGTTCTTTTGAGCTGGTTCGTTTTGCCCGTTAATTGCCCGCCCGCTCTGTGAGTTTATTTACGTTTTCAATCTTTGACAAACGAGTGCTCACAACTACATGAAAGTACATATATATATATATATATAGTTATACAAATATATATATATACATATGTATATGCAGACAAAATTTGCGTCCACTTGCCAAAAGTCTGTGGGCAAAGACAGCATAACAATGCGTTCCATTAAAGAGGCAACTGTTCCGATAATATGTACAAATATATGCACACATTGTGCACACAGGCGGCACTCGCTATAACGCACCAATCATAAATGGTTATAGTTTACGAGATCAAGAGGTCAAAAAAAAAAATGAATAAATGAGAAGTCAAGTTCAGCTTCACTTTATTTGTTTTGTTTTCATTTCATTTCGTTTAACTTGTTTTTTTTTTCACATTTGTAAGCGGAATATTCGCATTAGCGTGAAATTGCTGTAGAATTTGCTATTGGGAACACTTTTAGCACAAATGGAACGCGTATTGGGAACTGTTCTAGATGCGTTCTAAACAAAATTCAATTCAATTGGGAACACTTACCGATTTGTTATGCGCATAGTCGCATATGACCGTTAGGCCGTGACAATGGCAGGGTATGCATATGCTCTGCGGCTCCCACTCGCCCGCATCTCTGCTGCCCCGGTTGATGATGTGAACAGCAGCAGCATCGCCAGCCAAGTGCAGACAGAGAAAAACCCATGTCCACATGATCGTGGCTTTGGCGCTGTTCACACTGCTGGAGGGGGGCAACCGCTTCTTCATGTTGACTTATCTCTTCCTTTGACTGTTCTGTTTTCTGAAGTGTGTCCGTCTCTCTGTGCTCTGTGCTGGGTGTTGTTGGGGTTTGGAGTTGAAAAAATTCGTTGTTTATCTTCTTCTTCTTTTTTGTCTCGTTGTTGTTGCTGTCTTTTGTAGATTTTGCACTTTTGCTACCGATTGATTCACAGCTTGCTAATACACATGCATGCACAATGTATACATATGTTTATATGTGTGTGTGTGTGTGTAAGAATTTCATCAGAGTCAAAATCTTCTTTTGCACATATACTATACACATTAATGTTGCTCGTCATCAACAAAAATATTTTTTTTATTCAACACAAAAAAGAATAAGAAAAAAAAAGTTTTGAATTCATAAACTCGTTAAAAAAAAATACTATTTTTTGGTCGTAGCAAACAAGACGCTCGTCAACCCAACTGCTGCACACAACCGTTCGTCGCCGAATTTTCAATAACACTGAACGCGATCAACAGTCGTCGCTAGTTGAAGTCAGAACTGGCCGACGCTCTCTCTCGCTCTCTCTCTTCAAACGACTACCTATGCATTCGTCGTGCGTGCGTGCGTCAGTGTGAACGAAGCAGCGCAGCTAGCAGGCAGCATTTAGTTTTAATGTTTCTTTAGCTGATCCCATTTAAGCTCTCAAATGGCTCTCCTGCTCGCGCTCTCTGACTTTTTTTTCGATGCCATTCATGTAATGGCTCTCTTGAAATCAGCTGAGAGCTGTCTGATTCTTAAGTTTTCTTATGTTTTCTTTTCGTTATGACAAAGAATAGCAAACCACACAAGTACAACTTTTTGTGTATGTGTGTGTTTGTATAGGGACATGTTTGTTCATGTCTGGCGATTTTTGTAAACCGTTTGATAAGAGATTCATCAATAAGCAACTATATACATACATATGTCCATACATTTGTATATAACATGTACATATAAAAGAGTTTGTACTTATACTTCCCTTTGGTTGGAAATTTAGCACATATGTATGTATGTATGTACATAGATACAGATAAAAAACTTGTACACAAACGAGAAATTAATCGAATTTTATTTATAGGCTATTATCATATATTAAAATTTTGTAAATTGAAAAGTGGGTTCTAAGTGGAAATTATTTATAACTCATGCGGTGCATGCCATAAACTGTCTCAGAGAACAGTTTAAGGGTATTTCAATTGGGTGACATACATATGTATGTATGTATGTATGCATGTATGTACATATGCATGCATGTGTGTGTGTGTGTGTGTGTGTGTGTGTGCCCCTGGCCGTAACTTAATTGCAGCTATTTAGAGAGTCTGAGACCCATTGGCAATATCTGCTTAGGGTCTGTGTAAGTGGAGCGCGCGACTTGGCAATCAATTTGCGTTCCATTTGCTGTGACTCTGGCACTAGGCAGCGGATGTTGCCCCCCCCCCCCCCCCCTATCTGCCTCTCTTTCGATAAACCATTGCAACTGTCAATGCGGGCTCAACTGTTCCCACCCCTTACGTACACCCCTCCAGCGTTTTGCTGCCTCAATTATTAGATCATTGAATCGGTGATTCAAGCATTTCAATTGTTTATTTTGGCTATTACTTTGTTTCTCTGCTAAAGTTGTAAAGGCATTGATAACTTATGTATGTATGTATATAGACTTGTCTGCACGTAGACCTGCACGAACCGAACTTTGCAGTAGATTTGTTCGCCACAGTTGTAAATAAAAAATAGCTCCATTCTACATGAGCTAAGCATAAAAATGGAATCAGTTCACTTTTTAGTACATATGTATATATTTAGACTTCTGAGTCTTATATAAATAAAAAAAATTACAAAAAAATATTCTTGTCTAGATATGTATTTAATTCGTAATAACTCGATAACCGTTCGTTCGTTTATTTTGTTCGTCTAAATACTGGACTGTTACCGTTAAATACGTGTAGCGCCGGGTAATTTCTGCTAGAAATATTTAAAAACATAAACAATATACGTACATATATCGACGTTGTTTTTTTTGTTAAAGTTACTGTATACGACGCGCAGCGCCGGGTAATTTCTGTTAGAAAAATTTTAAAACACAAGGAATATGGCTTGAGCTCGTATTGAACCTAGAAGTTTCACATGTTTCTTCAACCAGCTGAAATTCTGTTCGAAATTTGTTGGATGCGCTTCGTCAGGTGGTAAAGTTCAGCTGGGTCTCGCGTCTCTGTCGCACTTTATTGAATGCACGAATGAATGAATGAATGCATGAATTGTGGCGGCCTGCAACTTGTTGTTGTTTTATCCATTCATTATTTTTTATTTTGCTGCTCTACATTGAGCTCCATTTGTGCGGTCGCTCGGTTGGGCATCGGGTCGGGTCGGGTCGGGTCGGGCTTTTGGGTTTTGGGTCTGGGTCCAATTGCACGCGCGTTGCGTTCGAAGTAGATACATACATATGGATGCAAACGTGTTTCCCACAGGTAGCACACACGCACTCACACACACACACGCACACATACACACATTCCCCAGTTGGTTGCTAGCGTTTGTTGCTGTTCACGTGTTTGCCCTTTGGAGCTGGGGCGGCGCACACACACACACGCCCGACACACACACCCGACACACACACCCGACACACACACACGCACGCCCTTTGTTTTGCTGCCCATTTCGCTGGAAAATTGTGATTCTTTCATTTTCATTTCTCTTTTTTTCGGGTATTGTTTTATTTGCCTTCAATGTAAACGCGCGCAGTTTGTTTGCTCTCTCGATCTGCCCCCACTGTCCGCCCCTCAAACCCTCCCTCCCTAGCTTATCGTCCATAAGTGCTGGGACGAGTGGTTGATAAGAGTCAGCACACACACATACACACACACACACACACACATACACACACACACACACACACACACACACACACACACACACACACACACACACACACACACACACACACACACACACACACACGCAAAACAATTGCAGTTGGAGTCACCCCACAATTGGAAGCCAAAATACGATCGTCGATATCTTTCCCCGTTTCGAAGCAATAGATAATATTTTTTTTTATCGATATGCTGTATTTTGAGCAAGTTTATAAGGTTTTAAGAGCTAGAGGCTACAAATTCCATACCAAATTATTTTACAGCTATCATTATACCCCGCCTTTGCCCCATAGCTAGCTGTAAATCGATCAATTAGTTATATTGCTGTTTATCCTTTTTGAGCATATACGAATATTGTATAGCACACTAAGATCTAGTGCTAAAATTTGCATTCAAGATTGGCTAAGAAACAGAAAAGTTATTGAAGAAAAACTGTGCGCATATTGCAAGAATTTCAATAAATGTACGTATGTACATACATACATACACATGCATACACATATAACGGTAGCCGACGATTAGATATTAAACAGATTACAGAAGATAATAATTACATACATACATACTTATTGAATTATTTTTAAGCTATGTAACAGTACATAAGCAACTCCTCGCGTATGTATGTATGTATGTATGTATGTATATGCATGTGTGCGTATATGTTTGCACGTGTGTGTGTGTGTGTTTATTGGGCTGATCTAGCCCACTCGAGCACATGCACATGCATGTACGCTGCAGACTAGCTAAAACATACGATCCCACACACACATACACACACACACATACACATTCACATACACAGACACAGACACACGCATACAATGAGTCACCTGCTGTGTGAGGGCGCGCCACTACGTGCTCTTTACCGCCCGTCCCGTTGCCGAACCCACAAGCCAAACGCACAGACGTGACTTTTCTCAGCTAGAGCGAAGGAGAGCGCCAAGGTTAAAGCGTGAGAGCGGACCGTGTCGGGCAGCCTTTGAAGCTGCGTTCTGATTGGAATACAACGGCACTAGCTCAACTGGATTCTTATGGGGATAGACCACGCTAACATATCAATGTGAAATCAGAAATTATAAAACAATAAAAAATAGTATCAGAGAATTGCTTTTGATGAATGATAAGTTAAAATTCCGCTCACCATATACAGTAAACACTTACTTATTTTCAAATTGTTTACGATAATTCAGTGATAACGTTTTCCCTAGTCAAATTAATTAGTCAACCATAGTTATGTGATTCAATAGAGTACCCACACATATATATCTATCTGTAGAACTGTTTATCCTGACTGACTGATTGATGACCTGAATGACTGATTGAATGAATGACTGGCAGACCGACTGACTGACTGACAAACTAATTGACCGAATGACTGACAGGCTGACGACTGACTGATTGAAGGAATGACTGACTGACTGACTAAATGACTGCTAGGCTGACGATTGACTGACTGACTGATTGATGACTAACGCACAGCCCAAACCATAAGAGCTAAAAAGCTGACATTTTCTCGGTAGGACAAGATTTTAATAAATGCCACCCGCATGTGTGGAAAAATCGCGAAAAACGTTTGTATGCAACTGTTTTGTTTAGCATCCGATTCGCCACAAACTCATTTTCGAAGATCTATGTTCAAATTCACGTGTGGCATGTTTCAAACTTTTCGCAAAATCAATACCTTCTAGTTTTTGTCGCCCATTGGTGGGTGAAGTTTAACGTGAAATTCATTTCCAAGGATCTTTGTCTTCACAAATCATTCGAGTCGTCCTTCACACCTTTCGTAGAATCGAAGCTTACTTTGGGCCTTTATGCGATGGACTTTAAAACAAATGTTCAAAAAGAGTCCGTTTTTCAAGGCCGAGAAAATGGGTGAAGAAGATGTATCTAAAATGTTAAGCACAAATTTTGTCACGGGCAATGCCGGATAATGCCCGCTATATAATTATATAATTATTGCAATATTCCAATTGATTATTTATTGTTTGTATGAGCTCATCTAATGCCTGTTCCACTTCTTTTGTGCTTGCAGCTCGCAGTCAAATGAGCGTCAATTTCTGAAGGATTTCATTAGCGGCGCGCCCGGCTCCTCGGGCGCTCGTCTGGCCGCCTGGCTGCAGCCGGAATCGCGACTGGATCCCAATAAGTGAGTAGCTGTTGATAATCCTTAATAGCCAACTAATATCGACTCTCCACTCCCTAATCCGTTCACAGATGCGAGCTGAACACGATAACGGAGCCGCTGCGTTATGGCTGGCCCACCCAGGTGACGGTCACGATACGGGATCAGTATGGAGATGCTGTCCTGGTGCCGGAGCTGAAGGTTGAGATAAAGGCGATACCGACGGGACCGGATCGCAGCGGGGGAATGGGCGGCAATCAGAAGATGCGACGCACCTCCTATGCGGACGAGGGCGCCAATGCGAACGGGCACAGTCTGGGCGCCCAGCTGGGCGGAATGGCGCCGCCGCCGCGCCTCAACTATGAGGCGACCACCAAGGAGAAGATGTGCTTCAAGGCGATCACATTCATGAAGCCCTACACGAACTATTCGTTCGAGGAGCTGCGCTTCAGCAGCCCCATCCAGACGCGCACCACGGAAGCGCTCAATGCCCAGGACATGGAGGATGGCACCTTCAGTGTACACTGGACGCCCAATTCGGTGGGCGGCTACTGTTTGGCGGTCACCATCGATGGCATACCACTCGAGGAGGTCTATCGCGTTGAGGTCAAGGAGGGCATGCTGCCGCCGCCGACGCAGCGCTCCAGTGCGACGCGCCGGCCGCAGGCGCCGAGCAAGCTGCGCCGCTTTCAGGCCCAGCACAGTGCCGGGCTGCGCATACGCTCCCATCCGACGCTGCAGTCCGAACAGGTGGGCGTGGTGCGTCTAGGCGGCATCATATCGTTCATTGACGAAATCGAAAACGACGACGGCATCTGGCTGCGCCTCTCAACCGAATCCATACGCCAGCACTGCACCATGGGCTGGTATCCGACCGAGGCCTGGTGCCTGCAGTTCAATCAGCACTTGACGCGCACCCTGCTCCAGCCCGTTACCGATGGCACGGCCGCCAAGTCTGGCAGGTCCGCAAAGTCGGCGACAGCTGGTGCAGCTGGCGGCGAGCTGGCGGAGGCGCCGCCCAGCAGTCCCAGCGGCAGCAATGCGCACAGCCCTAGCAGTCCCGGTCGCAGGCACAGCAAATCCCCGACAGAGCGTAAAATCTTTGAGCCCGCTATCGCGTCCAGCAGCTGCTCGACGAATCCGTTTCTGCTGCCCGCCAAGTCCAACGAGCAGCTGGACGCGGACAGCACGCTGGCGTCCGCCACGACGGAGCTGCTGCCGGCCAATCTGGGCTCGGCGCTGGCGGGCGTTGTGGGCGTTGTGGGCGGCGGCGCCATCAAGCTGCAGGCGCTCCAAAAGTGGTTCAAGGGCGATCCCAGCGAGCCGCCCGCCACAGATCCCAGCCAGCCAGCCAATCAGTCGACCTCGGCCTCGGCGTCGGCGTCGTCCCCGCCGCTGGCCGCCGTCTCTGTGCGGGAGCTGGTCCGGGCAATGGGCGGCCCGGAGACGCCGCCGCGCGGCAATGGCAACTGCCGCGAACAGGAGCCGAGCTCTGCGGATGCCGTCTGCGATTTTGACATAGCCAGCGTGCGGCGCATGAACTTTACGGCCAGCCAGACGGCGGCGCTGCTGTCGACGCCGAAGCATACGCCGCGGCGTGCCGCCCAGCCGGCCGCCAGCGAGGCGGAGCAGCAACAGCAGCTGGCACAGCTGGAGGATGAGCTGAGCGTGCTGCAAATAACGACGACAACAAACGCGGCCAGCGAAACGCAAAGTGAGCTGCAAATTGGCGGCGCAGACGCCGCTGCTCCAGCGGCTTCCAATTCGAGACGCGGCCATGCAATGGGCCCCATAAAGCGTGCGATGCCCCCATCCTTTGCGGAGAGCATTCGTGCGGTATTTGCCGCCCTGCTCTGGCACGAGGGCGTCGTCCACGATGCGATGGCATGTGCGAGTTTCCTTAAATTTCATCCCGGCCTGCCCAAGGAGGGCGCCACAGTGATGACGCGTCGCGATCCGAACGATGCCCGGCTGCAGCTGTCCCGGGAACAGAAGGCCCAACAGCGCCATTCGGTGGAGGTGGCTAATGCCGGTCACTATCTCAATATACGTCCCTCGACCCTCGAAACGCTCGCCAAGAGCGGCAACTGTTCGCTGCACAATCGCAGCAAGCATCGCAAAGCAGCCGCCGCCAATGTCGCCGCCGCCGCCGCTGGAGAGGATCAGACGATGTCGCAGCAGCAGCAGCAGCTGCAGCCGTTGCCGGAGCTGGTGAGCGTTTTGCCGCCGGCTCTGCGCTGCTTGGTATATCTCTGGGAGCAGATCTGTGCCGGCTGCGTACACATTGTCCAAACGAATGGGCTCGAGCAGCGCGAGCCGCGTCTCTTGTCGCCGAACGGTGCTCGGGATGGCGATCCGGATGCCAAGGGCGATGGCAAGGGCAACGGTGATCTGGGCGGCGACAGCAAGGATCCCAGCAAGAAGGGTAAACGCAAGAAAAAGGACGACGGCAGCTGGTGCGAAATCTGCGAACTATTTCTGCCCATGCCCGTCACATATCATATGCGCATCGCCCATCCCGGCTGCGGCAAGTCCGCCAAGGGCAAGGGCTACAATTCGGTGGGCATCTTCTGCGAGGGCTGGGCCGGCAATTGCGGCGAGGGCGGCAAAGGCGCCTCCAGCTGGTTCCTCATGTGCGACGCCTGCCGCGACAAATATCTGGCGAGCAGTCGCAGCGCCAACAATGTCAACGCCGCCGCACAGCAAGCCGCCAATGCAGGTGAGTGAATCCATGAATTTGAATAGTTCTTCCCAATTATTCTCTTTTGTGCGGCATTCGTAAACGTTTTCGACGACCGACTGTTTTATCAACGCACAGCCAAAATATCGTTAAAGCTGAAATTCTTACTCTAATTATTTGATTTTTGGCGTTTTCACCTGCATCTGCCTGTCAGTCAGTCAGGCAATCAGTCAGCCAGCCAGTCTGACTGTCAATCGCTCAGTTATTCTGTCAATCACTCAGTTGGTTAGTCAGTCAGTCAATCTGTATGTTAACCAGTCAGTCAGTCACTCAGTTAGTCAGTCAATCATTTAGTCAGTCAGCCAGTCAATCTCGCTGTCATTTGGTCAGTCAATAAATCAGTCAGTCAGTCAATCAGTTAGTCAATCAATCAGTCAGCCAGTCCATCTGACTGTCAATCAGTCAGTCAATCACTCAGTTAGTCATTCAATCAGCCAGTCAATCATATAGTCAGTCAATCACTCAGCTAGTCAATCAATCAATCATTCAGTCAGTCAATCAGTCAGTCAGTCAGTCTTTCAATCAGTCAGTCAATCATTCAGTTAGTCAGTCAGTCACTCAATCTGTCTGTCAATCAGTCGGTCAGCCTGTCAGTCAGGATAAACAGTTTTATAGTAAATGCGTGTTTTACTGATGTTGAAAAGTACGCGCTGCGGCCTTGAAAATATATGTATTTCACAATAGTATTATTTATGGAAGTTCCTCTCTTTCGGACGTTAAACTTGACTCATATGTCAATCAAGTGTATCTATAAGTAAATATAGGAGCCAACGCGCGATAAGGAAATGTTGACCATTATTAAGTAATTTTGCTAGATTATTCTACACGAAGTATATGGTAAATAAGATTCCTTATCAAATGATAATTTTAATGCCAACAAGAATGTTATACAAAAAACGTGATGATGAACTACCTAAATCATATTTATGAGCTACCTGACAAAACGTATATCAAGAAAACAGAAAGTGATTCGTTTTATAACATTATTGGACATGACCGAAGAAACCCAAAATCCGTAATGCTCTATAAAGTATATACAATGCAAAACAATCCATGTGATCGATTAGTGGAAAATTCGTTTAAGTAAAATGTTCGGGTGCTGCCCATTGAACGACTCTCAAGTCGCGTTCCTACGCTGAATAATCACCAAAAATGAACGCCTCATAAATCTACCTATAACTCGGATTGTACGGGAGTTATTTCAAAAGTTGAATATTCTCGGGTTGTGTATGCTAAACGAGAGCCTGCATACCAAAATTTGGTGTCCGTAGCTCCTAAAATTCTCGAGCTATCCATAACGATTCTTAGCGATATTATGATGTTTTATTTGTTTTAACATTGTGTTGTGTTCTCCTTTGCAGCTGCGGAATTGAATTTGTTTGGCGTGAAGACAACTACGCTGATCGCCAACTCGGAGGTCTATACCGCCATGCGGGAGAATGCGACATTTTTGCTTGAGCTGTGCTCATCCTCCGCCTCCTCCACGGGCAGCCTGCAGCCCACCGCAATCGTTGGCAGCCAGAAGCGATCGCCCCAGCAGCAACAGCAACAGCAGCAGCAGCAGTCGATGGCCATGCCGGTTGTGGTAGAGCATCAGCATTTGGGCATGGGCATGCCCGATCTGAATCTGAGCAGCAAGCCGAGCACAAGTCGCGCCGACTCGGCGCGCAACAGCCGAATTGGACGGCTGAGCGGCAAATTTACGGCATTTCGAAAAAGTTTTGTGGGCGTGCCGCCGGCAACGCCGGACAATGTTTGGCTGGCGCCCGACAGTTTTGCCTGCTTTGAGTGCCTCGGCACCGGCGTCCATGAGGATCTGCCCTACGAGATGTTTGGCCTGGGCGCCAATGCTAATGAGAACGGCTACGATCGGGTAAGTCAAGGCAATACGCCTAGGTTAATTTGGAATACCCTGGCTAAAGAAAAGGGCATATTGGTTTTGTGCAAATCGTATGTAACAGACAGAAGGAAGCGTGTCTCCGAGCCCGTAAATTCTATAGATTCTTGGCTCAGCATCAATAGTCAAGTCGTCCGTCTGTCAGTCCATACAATTTCATAAAGATCGGACAATGGAGACCGAAGTAAATCACAAAAGCATTTTCCTTGTTTTGGGGCAGAGGGAAGAAACAGTAAAAGAAAGCCAGATTTATTTATTAGGCGAGCCGAGTCGATCTAGTCATGTCCGTCCATAAAATTGCATAAAGATCGGACAATAGAGACCGAATAAAATCAGGAGAGCATTTCCGTTACTTTGGGGCAGAGGGTAGAAGCAGCGCTGCAAGCGTAAGGAAGCTTGATTTATTTATTGGGCGGCAACCCGGTGCGGGATTTGAGCTGGTAATTTCTGCTGTGCATTTGACCCGATCAAAGCCGGATAATTTCCACCTATAATACATATAATTGAATCTCGAATTGTTGTCTATTTGCGCAGCCCTTGTCGGAGATCTCGTACGAGTCGTGTGAGCCCAACAACTATGAATTGATGTCCGGATCGTTGGCAAATCCGACCTCCACTGGCGGCACATTGTCCAAATTCCATCGCAGCTACTCAATGGGCCAGGGCTGGGCAGCTGTCGCACAGCAGCAGCAACAGCAACAGCCGCAATTGCATTTGCAGTTGCAGCACCATCAACAGCTCCAGCTGCAGCAGCAGCAGCAGCAACAGCTGCAGCAGCCCTCGGTGGTCGCCTTGCCGTTGGATGCACAACCGAAGGTTGTCTATCGTCGGCGCAACAATTCGACCAGCGAGGGTGATGGCTCGCTGCTCATCTGCTATCCGTCGGAGCATCTGCGTCGTCTGGTGCCGCCGAAGCTCTTGGCCAGCGTCGCCGTGCTGCCGCATGCCCCCAATAATGCCAACGATACGCAAACCAAGCCAACCCCAGCCGAGGGCAAGGAGCAGGCAACGTCGCAATCGTCGCAACCGTCGCTGCCGCCGCCGCCTCCGGTTAGTCCGCTGCTGGAACAGAATAGCGCACTGCTCAGTCGACCCGCGATGGCGTTCATCACACAGAAGCACGAACTGGATCGTCTGCGTGGCGCAATGCGACGCAGTCTACGGATTGCCGCGTGCCGCATTTATGCGCTGCAGGCGCTCAACTGGCTGCTGCGCAGCGTTACGCAGGGTGTTTGCCTGCACGATCTGATGTGGTGGTTCGTCAGCTCGCTGGCTCTGGGCAGCTCTGAGCTGGTCGATGGCAAGTATGAGGAGGCGGAAGCGGCACTGGAGCATCCGGTTGCCTACACACAGATAAGCGGACGCTTCGCACACCTGATTACCCAGTCGCTGCATGTCCTCCTCCAATCGGTGGCAGACCTGACGCTGCACCTGCCGCTGGGCTCGCCGCTGCAGCGTGTGGCGATTCAGTGCTTTGGCATACGCTTCCGGCAGGCGGATCATCAGTTTCTGCACAGCTCGCATGTCTTTGGCAACATCTCCAAGATATTGTCGAAATCGGATGAGCAAAACGACGCCATGGCCGTTTCCACATTGCTGGCGGCCACTGGCGAAACGCATTGCGATGCGGAGCATAATATAGCCACCGCCAGCAATCAGCTGGCCGCTGGCAGTGTGCCCGGCGCCAGGGTCATCAGCTATACCGATCTGTCGGGTATGTTCGAGGTGACGGTCTCCTCGCGTCCGGCCATGGCCGAATCCCTGACAGACAACTCAACGGAAACATTCTGGGAGAGCGACGAGGAGGATCGCAACAAGTGCAAAATTATCGAGCTATCAATGAACAAACTCAGCTATGCCTGCAAGTTTGTGCTCGTCCACATCGACAACAGCCGTGACATTCAGGTGGGTAAAGACTGCCAAGCTGACTCATTTCCTTCTTTTATTTTTTGGTATCTTAGTCTTAGTTCCAAGACAGACCTTGCCAATTGTATTTCACTGACAAGTTCAACAGTACCGTGAGGTATTACAGTAGCTCGGTATTGCCGGTTTTACATAGATTCCTTATCATTTTCTTAAAAGGTATTCTCTAGCGGAACAGTTATATAAAGTATTTTCTTTGGCACCCGGTACTGCGCTAGATCGGTAGGGCCCTGTCTGTTTTTATTGTTAATGTCAACAGAGCTCGGTACTGCATTTTAGGATAGGGCGCAGCTTATGTCAGTACCAGGCACATGCTCTATTTAATAGAAATGCTTCTACCGTATTTATTTAGTGCTTTTGGTACCTGGTATGTTCTCGTTGATATAACAACTTGATAGAATGTCTCTATTTTTCAAATATTTCAAATGTGCGTAAGGCTTTTGACAGTAGAGCTCGGTACTGCACGATGGAGAAAGGTGCACTTTTAGTCTGTACTAGAAACTGGTATCAGTACTCTTTTTAGCAAAAACTTTCAAAAGTATTCATAAGATTTGGTTGCCACAATCATCAGGTGCTGATTAAGACCCGGTACAGCACTAGAATGGAATACAATGAAAAGTGGCTAAAAAAAGTCTAAAGCGAATATAGGGAGGTACCCATTTTTCAGCAGCCCGGTAGTGCACTTTGTTGGTATTTAACATACATTTGCAGCCGGGTACCCATCTTTCAGAGTACAGGTAGTGCAGTTTATTGTTCTTTGGCGTATATTTGCAGCCGGGTACCCACTTTTCAGAGTCTTAGTAGGGCACTACTTTCTTGTTTGACGAACACCCACTTTTCAGAGTCCCGGTAGTGCACTATTTTTTGATTTAACGAACAGTTGCATTTGGGTACCCACTTTTCAAAAATTGGGCAGTGTACTACTTTGTGACTTGCCGGATAGTTGAAGCTGGTGACCCACCTTTCAGAGTCCCGGTAGTGCACTTTATGGATCTCTAATATGTTTTTGAAGCCGGGTACCTACTTTTCAGAATCCTGGTAGAGCACTATTTTGTTCCTTAGCGAACGAAAAAGAACGCAAAATTAAGCATATCAAAAACGGTCTTCTTTATCTTCACAGAACAAGGTGCTGAATGTGGTATTCTATGCTGGTCAGTCGCTGGGCGACACGAATCTCATCAAAACAGTGGATGTGGACCAGAAGGCGTGCGTGTGGATTGCGGCCAAGATCAGCGACGAGACCTGCACGCACTTTCGACTGGAACTGCACGGTCCGGAAAATACGCTGCGTGTGCGTCAAATCAAGCTGCTCGGTCTGCCCAGCTGCCAGGTGGGTGGCGGCGGCGTTGCCGGTCATGAGGAGCCGCCGGTCGAGCAGCGGGCAAATGTGCGTTTGGCGCACGCGGCGCGCATCCAACAGCAAATCTGCGAGGCGGAAACGTTGCGCGTTTTCCGTCTAATCACCGGACAGGTATTTGGCAAGCTAATCAGCAATGTGAGCGATGCGGTGACAGCAACTGGCGCAGCCTCATCGGATGCGGCCAACTCAATGCTGGCGGATTCGCTGGATCTGCGCGAGCACATGGTTGGCATTCTGTTCTCGCGCAGCAAGCTGTCGCATCTGCAGAAGCAGGTAATTGTGCACATTGTGCACGCCATCAAGAAGGAGGCGCAGCGCGCCAAGGAGGACTGGGAGCTGGCCAATTTGGCGCATGTGCTCAAACAGCAGCCGCCTGCGCCGCCGCCGCCGCCAGTAGCAGCGGGGGGATCAGCCGCTGTCACGTCCAGCGAGAGCAGCTCGGAGCGCAGCCGCGCACCGGACACCTATTGCTTCGAGATGCTCAGCATGGTGCTGGCGCTGTCCGGCAGCGTCGTGGGTCGCTCGTATCTGTCGCAGCAGCACGGTCTGCTGCGCGATCTGTTGGGGCTGCTGCATACGGGCAGCGATCGGGTGCAGCGGCAGGTGACGGCGCTGCTGCGTCGCATTCTGCCCGAAATAACGCCCGAGAGCTTTGCGGATCTGCTGGGCGTGCAGCGTTTGCCGCCCGCCGATTATAGCATTGCACATCAGAGCGCCAGCGATTTCGACATGAGTCGTTTGGGCTTGTTGGACATCTTTTTGGCCGTCATTGCCAAGTCGCTGCAGCTGCAGGTCAAGGTGAAGACCAACACAGCGAATCCAGTTGGCGGCGTCGGAGTCGGCATTGGCGTGGGCGTCGGCATGCCTGCGGCCAGCGTCAAATCGGGGCAGCTGGAGAAGACGCCCGCATTTGTGCGGCTGTGCAGCTCCCTGGATCTGTCCGTGCAGCTGTTGCGCTCACGTCCAACCACAGCGGAGCAGCAGCTGGCGGCGGCGGCGGTGCCGAGCACAACCAGCGATCCGTTTCGCTTTGATTCCGCACCTCCCAAGAAGGAGTCCAAGCGCAATTTGAACCAGCGCTGGTTCCTCAACGGAGTCATATCCACCAAACAGGCGGAGAGCATCATTGGACTCATACGTGATCTGGCTAGCGTAAGTAATTGTATATATGTGTTTCTCAGAAGATTCAAATCGAGCTAATAAAACACTTATTAACAGGGTAAGCTGAGCGAGAAGTGGTCGCAGATCACCAAGGCGGCCATTGCGGAGTCTGTCCTGAATCTGACACGGCTCGAGGAGATCTACCGCACGCCGGAGCATTGTACAAAGACGGCCACACTCTGGCTGGCGCTGGCCAGTCTCTGTGTGCTGGATCGTGATCATGTGGAGAAACTATCGTCTGGACAATGGTCGAAGCTCTGCGACACGCGACCCATGTGCACCAATCATGACGATGGCGAAACGGCGGCCATCATTCAATGCGAAACATGCGGTTCGCTCTGCGGCGATTGTGATCGCTTTCTGCATCTCAATCGCAAGACACGCACACATAAGCGCACGGTAAGTCAATCATTTTAGCTATCAATCAATCAACATTCATTTGTTGGTCAATCAGTTGCGCTGTCAGTCAATCAATTGAGTAAGCACATTAGCCCAGCTTCAATCATTCATTTTATGAATATCTATGAATTGATGTATCAATCCATCAGTCAATCATTCCATTTACATTTGCTAGTCAATCAGTTGGGCCAAGCTTCAATCAGTCATTCATTTTATAAATATCTATAAATTTATATCAATCCTTCAATCAATCCCTTATTGCACCAATTACAAAACAAATCAATAATTCCATTAGTCGATTCTAAATCAAAACATTCATTATTCAATCAATCAAGCTTTAAGAATGAGTCAACGACCCCATTAATTTTACGAATCTTTAACAGTCCATTAACTAATAAAAAAAGTGTATTGATAAGGCTTACCATGAATTCGCCATATTTTTTTATCAGGCATTTAACTTATCAACCAGTAATTAATATTTTATTGTTGATTGTCAACCAATTTGTCAATGAATTAATCATATTATGCATTGAACTTATCAAATAACAAAGTATTCATAAATTTTGATGTTCAATCAGCTTGTTATGCAATCAATCATACTTTTCAGTCATTCAAAGCTTATATATTTTTTTTATTATATCTATTATTCTTGTTTGATATATCATTCTTATTGATCAATCAATTTGCTATTCAATCAATCACAATTTCAATAAATCAATCAAGTTTTGAACTCATCTGCAACTCGTATGAACTTTTTTATTAATCAATTCATTTTTCATTCAATCAAGCATTTTCTGCATAAAACGACTTATACATTCAATTTGATTGACAATCAGCTTGTTCTCAATCATATTTTTTTTATTAAAGTTTATATATTTTTATACATTATTCTTATTGATCAATACGTCTCTTTGATTTGTTTTTCCTGATTGTCATTCAATCAATTAGTCATATTTTTCAATCACTCGTAACAAAAAATTATACATCTGTTAATGGTCAGTCAATACATTATTCAAGTACTCAATCAATCAAGCATTGTACTATTAAAACTGAAATGAATTTTATTCTTGATGATCAATCAATTAATCATATTTTTTAATCAATCAATCAAGCATTGCACACATAATTTTTTATGGCCAATCAATTTGTCATTCAATCAAATAGTCATAGTTTTCAGTCAATCAAGCATCGAACTCATCAAACAAGGAATTAAATAGTTTTTTTTGTATGTTTAATCCATTTGTCATTCAATCAATCATATTTCTCTATTAATCCATCTGATTGATAACATTATTCGAAAGTTAATATACAATTTTTGGTTGTCACTCAATTTGGCTTTCAATCAATTATTAAAGCACTCAAATAAATATTCATATTTTTGCTGGCGGTCAATCAATCAATCAATTTATGTTTTCATCAATTAAACAGGTTTGCAAGGAGGAGGAGGAGGCCATACGCGTGGAACTGCACGAGTCCTGCGGCCGCACCAAGCTCTTCTGGCTGCTCGCCTTGGCGGACTCCAAGACGCTGAAGGCAATGGTGGAATTTCGCGATGGCAGCCACACGATCATCTCGGGCCCCCAGGAGGCTGTCGGCCGGTGTCGGTTTTGCGGGCTCACCGGCAACTCGGGCCTGCTGGAGATTGGGAACGTGTGCGCCGATGCCCAGTGCCAGGAATATGCATCCAATTCCTGCCTCAAGACAAAGCCCTGCGGTCATGCCTGCGGCGGCGTGGCCGGCGAACGCAAATGCCTGCCCTGCTTGCAGCATGTGTGCCATGCCCGCGAGAATGAGCTGGCCGAGGAGCTGCGCGATCCCAAGTTGACACAGGATGCCGACGACATGTGCATGATATGCTTCGTCGAGGCGGTCTCCTGCGCGCCATCCATACACGTAAGTGGAATGATGATGATGACCCAGACAAATACCAACATCAACTAATCTCCCCTCTCTCTCTCTCTCTCGCTCTCTCTCGCTCTGCACAGCTGGAGTGCGGTCATGTGTTTCACTTTCACTGCTGCAAGGCCGTGCTGGAGAAGCGCTGGAGCGGTCCTCGGATTACCTTTGGCTTCTCGCTGTGCCCCATCTGCAAGGCGGATATACAGCATCCGCTGCTGGCGGACATATTGGAGCCAATCAATGGACTCAAGCAAGATGTCAAGCGCAAGGCGCTCATGCGGTAAGTCCAATGAATCAATCCAATATTCATAGTCAATTTCCACGAACACGGGTGAAAACAGAAAATGGCTAAAAAGAAGTTTACCATGCACATTTTCTTCGCTTTTAAAGCAAACGATTTCAAGCAACCAACTCACCGAACTGTGCGGAAAATGTGTGGAAAATTACTGAAAACTATTTCTCTATATGCATTATAGAAAATCTAGCTTATGGTCGGAATAAGGGTGGAAAACTTTGTTCATTTTTTTAACCCTTTTCATATGCCTGCAGAGGTTTAAGAGTCTGTTATGATTTTACCACGAAATGTGGTTTTATGAAATGATCGGAAATTAAAAAAAAAACAAAGGTTTTTCTTTTGCGATATTTTGAACCAATTTGGTATTTGGTTGTACCAAGCTGCTAGCATATACCCAAAATCGTTTCAACAACGGACTGCTATAGAATTAAACGAAATCGGAGTATGGACAACTTTTCTGTTATTCAAGTTATCTTCAGCTTCGCTTTTCCACTAATATATGCTGCAGAATTGTGTCAAATGGCTTGACTTTATTATATGGCAACACTTCCAAGCCGTATATCTTTCCAGTTCTTTGTCATAGACACGTTTTCGTATTATTGATTCCTCTAAATTCACTTTAACATTCGGAAAAGGGGTGGAAAACCATCAAAACCATTAAAAATCCACACATACACATGAGACACTCTCGCCACATAGACCAGGAAAGTCAGCTAATTGTTTCTTCCAACTGTTTTAATACCATCCAAAAGCATTAAGTACGAGGGCGTGGTCAAGGATACGGACAACAAGGATGTGACACAGCTGGCAATGGATCGTTATGCATATTACGTATGCTTCAAATGCCAGAAGGCCTACTATGGCGGCGAGGCGCGCTGCGATGCGGAAATTGGCGAAAAATTCGATCCCGAGGAGCTCGTCTGCGGCGGCTGTTCGGATGTGGCACGCGCCCAAATGTGCCCCAAACATGGAACCGATTTTCTCGAATACAAATGCCGCTACTGCTGCTCGGTGGCGGTGTTCTTTTGCTTTGGCACCACCCACTTTTGCGATACGTGCCACGATGACTTTCAGCGCCTGACGAACATACCCAAGATCAAGCTGCCCCAGTGCCCCGCCGGACCCAAGGCCAAGCAGCTGCTGGGCGACGAGTGTCCACTCCATGTCATCCATCCGCCCACCGGCGAGGAGTTCGCACTCGGCTGTGGCGTTTGTCGCAATGCCCAAACATTTTAGCAACTCCGTGCTAAACAGCTCCAGCTGGAACTTAAACTGGAACTGGAACCGGAACTGGATCAGTCGCCAGCGGAAATGCCGCCGCCGCCAGAATACGAGCGCAGAGAGGATGACTCTTAGGCATCTCTCATGAAGAGAGAGGGGGAGAGAGAGCGCGAGGGAGAGCGCGGGAGCGCAATTAGGCATAATAATTATATACATATGTATGTAAATTATCATAAATGTTTTTTTTTTTCTAAATAATATATATATATATATATTTATTATAATTCAAAAGTTGCAATTTTTAGCTATATGTGTATTTAACTAAATTATTTATTTATTCTAATTGTAATCTAAACGGCATTTTTTTTCATTTATTTTTATTGCTTTAACTCAATTTTACACATACCCACACACACACACACACACACACACACACACACACACACACACACACCCACACACCCACACACTCACACACACATACTTTTAAGTAGGTTGGAAAGAAATGGTTACGGGAATTGGGCGTGGTTCTTTATAGTTGTGTAAAGATTGATAAAAGAAAATATATATAAAAGAAAATAAAATATAAAAAAAAAATGCATACACCGAAAGAAATATATATTTACACACATGCAATATTATTTGTAATACTCACAGAACAGACTCATTTTCTTATTATATATTTTCCATTCGCTGAGAATGTTAACAAAATTAAAGCATATTTATATACAATTTATTGTAATAACTCAATAATGTTTATTATGAATGTGACAAGAAACCAAAAGAAACAATAAATAAAGCAGCAAATGTAATTAAATATATTAAACAAATAATGCAATTAAACAAGTTCACGGACTTCTTCTGGTTTATCCCTGAAGTACGCTAGGAATATTGCAAATCGACTGCAATCGTGTGAAAGATATAAAGTATATAGTATATAGTATATAGTATATAGTATATAGTATATAGTATATAGTATATAGTATATAGTATATAGTATATAGTATATAGTATATAGTATATAGTATATAGTATATAGTATATAGTATATAGTATATAGTATATAGTATATAGTATATAGTATATAGTATATAGTATATAGTATATAGTATATAGTATATAGTATATAGTATATAGTATATAGTATATAGTATATAGTATATAGTATATAGTATATAGTATATAGTATATAGTATATAGTATATAGTATATAGTATATAGTATATAGTATATAGTATATAGTATATAATTTATAGTATATAGTATATAGTATATAGTATATAGTATATAGTATATAGTATATAGTATATAGTATATAGTATATAGTATATAGTATATAGTATATAGTATATAGTATATAGTATATAGTATATAGTTTATAGTATATAGTATATAGTATATAGTATATAGTTTATAGTATATAGTATATAGTATATAGTATATACTATATAGTATATAGTATATAGTATAAAGTGTATACATAGCTGCTATAGAAAAGATCGGTGGAATAGTAAGAGTCAACTATTCTTACATATCTGCAAATGGGAAATGTCTACAAGGGTATTAAATCTTCGGAGTGCCGAAGATATCCCAACTCTCGTTATTATTCAAGATAACTTGACCGTACTAGACATTTTCGAGCCCTTACTAAGCTCCTTACAAGTACGACAATTTTTATGAATATTGGATCAGTAAATGATTTAGCGCTAGGGAAAGATCGGTCAGGAAAATGTTTTTTTGTATGGCAAATATCCTAAAAAACAACTCTTACCTATAAAGATTACGTTTAATGTAAGGTATTTTCCTATGAAAAAGTGTTTATTTCAAATTTATTCATTTAAATGCTTTCAATTTCGGTTATTCCCGATTCGCAGCTCTCTTTTTTTTCGACCATGCCCTTTCTTTTCTTTCGTTACGCTGTGTGACCGTTTTGTTTTAGCGCCAAATTTTATCGATAAATGTCTATCGCTTTTATATTATCATTTGTCATTTTGTGTGGTCGCACTGATTTTGTCAGCAAAATGAAATTCAAATCTTAAGCGTTAAAATCAGTAAACTTTTCTGTTTTTATAAGATATATACATAAGTATTCCTTATATATATATAATTTATCATTTTGTTTGGTCACACTGATTTTGAAACCTTAAATTCTCAGCCTTGACAGTAAACTTTTATAGTTTTGTCAGGATATCTTTAATAAACTCAAGAACTACGAGCTTAACTATTTCATAACTATATCATATAGCTGCTAGAGGTAGTCTATAGGTCGGGTAAAAAGAACAAAGGGGCCATAAATTCTTTGCTATACGAAAATGAATCCATTTTGAAAACCTGAAAACTTTAATTTACCCCTTTTAGGTTAATCTTTTTAATAAAAGAATCTAGTTATTGCCATACAAAAATTTGCTTTGAACTTTCAGATTTTCCACTCAATCATGTTTAAGGATTCTCAAGAACTTGCTGAAATAAAAATCTTCCACCATTTTGGAAAGCTCTTGAAAAACCTGCCAAATCTTAATTGGAAAGAAAAAACCGGCTTGTTTTTAAAAACATAGATGTATTTGTTTTTGTTTGTATTTTTTTTAATTTTTTTTGTTTGTATTTTGTGTTTTTATATACTTCCCATTTTCATCAGCATTTTTGACTCGTTCTGCATATTCTTTGCTGTGTTTGGATGTATTTATTTCATGTTTTTTCTTTAAATATTTCTAACAATGAATGTGAATACAGATAATATTTAATTTATTTTTTATTTATTTTTTTTTTAAATTATGCTTCCTCAACAAAGTCAAGAATTTATTAACATGAGTTTGTGTTTAGCTGTGTGTGTGTGTGTGTGTGCGTGTGTGTGTGTGTGTGTGTGTGTGTGTGTGTGTGTGTGTGTGTGTTAATATCAATGTTAATGTCATAATAATTAATTTACTATACACATTAATTACAGCAATAATTAATTGATTTTTCAAATAAATTTAAGTACTATGTTTTATAAATTTTTAATTTTTGGGGATTTACTTTAATTTTTTTTTTTTTTGGATTTTCTTTTTAATTTTTTTTTTATTTTAGTTTTGGTATTTTTTGAATCTGTTGTTCATAAGTTCAGCTTTGTTCTGTCCAAGCATTTTGCGGTATTTCGTATTACCTAAATATGCAGTTGTAAATCTTTAAGTTTTCGGGCGCCATTGAACGAAAAAACTCAATTTTGTTTACGTACGTAAATTATTGGATGCATTTTTTGTGTTGCTATTTTGTACCCTGAACCCAGTCAAAACTTGTAAAAATGGATTTGATGATTTTGTGCACGTGCTCCGAATATATATATATATATATATATATATATATATAGACGAATAATTCTAACGATCGATCTGTCTGTCGCGTTGATCCCAAACTGCAAGGCCTTGAGCCTTAAGATCTTGAATTTTCCATGTAATCGATAAAAATCGATAGAGAAATTTTTGTTTTTTGAGCATATCTAAAAGCTTATAAGCTAGAGAATATCAATTTGGCTTGTAGACTCTCAAAATATTTTACCTATTGGTTTGTATGACACGTATTTTTCGAGGTCTAGACTTGGGCTTTGGTAGTTAAAGACATTTGAATGCCATATTAATTCCCTGAAAGTTTCTTAAAGATCGGACCATAAAGACCGGAGCTCATCAAGAACACATTTACCATAGCAGGGAGCTAAGGGAAGAAGAAGCATGGCTGTATATATATATATACTAATCGATCTAACGATCGATCTGTCTGCCGCGTTGATCTGCAATGTAATCGATAAGAATCGATAATGAAATTTTGTTTTCTTTTTCGAGGTTTATAAGCTAGAGCCTCGCAATTTGGGATGTAGATTCTCGTCAAGTATGCACAGATTCCGAATATTTTAACTTTGGGATTGTAAGAAACGTATTTTTCGAGGTATAGTCTTGGACTTTTTTATTTTCGCACATTTGTAGGTCATATTTAGTCCCTGAAAATTTCATAAAGATCGGACCATAAAGACCGGAGTTCATCAAGAACACATTTACCATAGCAGGAAGCTAAGGAAAGAAAACATATGCTTGCTACAGAAGCTGCGCAGCACAGCAAGCAGTGTAGTACGCCGCACAGCAAGCAGTGTAGTACGCCGCACAGCAAGCAGCGCGCGTGCATGCGTGTGCGTTTGCATAAAGGGTAGCTACGGCTAAAACGTTTGTGATGGCTGCTCGGCGCTGGGTTCAGGGTATCAGCTAGTCGTGCACGCCCGACTAGAGCATACACTGCTTTCACTTTTTTAATTATCTGATAATTTGTTTTGTAAATGTACAAATGGGCAGCTTTTTCATGTTCAAAAACTAGGGGCGCGTGTTCGAAAACATTTTCATGAATCCATTGTTCAAATTTTTGTATAATATATAGATATATATATATATATCTCAATTATGCTCATCAAATTGGTGGAAATTGTTTAACGTTCGCTTTCTTAGAATTGATTTTCATTTTTCTTTCAACATTTTTGTTTCTTGGTTGTCGATTTTTGTAAAATTTTGGTTCTTTTTCGTCTAGAGACTAGAAACTAGCGTCTAGCGTGTAACGCTTAGTATTTTGTTTCGGTATATTTTGCAGTATTTTTTTTTCTTTTGTTATCTTTTCGCTAGGCTTGCCAGAAGTGTTGGGTTTTTCAAAATGAGGCGTGTGTTTGGTATTTTGGTATTCAAGTGTTTAAGGCTCTGGTATTTTGTATACACATATACATATATGTATGCAAGTATGTATATATATATATGTATATAGTATGTATAATTTAATTACAATCCATTTAGTTTTTGTATACATAATTCATAATAAAGTGGCGTGTTTTTTTTGTTTATGTTTTTTTTTTTTTGGTATTTGTTAATTGGTATTTTTTGTTGTTTTTGTTTGTTTATCATATTAATATCGTCATGAATTATTTTAGTATTTTTTTTAATGATTTTGCTTAGAAAAAAAATTCTGGCGTATAAAAGCTTTTTAAGTTTTCAGTTTTTGTTCATTAATCGTAATATTTTGTGTTTATCTGTTTAAGCATTAAAGTGTTTTGTATGCGGTATATTTAGTACTTTTATGTATGTATGTTTTTTTTGTGTGTCAGTTTGGCGCTTCTAAGCATTTGAAGCAGCTATATCTATATGTAAACATATATAGTAGGTATATATATATATATATATATATAGTGTTTACTTGTATATACATTCGATCTCTGGCATAAATTCATCATAGGCTTGTTTGATTTCTTGAATATAGTCTAGTATCTATTAGTATTTAGTTGGGTGTGCCTGCTGACTTGGAGTTCTTCGTTTTTGTGTGTGAGTTACGCAATTCCTCGTCTGTCTGGTATATATATATATATATATAGTGATATATATATGTATATATAAATATCATAGGTAAATATCTGCTCTTATTTATCATAAATTTTACTTTTAATATAAATTTTTGACTAATCATCGCTTGCATTGAGCGTGAACTATAAATTGTAATTGCACCTTAATTTGTTTGGGTTCTTTTATCAGTTTTTTTTTTGTTTTTTTTTGGTATTTTTGGTATGTAGGTATTAAATTTGTATTTCTTTTATATATCATGTATGTGGTTAATTGGTTTATTCATAAGTGTATAAGGCTCTGTGTATTTATTTAGCACTCAAAACTCTCAAAAGGTGACAACAACAAATACCCAAAAAAAATACTAAACTAGTATTTGAAAATTGGATGCCGCTGCAAGTTATGAGCTGGAAGCGAAAGCGTGGCGCAAACGCTGTTCATTAATTTATGTATTTTTTATGCGTACTATTTTGGTATTTTTTTTTTTTTTTTTTTTTGTATCATATATTGTATGCAAAGAAAAGTCCGTTGAACAAAGTTTCAAAAACTGTTATACAGTTAACTCTAGTACCGCTAGTCATATTTATCTATGCTAAACTATACTATATATATATATATATATGTATATATATGTATATATATATTAATATATATGTACATATATATATTTGTGTAGGTAAGTAACCTCGCCATGCCTTTAGCCTATACCATTAGCATGGTATATACCAAAAAAAAAAAAAAAAATACTTTTTAGTATATACTTATGTTTGCTTTTAATGCTCTTACGCTAGTTGAGTCATTCAATTTGCCATTTGACTAGTGCGCCTTAAACTGAGTAGTTTCCATTAACATTTATATTATAATTAGTATTATTTATATTCATACTTTTGTGGACTATTAAGAAAAAAATACCATACAACTATAAACCTTAACTTCTAGACTACATATGTATACACAATGAGCCCACAGCTAGTTTCTGTTCATAGTACATATACATATAGATATACATATATATAATTAATTGTTCTAAACATATGCAACAGATTTCGAATATATTTCGTGTTATTTTAAACTTTTTTTTTTAACATTATTATCAAAACTTTTAAATGAATATCATTTTATGTAAAATCTGAATTCTATGCCATGTTTTTTTTTTATATGTACATTTTATAATTAAAATTAAACTCACTTTTTTTTTAATACCACTTGAATTGCTTTTCGTCTGCTGACAAACAAAAATTTTGCAACACTTAAAAAAAAAAAGAATTAAATTGAACAAATTTTTAGTAAATTCAGTACAAATTTGTTATTTTCGTTTGTTAAAATGTTCTATTTGCGAAAAAATGTTTATATCGGTTATATATAAACAAGATAATAAACTAAAAACTTGGAAATTTGTTTGAGAAATTGTTTTCAGTGTAGTTGTATTTTTTTTGGTTTTAGTCAGCCGGATTATGTAATATAATGTAATAACTAAGTAAAACTAACTAAGCAACTCGCTACAGTCCCAGAACTTTAGGGGAAGACAAAAATTTGTATTGCTTAATGTGTGTTGAGTGTGTGTGTGTGTGTGTGTGTTGTGTGTGTATCTTGGGCTGGGTTCTAACCGGAAACTAGAGAACTCAGACTAACTATGGAACTAACAAAATGCCAACTATATAAATCTGAATCATTCAAGTGGGGCAAGCGAAATAATGCGCTTAAGTGTTATGAAACCTTTGCCATATACATATATATATATATATATATATATATGCATGTGTCTGTGTGTGTGTGTGTGTATGTATTCTGTATGGTTTTTATGCTCTGGAATATGTCCAGTTCAAAAATAAACAAAAAATTTGATCATATCTTGTAAGTTTTTGATGCTCGAATTTGTCAAATATTTTTTAAAGAAATTTTTCAGTTTTCTCTTTTTTTTTTCCTCTTATATTATTATAAACTATATGCAAGTGCAAGCCTTTTGTTAATAAACCATATAATTTAAATGTTTAATTAATTTTTATAGTATTTCACTTTCTTCTTATTATCACAAAGTATGTTATGCAAGTGTGTGTGTGTGTGTGTGTTAAACAATTGGAATTTGTAATTAACATTTGTTATATTTACTCGTTAATTTGTTTATATCATTTGCCCGCCTTTTAATTTGCATTGAAAATATTTACATAAACAAATATTGTTGTTTTTTTTTTAAGTATTCTGTACATGTTTGCTTTTCATATAAATATGTATATACAAATGTTTGTTGGTTTTCTTTTTAATTAACTGCTTTTTTTTTTGTTATTTTCTTTTTCTATATCTGTTTTGGTTTTTGTTTGTTTTTGGGTTTGTCGATTGTCGTTTCGTTTTGCGGCAACATTTTCTTGTGTCTTTGTCTTATCTTTGTTTTTTTTCTTCTCTTTTGTTTTTGTGGCTGGGATCTTTCGTATAGTTTGTTATTCTTGTTAGTTAGGGTATGTTTAGATGTATAGGACGGGTATCATGACAATATAAACCAGTTGGTGGGGCGGGGGGGGGGGGGGCTAGCTGGGCCACGCCCCCAAGCATAAATACACTACTGCAGTGAGTACAGCTAAAAATAAAAAAGTACTCGATACCAAGTTTTTTGAGCATCGAAAATGCCGCTAGGCATAGCTCAACTGAGTCTTGGACCAGAAGCTGACTTAACACATTACTTTTTCAGCAGGAAAGTCAGCGATTCGCTTGAATATTAACATTTCCATTGTTGTTCTTTGACATTTTTTTTGTTGTTGTTGCATTTGTTGATTTAAAATGCACACTTTTGCTACAAATTTCTTGTTGGCTCTGCCCCAAAAATATGCAACAAATATTTTTGAGGTTATGTTCGGCAAATGGAAATGAATTTCACTTGAATACGGACACATCTATTATACTTTTAGGCTAAACAAAAGGTGCAACAGCAGCTGGTTAATTTTTTAATTTTGATTATATTCTACTTAAAAATCCTATAATATCTGAGCCGGTTTGGTTGCGAGCTTGCCACTGCAATCGATCCATTATAATAACTTTTTGTGGAACTGAGTCTCAAGTGAGATTCGAAAAATGACATCTATACATATATATGTATATATACCAAAATTTTGTTGGGTTCGGCTCGAAGTAACTATTTTTTCTTAGTAGCGCTGACTTCTCTTAGTTTGTTGTTTTTTTTGTTTTTTTTTTTAGCACATTCTACTTGTATGTACAATTCACTGGCATTTTTTGCTGTTTGCCTGCTTTAGCGTTTATCACAAAAATATTCATAAACATCATGTATGTCATGCATACATCATGTAAGTGTGTGTGTGTGTGTGTGTGTGTGTGTGTGTGTGTGTGTTTGTGTGTGTGTAGTATAACTAGTTAGTTCGCCTCTGATCTGATCTAATATAATATTGTTCGTATATAAAGGTAAATAATTGCAGTAAATGTAGCAAATTCGTAAGCAATATGCTATATGCTCAATGCCTTAATTCATAATCAAAAACGAGCGTCTGAGCTCCTACATACATCATCCGATACATCAGAGATAGAGAGAGAGAGAGAGAGAGCGAAAGAGAGAGGGAAAGGAAAATTTGTACCGCTAGCAAAATGTTGCCTGCGAGTCAGGATAGAGCGAGAGACATAGAGATAGAGCATTAAGTGCACGAGTTAGGAGAGCAATCAATCAATCAATCAACTGATTGCTCAAAGCGTCAGCGAGTTTGTGTAGTATAAAAAGAGACATTTCCAGAAATAGATAGGTAGATAGTGAGTGTGAGTGTACGTGTATCTAAAATAGTTTACAGCTGCACATACATCGTGTATACATAAATATAAGTATATATATATATATATATAAGTATATATAAATATAGAGCTATACATCATATAAGGACTTAGGCATAGACACTAGTTTGTATGCACAATCAATGGACTAGAGACTAGCTAAGCGTATGCATAGGCAAACTCTGAATGGCTTGTACCCCCGATCCGCGTCAGTCGGCGCGATTTTACTGCTCGAAGCTGCTGCTATCCGCCGACTGATGGCGCACCAGTATTTTGGGCTAGAGGAACTCCCGCTTGATGCTGCGTCCGCTGCCCGTTGGCGTTGTTGTCCCGCTTGTTGCCGCTGTTGTTGTCGTTGGCGTCTGTGTGCCGGCCGGCGGTGTGCCGCCGATTGTTGTGGGCGTGCCAGCCAGACTGGTCGGCATCAGCTGCGCGGCACTGAAGTCCTCCTCGAGCAGACGCAGATGCAGCAGCTCGACAGCGGCAGCTGGAGTCGTTACTGCTGCTGCTGCTGTTGTTCCAGTTGCAGACGCAGTCGCTGACGCTGTCACGCTCGTCGTACCAGATCCAGTAACAGATCCAACAGCAGCCGTTAGCGTTGTGGCCGTTGCGGCGTGTGTCTGCTTAGGAGGCGCCGGTGCTTTCCTGCTCTTCGAGCGTCGCTTTTTGAGCATCAGCGGCCCCAGGCCGTTGCCTCCCGTGCTCGACACAACTTGGACGCTTGGATTTAGTAGACCGCTGCCAGCGCCAGCGCTCGCTGTTGTTATGGCCGTGCCGGCGGCACCAGCTGTCGGCGATGAGATGGTTATCACAGTGTCCACCGGCGTGCTGGCCGTTGCCGTTGCCGTTGCTGCTGCTGCTGCCGTTGTCGGTGTGCCTGTTGATGTTGTTGGGGCGCCGCCAGCGCCGCAGCCGGCACAGATTTCGTCACCAGGCGTTGTCTGGCCGCTGCTGTCCATTTGCGGCGCCACCCGCTTAACCAGCTCACCCAGCAGATCCTCGATGCGGCCGATGCGCTGCTGCATGCGCTGCAGCTCGAGCCGCACATCCACCTTCATGTCCAGCACGGTGGCAATCAGATCGCGCTGCGCCAGCGTTGGCGGCGTCTCACGCAGCCCCGTATCGTATGTGTCCGATGTGGTTGCCCGCGAGCTGGCCATCTCGATCTGGCGCTCCCGCTCCAGCGCCAGATTGCGCTCCTTGGCGCAGCCACTCGCTGCCGCTGCTGGTGCTGCTGCCACGCCGGTCGCACTGGCCGTTGCGCCAGGCGCCAGCGCAGCTGCTGGCACCGTTGCGACAGTTGTCGCGGCGCCGCCGTCGATGACCACCCGGCTGTCCCGGCTGGGCGGCGAGGAGTCAACCTCGCCGCCCTCGTCGATGGTGTCCTGGCGCGCCAGCGTCGCCTGGCTGGCCTGCAGCTTCGGCGCCTTGGGGAATACCTGCAGGGTGACGTATTTAATGGATGCATAGCGGGATGCAGAGGCGTTTCGGACAGGCAGTTAGACGGGTTGACAGATTGAAGGTGGTGACAGTTGCGATCGGTGACGATGACAGTTAATGGCGGGCGGGCGGGCGGGCGTGTTTGGGTTTTGTTTAATCATTCGTTTTGTTTTGGGACAGGAGAGAAGTGAGAAAAGTGGATTTACAGTTATGTTAGGTTAAAGTTGCATTTGTTGTTGTTGTTGTTGTTGCGCATTCATAGTTGGTGTTTATTGGTTTTGTTGTTGTTGTTGTTGTTGATTGCAAAAGGTTGTTAAAGGTGTTAATAGTGCAGTTCGATTTCCAATCGGGTTGTTTTTGTTTGTTTTTATTGCAAGTGGCGCGCATTTTGAGCGTCAAAGTTGTTTTCAGCATCCAATTCAAAAATCGAATTCAAGTTGTTGTTGTTTGTTGAAGCAAGGCAAGCAATGTTTTTGTTTTTTATTTTTTCGTTTATAGTCGTTTGTTATTGGTTTTGTTTGCAAAAAGTTGGTAAGCAATAAACGAAAAATAGAAACATATCAATCGAGTTAATAGTTATCGCAAGAAACTCTAATTGGCAGCATTTGCTATCGTGTTCGGTGCATACACACACGGACACATACATGCGCACCGAACATGTTCAGTGGGCGCGAGTGTGTGTGTGTGTGTGTGTGTGTGTGGGAGCAGAGCAGCGCGCTAGACTAAAATGTCAACTAGGGAAGGCAAACCAGACAGAACGGCGACGCATTGCTGGCACGGCCAATGTATCGATATACTTATCGATAGGCACATGTATACTAGTTGTAAGCCAAGACAATTATCGCATAGCAGCGATCTACACTAGAGTTGGGCGCAAGTCGTGATTGTCCTCGTGGCAAACGCACGCACGACGATATCTTCTTATTGAAATATCTAATGCTGTGCAATTGCGTACTGAGAAGTTTTCATATCAAAATATGGTAATATTGAAGCTTTAAATTATTATTACAGCCCAAAAGAACCAAAAAATAAATGTTCAAAATATAAATGAAATATATAAATAAACACCATTAAATTAACTTTAAAAAATGCATTACAAAAGGCCATGCGTGCCGTATGTGTGATATATGTATTTTATTGTGCGTGTGTCGCATCGCGTCTGATTTTTCTAATACGACAGGCGCCCATCTCTCAAGTGCAAACTATCAATTAATCAAATGCGTCGCTGTGCTGGCTGTTGCGTGTGCATAAATATCGATATACCTTTACCGATAGCGATAAACGTGGTGTGTTTTGGTGGAAAAAGCAACTAAATATCAAATTGACTTATTTTGTTAGCAATTAAACAACAAATGATCAGTTAAAACTTACTTTGCTTAATTGTAAATGCTTTTTATGTTTTATTTTTTTTTTTTTGTATTTTGTTTTTGTTATTATTACCGAACGCAAAAGTTGAGAACAAATCGAATAAACGAAATGAAAGCAAAATGGCGAAGAGTTGGCATCGAGAAGAAAGAACAAAACGAAAACAGGTGAGCATTAAAATTTACTGCTAAAGTATATATGTATATATGTAAATAGTAAATATACAAGTTAAATAAATCGTGTGACAAGAATTCATAACAAATCGAATTATGAAACTTTTCTCTTTTGGCTCAGTGAACAGTTTCTTGTATTCGTTTTTGCTAGTCTGTTAACGGTTGACTGTTTAATTTTGTTGTTGTTAATTATTGTTTTTTTTTTTTTTGTATTGATTGGTTAACGGTAATTACTTTATTGCCTTGTCCACCATTGCTACTCGAAGTACTACTCTGCCTCGCTTGGGCAGTGCTCTCACGCAGACTTTCGCGGGCGCTCAAACTTCTCGAGACGGCTACCTTGGCGCTAGTATCGCTAGCTGAATCGACACTTGAACTGCCCAGAAGGCGTCCCCATTTGCTAGCACGGGTACTACGTGCAGATGGTGGACCCGATGAGGGCGAGGGTGATGGCGATGGTGAGGGTACGACGGCGGTTGTTAGGATGCGTGAGTCCTCGGTTAATGTTAGTTTAGCGGGTAGCTTCTTAGATATGTTGATAAATTACAGTTTTTTTTTTTTTTTTTTTTTTGGTTCGGTTTATTAACGAGCAATTGGGAAGATTTATCAATGGAGTTTTGGTGAGCACAGGACAGCAGGCATAGAGAGAGAGAGAGAGAGGGAGAGAGAGAGGGAGAGAGAGAGAGGAAGAGAGAGAGAGAGAGAGAGAGAAAAAAACAGTGTCGTCGTGTGTTGTCGGAAAGGGGAGCGGGGGTCGGAGACATATACAGTTAGAGTTGGAGTTGGAATTGGTAAAGGGAGCATTTGATCAAGGCAAGTGTTTTTTTTTTTTATGGGGTTTCAGTGTTGCAAATCGTGTCAATGTCAATTTTGTGTTTGTAGTCATGGTTGGTCGAGGGAGGAAAAATAATTTACAATTTTTCGTTAGTAATTTTGTTTAGTTCATATTTTCAATTAAGCCAATTGTCAACAATATTTATACAGAAACAGAACAGTTTGACAAACAACAACAGCATGAAACAAGGAAAGAGAGAAAGATAGAGAGAGTCAGAGAGAGAGAGAGAGAGAGAGAGAGAAAGAGGAAGAGTGAACGCGATTTTTAGTGAAGTTGGGAGTTTGGCGGAACGGAAGAAGGCATAACATCGATATTGATATTGATAACGAGCGATTAGGTGCGTGAGTGAGTGACAAGCATGTGTGTGTGTTTAAGCGATTGTGTGAGAGCGAAAGAGAAGAATGAGAGAGAGAGAGAGAGGCAGATACAGAGAGAGAGAGAGAGAGAGAGAGAGTTATGCAGTTTATGTAGTCAGTTAGAGCGTAAGCATGTGTATGGAAGACAAAGAAAGATATACAACGAGCATAAGTCACTTGTATGCATTTGATATAAAATTAATACGATATTTTCAAAAGGTTAACGGTTAACAGTTAACGGTTTAACGGTAAACGGTAACGGTAAACGTTTAACGGTGCCAGCTTGGCCACATGGCCCAACAAACCTGAGCTGTGGCTGTGGCTGTGAGTGGATTAGTAACGATAATGCTTCAAAAAATATAACGTTAGTTTAATTACTTTGTTAACAATAAATGTGGCAGATATACAGACACACATATACACTATTTTGAGGCACAAATACACATTTAATAAGTATGTATGTAAAATCAAAGTGAATGAAGTTGAACAAATAAAGATTAAATTCGAAGTCGAATTTAAGTTCAAAGTACGTAAATTCGGATCGAAACTCAACCAAAGAATGCGCCACGCAAAAAGTACCAGGCGAGAGAGCGAAAAAGTCACAGAGAGAGAGAGAGAGAGAGAAAGTGACAAGACGCGCTCTCTACGTAGGCTCACGTTTTGGTTGTGCATTCATCGAAAACAAAATGGAACTGGATGACAATAACAGAATATGAATAACGGCAACGTTAACGGTATGACAACAAACAGTTAAAAGCATTGCACGAAACACAACGGAAACGGAATACGGAACACATGGAATTCGGAAAAAAACACAAGCATAATAGGTAATGTTTACTAACCTTGGTGCGTTCGACCTCGCCATCGCCTTTCTCGATATCGCTTTGGCCGGAGCCAACGTGCTCCTTGCTGCCCGCTTGAACCTGGGGTGTACGCCGGAATTTGGAGAAGATTTTTCGTACAAGATGATCCTGATTCTGGGGCAATTGCGGCTCATTCTTACGCCGTTCGGCCAATTCTTTTTCGCGCTTCACATCGGCCACCTTGCGAAAAATCAGTCGATGTCTGAGATTGTAGGTGAGCACCAGATTGCGTGCAAAGCTATTCGCAAATGCCGAATAGAAATCGAGGACTTCGAGCAATTTATCACGTTTGATGGCATGCAAATCACAATAGGTCAGTGCACGCACATTGGCGGCACTCTGGCCAACGGCCGAGTCCTTCCAGAATTGATCGCCGAAGACGTCGCCTTTGCCTTGAATGATATATGTATATACATATATGGTAATCGAATATGATCGATATTTATCGATAGCTGAAACTGTGCGTTCTGTCAATTTGTACATACCCAATATTGCCACAACCTCGTCGTCCTGTATAACCTCCAGACTGCCAGTCACAATAAAACAGAGACTATCGATACTCTCGCCGGTATGATAGAGCAGATCCCCCGGCGCCGAGTGGGACATCATGAAGTGCATCGCTAATGCGCGCAGACAACCATCCGAGGCCAGACGAAATGCTGGATGCTCGTTAAATACTTTGCGATTTAGATGAACACATATGTCAGCCTTCATATCTTTCGGACAATAGTTTAGTACCTGCGAATTGTGAATGAGTTGCGAGTTGCGTTGTGTGCTCTGCTACTCTTTATCGTCACCAGTAACCCGCAACCCCCGATCGGAATCGTAACACCCACCATGGGATTGGATTGGGTTATCAGGAAAGTCGGGATATAGGAGTTTTATTCGGTTCTATCTTTGTTTTTTTTTTGGACAGGTACGGACATTGTCTGCGGGCTCTGGATGATAGTTGGTCAAGTGATACACAATAGAGAGAGAGACACACACACGCACACATACACTAATACACATATACAACATTGAACAGTGTACAAAAGACTTGTGTCTGTGTTTCTGTATAGGTGTTGTGTCTGGGCTACATTCTCGGTGTGTCTGTGTGTGTGTGTGTGTGAGAGAGTATTGGCTGTGTTTGAATTGGTTTTTCGGTTAGTTAAGACACCAAGTAGCTGAAAACCTTTACAGACGCATATCAGTTACTATTTTCTTTCAGTGTGTTGAATTTAAACTGAAGCTGACTGCATTTTTTGTTTGGGTTCTGTGTAGAGCTGGACAAGGTGGGGCTCTATTGCTTTCTTTTAAACCCTTGCAGAGAATATTATAATTACTAAGACAGTTAATCAAAACATTTGGACTACCATTAATTTGTTACCTATCCGAAATTAACCTCGATTAAGATCAACTTCTGAGATTTGACAAAATTGATACTATTTTGCTAGAAGTCGGAACTAAAGAAATTTAAACACTATCTCTATACAGTAAACTATTTTTTCGGACTGCTGATTGGCGATCAACGCACAGTCGGGCTCAAATTTATTGTCAAGGAACTTAAAACAATTTTTGTAGAATGGAAAATAAAGGTTAAAGGTTTTATGGGCGATATTTTTAAAGTTCGCCACATCGTCTTTGAGCTTGTTTTCAAAGCATACGAACTTAATGAATACGAGTTTCAGCTATATTGCAAATTCCACCCGTAACTCTGTAAAATTGGCGGAAAAAGTTTGTATGCAAAAATCTGTGTGCGAGACGGAAAATGCAGCTTTCTTCGATGAAAATGTTTGGTTCGAGGGTTGTCTGAACGAAAATGTTCTTTTACGGCATCTAGGTTCACACCAAGCAATTAAAACAGGCAGGAAATTTGGATTCTTTTGGTTCCTAATTCAATGGACCCCAAACTAATCTACAGATATCTATTTATTTCTGCCAAATATAGTTTTTATATGAACAATATTTGGTTTCTTAAGATACACTAACAAAACTCTTCAGTAAAATATTGTATGAGTTAAATTATACAACAACGGACTAGTATATCGGCTGGAAGCTAAGTTTATTCTTGAAAGACCATTATAAAAAAAGACGAATATTGCTTTTGTGGCCAGTTCGTTTCATAATACGTCTGCAAGGGTATTCAAACATCGGCTAGCCGAAGTGGTTTGTACTTTCCTGAATTTTTGTTCATTGTTTTTTAATTTTTGTTTCTTTTTTTTTTTTGTAATTATTTTATTTATGTCGAATTGCGGCACAAACTACAGTCAACGAAATAGGTATAAAGGTCAGTTGATTTGCTTCGGGCAATTTATGAATTGTTTATGTAAAACATAAATCTTTTACTTTGTTTTTAAACCAAACATTTCAGTTTTTGTTTCAAATATATATCAAACGTTGGCGTTTGGCGTTTGGTTTAAGTTCATCTAAAGGCATGAATTTGACGGACGCTTTTCGTTTTGGCACGGATTTAGCTCACGCGCATCGAATAAAGAGAAGAACGGTATAAATTTCAATGGAATTACAAAGAATATTGTTTTGTTTGTTTTTAATAAGATATGGTGTTTTTTTTTTTTTTTTTTTTTTTTTATTGTTTTATTATAAGTAGTCTGGCACAACTGCCAGAGATATGCACAGAAAGAAAGAGAGAGAGATAGAGAGAGAGAGAGAGAGAGAGAGAGAGAGCTTACCTCGACCTCGAGCTCGACTTGGACCTGTAGCTGTGGCTGGACCTCTAGCTGGTTCTGTACCTGTACTTTTCGCTTGAACCTTGAGCATTGTGCTGCTTCTTGTTCACATGGCTCTCAGTTCACTTAAATTTAAACTTTTGGCTTTGCTTGAAACTTCGCAACTACTTCTAAGTTTCGGCAACAAAATGGAAACGTGCCATTGGCAAATTTCTATCGTATCGCATATATATTCTCAATTGGCTGTTGTTGTTGTTTTCTTTATTTATTTTTATTTTTTCATTTGGGAAAGCGTTTGAATCAAGTTCTAATATTTTGCTTAGAGCGTTTACTGTTAGATGCGAGAAGCGATTTCAGCATAAGAGGAAAAACAAAGCAAACAGCAGCGAGCAGCGGCAAATGGCAAAAGCATTTTCCCATTTTCATTTTGAAACTACTTGAGAAATGTGAAGAACTTTGCTGTAAGTTCGTGTGTGTTGATGTGTGAGTGTGTAAGAGTGTGAAAGTTGGTGTGTCTGTCGGTCTGTCTGTCTGTCGTCTGTCTGTCCTTGGGTTGTGTGAGTTTGCATGCGCAATTTTTGGTCTTTAAGCACAGCAGCTGTGAGACAGAGCGAGGGGCTACATATTGCACTTGTTAGCGAAAGTAGCGAGTGGGTTATGTGAGCAGCGAGAGAACAGATGAACATGTTTATAAGCATTTACATACAAGCTTGAGAGAGATGGTAAATATTGATTAAGTGTAAAAAGTATAAAATTATGTAGCATAATTCGTGGACAAATAGCCAATGGTTAGTTGCTTCTAGCGAGTTGAGAGTAACGAGCGGGCGGAGCAACGAGTAAATCACTCTTTGTGTGTCGAGTAACGAGTAGGCCGAGTATGAAGTAACGAGTATGCCGAGTAACGAATAGGCCGAGTAACGAATAGGCGAATAGTAACGAGTAAATCCCACTTATTCGGCCGTGTTACGAGCAGAATGAGTATGGAGTAACGAGTAGGCCGAGTAACAAGTAAACAATTCTTATTGTACCGAGTAGGCCGGGAAACGAGCGGGCCAAATAACGAGTAAATCACTATTTTATTTGGCCAAGCAACGAGTAGGCCAAGTGTTGACTGGCCGTAAGCGATTTTCGTTAGTATTTAAATAAGATTGCAAATTATTTTAGATAATAATGATTTTAATAGCATAACGTGAGCAGTAAGTGGCGACTAAAGGGTAACGAGTGGGCTTGAAGATTTACTCGTTGTAAGACTCGCGTGTTAGCAACAAGTTAGAAACAATGCCATTTCATATGTTTTCTTGGCTTAGCTCAATAAGTGACAAGTAACGAGTTAGCTGCTCGTTAGTGTTATCATTAGCAAGAGGTGTTGTGAAAGCTGCGAGTAGCCCGTGGGCCCAGAACTTTATTAAGCCACTTATTAACATTTAACCAGCACTACGGTCGCATATAGATAACTTTTTGGGATGTAAAAGTGAATGGAGTTTGCTTTTAGTATGTTAGCTATATAACGATCAAAAGTGATTAGCGAGTGATTCTAGCAGCGAGTAAGCACGTTTGATTCAAATGATTTGTGCCTATTTATTACGTCAATATAATTATAAGCAATGAATAGTTAATGCAAGAGCGAAATGATGCTTAAATTGAGTGTTAGAATGTTGGGCGCAATATTCTAAAAGCACGCTGGCAAACTAAAGGCAAATGCACAAGTTAAATTCACTACAAAAACGCTAAGGAATCGCGAACTACTTGTTGGATTCACTTATATTATGGACGATTCCATGGCCCAGTTCCCAAGTCTCTTCCCACGCAATTGCGCATGGATATAGATAGAATAGATGTGGATGCCAACTACTTGGCCGCACTCACCTTTTCGGTATCGAGGCCTTTGGTCATGGCCCACGTGGAGACGACATAGTCCATAACGCGCTCGCTAAGCGCCTTCGGAACCTCGTGCAGCTTCATGAACTCCCGCACATTATTGAGCATGTCGTGGTACTTGGCGGTGGCCGAGGTCATTTGCTGAATGATGGTCGTCACATGACCAAAGATCGTCGCATAAAGCAGAGCTATAGTTGTTATGCGAGAGAGAGAGAGAGAGAGAGAGGAAGAGAAAGAGAGGTATGGCATTGAAAATAAACGAGCGTGAAATCGAACGAGTTGAGTCACAAGATTCGTTACATTAAGACACGCAGAAGTAGCGAGACATGTCTACTCGTTATGTTTGTTTTTGTGCCAGGAATTCTATGTGTGTGTGTGTGCGTGTGTGTGTGTGTGTGTGTTTGTGAGTGAGCAACAGTAACGAGTACAAGATGTCAACGAGTTGAAGACAGTTTTGCTATGATGTAGAGATTTAAGGCAGAGTGTCAAAAATTTCTACTCGCTGCAGATGAAACGCGCAAGCGCACAGCTAGAACGGTAATAAATGCGAAGAATTGGACGAGCGACATACAACGAGATGAAAAGAGAGAGAGAGAGAGAGAGAGAGAGAGAGAATAGAGAGACACATTACACAGGCGCACCAGGGGCGTGGCTGTTGAGGCTTTAGCCCTGCTTTAGGGGTTGACGGTGCGTATGCGCAATATGCTCAAGACGTTCGTCTCTATAAAAAGAAGTATTGAATGGATTGACAGATGGCAGCTGGGTACATATGGCATCTGATAGTGTCTGTTATGGTAAACAACAAAATTACAAAAATAAAAGGAAACACGCACAACAAATTGTAACGAGACGTAAATTAACGAGAACTCACACATGGCGACGAATTGTGCAACTAGGCGTGTTTTCAATCGGTATTGTTATTATCATTTCTCTTGATTATACGCAACAAACAAACAAACAAACAAAATAGAATAAGTGTTAACTATCGAAATTTGTAACGCTTTAGGGCGGGGGCGGTCGGTCGATAGGGCGTGGCACTACCATAGATGAGATGCTCATATGTCAAAATGACTAGGGCATTATGAGTTAATGTCTTTGGTTTGTGGCTACACCAATTCCGGCAATTTATTAGTTCTAGCGGCGCTTTAATTGTGCCTAGCTTTTGCAATGAGAGTATTTGCATTATAGCTAAAGCGTTTGCGGGTTGTTTAGCGGGTATTTTGAGAAACTTGGACGCGGCAACGGAACGTGTTTGGACACAGCACCTGCAATGATCATCATGCAGATGGTGAACACCTTCTCGTTGTCTGTCTCCGCTGCGACATTGCCGAAGCCCACCTGTTAGAAACGAGAGAGCGAATATCACATATTAATCAAGCTTGGCCAATTGCATAACGCCAGCCATTTGTTGGCCAAAGAGCAACTTACCGATGTCATGCAGGTCATGGTAAAATATAGGGCCGTCACATACATGCTCTTTCTGGATGGACCATTGACCAGCTCGGGGCCCGTATCATTGCTCCATATATAGGAATACGGCGATTGGGTCACATTCGCCAGCTTCCACAGCCAGCTATATTGGATCTGTGGCATGCAGCTGGTTTGAGCAGGCAGAATCCGAAAATCAATTCGATTTAATGACTTACCCCATTATCCGCATCGCTGCGCCCAATTGAATACCAGATGCAGGCCAGCCAGTGGGCAACCAGCATATAGAAGCACAGCAGAAGTATCAGCATGGCCGCACCATACTCCAGATAGCGATCCAGCTTGCGTACGACACGGCCCAAACGCAACAGACGGACCACCTTGAGGGCGCTGAAGAGCGAACCGATGCCGTCCTCGTCGCGATCGAACGCATTGAAGACATCGTAGGGCAGACAGCTGAGCAGATCGATGATAAACCATGACTTCAGATAGTTCATTCGTATGACCTTCGGATCGCTGACCACCTCACCGCCGGGGCCCACAAAAGTGGTGTGAAAATTTAACACTGTGTGAGAGAAAGAAGTATAAGTATATGCATATATATATATATATATATATACATATATAACTTGTCTGGACTTACCGATATCTATGAAGAAGATGACGTCAACTATTGAATCGACAACGAGCAGGGAAACATCCTCTGAGGTTTTATTTTTAAACGCTACATTATATGGCACCTGTCGACAGCAAAAAACAAAATACAATTAGCTCTAGTCAGGGACAGGCTGGATGCTGGGAAACCTGTTGAGGTCCTAAGGGCCCAGGACAATCAGTGGTCAACTTAAAGCTGCTTAGCTGATGTTGACTATGCAACAGGTTGGGCCAACAGTTTGTTATCCTTAATCCTTAACGTTGTTATGCGCCACTCCCCCAAGTTCTTGAGTGGCATGCTACAAGCCTCTTAGGCACAGTTCTCTGTCGCTCTCTGTCTGTCTTGGCTTGTATCGCCCTCTCCACTCTCTGTCTCTCTCTTGGCGAATATTAATTTAAACACATAAAACATATACACGCCGCATGGCCAGACAGAGGCAGACGCAGTCGCAGACATAGACGTAGACCCAACCCCCGGACGTTGGAGCCTAGGCACTTGGTCATGTAAATGTCTGCACTTGTCGCAGTCCGTGTAAGTGTCAGAGGGACGAGACTATTATCTGATTTCTTGACTTGTACTTGCTTTTATCTGGCGAACGGGTGAAGAGCACTTAATGCAATCCCTCTTTACTGCCATCCCGGCCACGCAACGCCCCCATTCAGCGAAACGAAACGGCGACCTGTTAGTGCCAGTTATGGTCGGGCTTGGGCCTTGTGTCTTGTGCCTTGGAACAGCAACAAGTGCGCGAGAAGTGCCTTAACGAGGCCAATTCGTTAAATTGCCACACAAATGATACACAAACATTTAAATATTAACTCCCACTCTTATTCCATCGAGATAATCTCTCAGCTGAGCAGCAAATGCGCAAGCTGCTGAAACCGGTTGGGTTTTCATTTTAAAGACGGTAAACAATTTCTCTATTTAAAGAGACTTCTCAGTTCTCTCTATTTACATAGAGATGAGGGCACAGAGAGAGAGAGAGAGAGAGAGAGAGAGGGGCAGCTTAGGCTCTAAGTCTAAAGTACATTCAAGATAGCTTTGTGCAAAATGTTGTAAAAGGCAGAAGTTGGCATCTTTGACCCCATCCGAGTAGATCTAACCATGTCCGACTTTCTATCTCTCTCTCTATCTATGTTAACGACTCGATCTCGGGAACTACAAAAGATATCTTCATAATATTCGAAATATATATTCCTGTATATTCCATAAGCAGATCGACTTGTTCTTTTCTTATTGCATTTTCCTCGCATTTTCATAATATCGATAAATATCAATTTCGGGAATAGGTTATTTACGCATAACTCGAGAACTCGATAAGAGCTATATAGACCAAACTTGATATGTAGGTCTTTGTATGTATTATACGGCTTATAGATTTTTCACTTTCTGCATAGCTCCGCCCCTCGAGTCCCCTTTCAAAATGGCAAGAGGGGTAATTGTTTAGGGTACAGCCTGGCGTTTTGGCCTGTGCACACAGTTGGGTGCCATATTTGGGACCTGACATTGTCGCAAAGATCGAACAATAAATATCAAAGTTAATCAAGAATGGGGCAGAAAGTCCAAAGTGCGTGTGCGTGTGTGTGTGCGTGTGTATATGTGTGCTTTTGTGGAAAGCATGAAAGTATCTTCTAATTGTTTATTTATTTTGTTTTCCTTGTAAATAAATAATTGATTTATTTAACAGAAATCGGCGCTGGGCTGAAAATTTAATTAATATTTGTTTAAGGAATTCTATTTATTGAATTTATATTACTATTGCCAGCGAATTTCGGAAAATCCATTCGCAATCAAATGCTAGCCTTGACCTGAAGCCACAATCAAAGCAGCGCAGGCATTTTTTAAGGAATTACAGCTTTTAGAATATTTCGAAATATTCGCGACAGGCCTTAAGGTCTTAAAAGTCTTAAATCTGTTCTGTGGAGCTGGAACCACATTCATTTGGTCTTCCTGTCTAAGGAAGCTTTGGCTTTGCACAACATTTTGAGCGTATCTCAATCTCAATATCGTTTCGCCCCAGTTTGTTTGGCTTAAAAGTTGTTTTCGGCCATTGTGCTGTCAGGGACTAAGCCGAGGCGAGAAGCCGCAGTTGTTCCTAAAGTTGGGAACAGCAACAAAATGCGGCGTCGCCGCCAAATTGCATTAAACAATAACAAAACATATGTGCGAATGCACCAGGCGAGTGCCAACGACTAACAGATGCCCTGTAGACAGCTTCGAAACTCTGCTCTTGCTCTTTCTCAGCCCCAAAGCCAAGGAAGAGTGAAAATTGATTTTGAAATAACTTCAGCATTTGGTAAGATAACAGTTAAAAGCGTGCAGATACTCTATATCCCTATATATACACGTATTTCCTAGCAGAAGTCACCCGACGTTGCTCGAGTCAAATGAAAATCTTTGCAAATTCATGTTGTACTTAAAAAGCAAATTTGTTTTGACAAAGCTGGTCAAGGGTTTAATCTCTCAACTACAATATATGGGCTCGTAGATGTTTTCTGCTGTCTGTAACATACGTTTGCATAATTTCAATATGCCCTTTTTAAACATTTTAAATGCGTACAGGGTATAACAACAATGTAAAACCGATTTCGAACAGAACAACAACAGCAACTCGCAAACTAAAAGAGCAACAAAGTAACTTTCGACCCAAACTCTCTCGAGGATGTTTACACCAGATACACGCACACACACACACATAGGGTATGCGTATGTGTGTGTGTGTGTGTGTGTGTGAGTCAAGTTGGTTGTGCGCAATTTAAGCGAAAATGTTAACATCTTGTTGACGGAAATAGGCACAATTTGAGTAGACAGGCGACGAAACAACAGCTGCCCCGCTTTGTGGCATGCGGCATGCGGCAAGTGGCATGCGGCAAGTGGGTGTGGTTACGCCTAAGTAGCCAGACCTATAGCACCGTGCCAGAAAAACAAATGAGTCAGCTGTGTGCGGTCATAAAGCGGAGCAGAACCTTGACTGAGATGAAAAATGTCGCCGATAAACGAAAGCAGCTAACTACATTTTATAGGGTATTATGAATTTGTCGGAGAGCGTGTAACGCCAATAGAAATTCATGTACCCATAAATGTCTTCTAATAAGTAAACCAAGGTAAGGACTAAGTAAATGATGAGTAAATGAGCACAGCTTCGGCCTACTTAAATATAAAGCGCCAATTGGAACAATCGGGGCATAGAACTTAAGAATAATCTTCAACTGTGACACAAAACCAAATGTTTCGATAATCTGGGCTGGGGGCTTTACTTACCATGATGGCGGTATAAAATGTTAAACACAATATCACCCAGTCCCAAATCGCTTTAAATGCACAATAATGCAAGAGTATGTGTGGGGGCGTCTTTGGCGCTTCCTGTCTGTACTGTGGCATAATATCCGCGCTCAGTGACATCATCTGCAAAAGATATGTTAATCGAGCCATGTATAAGTATATTCTATGCTAGCGCGTATTGCCCGACTTGACCCGGGCTTAAGAAATGTTACCCAAATTTTGAATTTTTCCACCTTTATCACTTTTTCCACCCGTTTCTCGCTAGTGGCGAGAATACAAAATGAAATTCAAGAGAATTTCGAAGTCGTTTGAACCGAAATTTAATTTACGCTCATACAACTTTTATACCCCATATTTTCCACCAAGAAATTTGGATCCCAAACATGCTTGGACCCTGGAAAGGTTAGTGCACGCATTTTTCGCTATTTTTCCACGGCTGCGGGTGGAATTTATAAAATCGCTGAAACTATTTCAGTTTCTATGCAGAGCTTTGCAAATGAAATAAGTTATAGGCGGATCGGACGATAAACGCAAGGCGATCGGACGTAGGTAATAAAGTTTCGCACAACCTTTTTACACCAATTTTCCACTGGTACGGGTGGAATTTTTTTACTTTAACATTAGGCAAGGTAATTACAGTTTCATAGCATTTACGATCAGTCAGACATATATATATATATATATATAGAGAGAGAGAGAGAGAAAAGCAGAGATTGATTAGAACTTACGTGCGCCAGATTCGACTGCTTCGTTGGATCCTTGAGCGTAGGCAAATGAGCGCTGAACTGGCGGCTGCGTGTGACGGATCGCGCCAGTTTGGCGAATTTGGAGAGACCTAAAACTGGAAGGAATAGATTAACTGCTACGATATGGACAGACACGCACAGGCCAAAGACAACAGAGAAACAAGCAAAGAATAGACAGAGACAGAAAGAGAGAGAGAGAGAGAAAGATAAATAATAAAAGAAATGGCAAACGATACAAAGAGACGAGCGATAAATCGATAAATCGATAATGCGATTGATGAAAGAAAAATGCAAAATCATCAAGAATATATACAGATATTCGATATATACATAAAGTACATCGGTTCAGTTCATATATATGCATACATATGCATAAATACATATATATATATATAGAATTATATACGGATATTATACAATGCGTAAGCGTGTGTGCGTGTGTGCAGTTTTTGGATATCGGGATAAATGTGGGAGAAACAGAGACAAAAGAGAAAAAGAGAGTAAAAGAGTAGAGTGATGTACATTTTGGATTAAGAGATTAAGAGAGAGAGAGAGAGACGAAGAGCGCAAATTGTAACAAACAGTGCAAGCGCGCGACGCAGAGAGAGAGAGAGAGAGAGGGAGAGAGGGAGAGAGCGAGAGAGAGAGAGTGCAGGGGTGTGCAAGGAAGTATGCGGGTGTGTGTGAAGTGCAGTGCAGTGTAGTGTATAACCAATTCGTTGAGCTGATTTTAAACAAATTCTCAAATTGTGTGTGGCATTTGGCTTGGTTGCAAAATGATCCTTTGCAATATTTATATATTTAGGCACATATATAGAGATAAGGGGGTGTAGAGTGGTTGTGCGGGGGTAACGGGGTAACGGGGTGCCGGATCATACAGCTGGATGTACTTACCACCTTTGGTATCCTCGCTGTCGATGGGCTGTTTCAGTGCCGTTATATCCCGAAACGTCAATAGGAATAGCACAACCAAATCCCTTTCGTTGCGTATGGGCGCCACCTGAAGCAGCAGCCATAGCGGCGTTTCTGAGAGAGAGAGAGAGAGAGAGAGAGAGAAGAGAGAGAAGAGAGAGAGGAGAGAGAGGAGAGAGAGGAGAGAGGAGAGAGAAGGAAGTTATTAGTGAGTGTAAAAATATTCGGCTTAATAACCATCAGATAAACTTTTCCCTTGGAAGCATTTCCAATATATTCGTGTTCAGAAAAGTCCTGAGTGAGCGCATATTTCGAGCGCTATCCAGCACTATTAAGTATATAAATAGACCAGAAAACGAGAAAGTAAGGATATCTCCAGCACGCCAAAGATCTTATACCCTTGTTATTTATCTTAAAGCTGCAGACGTTTTACGAAGAATGAAGCTCGTAATATTTGATGAAAATATCTTTGAAAACAGAATATTTTGCCATACAGAAACTAACTTATCGATCGATTCTTCCTATAGTGCTTTATAATAAAGTATCTTATGAATACTGAGTTGGGTCTAGATATAGTGTTAACCAAAAAAGTTGTACATACAAGAACCTAATTTTCGTCCGCGCGTTCCTATGCCAGTTATATGATATACTATCGGGTATACCTTGCCTTGGCCTTGGCCGTGGTACGTATAAAATAAATGCTCTCAAAGATCTTTGAAAATGAGTTTAAAACCGTTCGGACGGTAAGCCAATTTACCACTGTTCCCAAATTTCCCAAAAACTAAAAACAAGAAGAATGTTGTCAGATTTAGATTCCAAATTGATCTAGAGGCCAAGCCAAAGAGATTTGATCAAGTTATGGAGGTGGGATGAACTATGACCTATGTCTATATAGGATATTTGAAATGCGAACAACAAACGTCACAGAAAACGCTGCTTGAAACTTTGCTTAAAACTATTTTTGATGTTAAATAAAATGCCTTAGTTTGCTCGCAATGCATAAATCCTATTCAATACACGAATGCGTATCGCCAAACTATCCTCCTCGATTTGCATTGAATGCAATTAATGAACGGACTGAATACAAAGGCACGTAAATAAACAGATGCTTGTGCAAAAGTTTTGCAAACTTTGAACAATTGTTGCAATTGTTGCAATTGTTACAATATTTGCTTAATGTTATTTATTGACAGTTTTTCGAAAATTGCGAATTAATGTGAAATTTTGAGCAATTATTTAGGGCAAGTGCTGCAATGCACAGAACGATAATCGAATTGCAGTCGAGCTGCTCAAATGCATTGAGGTCACAATGGACGCACAGGGACGGAGAGGAAGGGAGCGAAAGTGGGAAAGGGGCAGGGCCAGGGCCAGGGGCAGGGCCAGGGGCAGGGACAGGTGAAGAGGCACGAGCGTGCTCAGTTTGGCATTGCAATTACGGATATTACGCGCGCGAGGCTCAAAGAATTGTTAAAACGAGGCCCGATTGCAAAGTGTGTGAGGCTAAATCAATGTGTGTGTGTGTGTGTGTGTGTTAGTATGCATGCGTGTGCGTGCGTGTGTCTGTGTGTCCAATCAACAATAATTGCAATTGAATTTGCATTTGCAGCGCTGACCCACGCGGCGTATGCGCAATTGTTCTGCTGTTATTGTGTTGATAGAGCTCAGCGAGGGGCGATTGAGGGGGGGGGGGGGGGCTGCGGCGGCACGTGCCTGTTATGTGGGCGGCATATTAATAGCATAATTATTGGCTAATTTTATGCACAGTTTGCTGTTAACATTTCCGCTGCCACTTCCGTTTCCGTTTCCGTTCGCCTTTTGGCCTCACATTAAATGAAAGCTTAAAGAGCATCAAATAGAATCTATATCTATGTTTCTATGTATGTATATGTATAATTTTTTATTCGACAGCAATCGGCCAAACAAGACAACCATAAACTTATCCACGGCGCCCCAGAGACACCTGTCAGCCAATTCAATTTGTTCGCATATCGAATTGCCGCCACATAGCAGCGCGCCTCCTTTTGTGGCAACTTTTCAAAGTGCTACGTGCCACACACATATTTCACGATTATGCCAGCAAAGGTTAGAGGGAGCGAAAAAAAATATATATATATATAATATAATATATAAAATGTAGTAAACGAGGGAGCAAGGAATAGCTAATGGCAATGAAAAACTGAGCCAGAAAGAAGTGCGAAAAACCGAAGTTTATACTCGCTTGGCGTGAAATAATAGCTTCTCTTTCGATCGGTTGGCATATTATATATGTATATAGTATATAGTTTGTATAGGCACAAAGCATAATATATGTATATCGTATAGCAATGCGATATGATGCGGTTAAGATAACTTGAGAAAGTCAAACAAGAGCTTAACCTTAGCCCAAACCTTAATCTCAACCTTAACTTCAACCTCAAACTTAACCTTTATCTTAACCCTAACTGCCATAGGTATTATGGCAGCCATATCATATAATGCTATATATAGCTATATCAACTTAAGCTATCAACTATATATATATATATATCTACTTTATGGGCTCAAAGCCATCTCTGTATGCGTCACACATTATCTGACAAACTTATAATACCCTCCTACAAGGGCATAACAAAAGCTAGGCCAAAAGTGTGACTCAGCTTTGATGGAGCACTTTTCTTTTCGATGGCTCGCTCTAATATTTAACAAATAGGCGACTTTTATTTTGATATGTTTCTTCGCAATAATCATGATAATGTTTGATAATCAACCCATCATTTTATGCACGCTCCCTCAATGCATTACTTTAATGCATTCAATTAAATTTTCAATTTTCCACAAATTTTCCATCGCATACAGTTTGCGGCGTACGGAAACTATTAAATATTAACTTTTAGACAAGCCCACAAATATGTTTGCCATCAAATATTAATTGGAATTACACGAAACTGAAATTAAAATTGATATATTCCGACTGCCATGGGCTTGCGTCGAACTTTAAATACCCTTGCAAGCAAGCAATATATTTATCAGCTGGGTATATTAGATAGTTTATGGATTGTTAAGTTATTTCTCAAATGTTGCAAAGGCTGCCATAGCTATTCAAAGTCTTTGCCTCTTTTCCATCTGAAAAACTGTCAAAAACAAATCCACGCTATAACGGGGGATTTTATTTTAAATCCACGCGCAAGCGTGGAAAATGGTTGGGATTCTTTTCAATGGCTGCCATATTAAAAGTCTACAAATATTAACAATTGCTTGGATAGTTTTCCCTCTCTACATCTGTAACTGTAATACGATTCCATGCTAAGGTAAGGTTTCTTCCATTCCATGCGCAATCCACGAAAATTGGCGTAAAATGTTTGTATAAAGCGATTGGTTTCGAGCTAATTTTCGAAGAGCTAGAAATAAGTTTGCGTAAAAAAGTTATTCAAAAAAATGAGAAAGTTAATTAATATCTCCAAGCTAATTTTAAAGTTCTTTAGGTGCTTGGAAGATAAGCTGAAATTCTCACTGTAATTATTTTATTTGACGTTAAGACTGGGTTTCAGGAAATTCCACCCGCATGTGTGGAAATATCGCGAAATACATTTTCTCTCTCATTTTCAAAGATCTTTGTTCAAATTCATTTGAGAAGTGTTTCACAACTTTCGGAAAATTTAGAGTTCAAATTCATTTCCAATGCTCTTTATGAAAACTCATTGAAGAAATGTTTCACACTTATCGTAGAATCCAAGCTTCCTCGTCCGATCGGCCTCAAACTTATCATGAAACTTAGCACGGGCAAGGCCGGGTAATTTCCGATAGAGTTACACATAATTTGAGATAACATATAACAGCGTATATAACTTAAAGGGAGATAATTTTTTGCTTTCCAGCTGCCCTCAAAAGTAGGCTGCAAATGTAAAAACATGTCCAAAGCCGTGTTTAATTTGCCTTTAAGAATAAGTTTACTTTGACTGGAAACTATTTGGCTTGAAGGCATTCGTTTTTCCTGTCCTTCTTTGAATTACTCCATTAATTTGTTTCTGTGTAGCTTTTTTTTTGAAGCGTGCATCAATTTGATTAGCCGTAGCATATTAGTTAATCGAAGCTCGAGACTCTTTTGATTTGGTCGCTTGCATAATGCATAACAATCGATTGGTGTGTTGATACATACGCACACACACACACACACACACACACACACGACACACGCACGCACGCGTACACCATATTGCAATTGATTTATGCATATTTTATGATGATGCCCTCCAGTTGCCAGTTCCTAACATTGCCAATAAATACAAACAGAAGGCGACTGTGCTGCGAGATGCTGCCAGGCCCGCTGCACAATAACTCTTCGATATATGTACATACATATATTTATGTATATACATTCGATATACGATAACTAGATGAGTGTTTTGGTTGTACCTTGGGTTTGTGCCTTGCCAAACTGCGAGAGGGCGCAGCCACATTGTATATCTGTAAATTGATACCCGAAGGCGTTAATCCATTATAATTGCGAGTTCAAATTGGGAAACGAGCGAGCTTCAACTAGCAACAGTTTCACATACATCAGCTGGCTTCTAGGTGTCTGGGGGAGTAAGCAGAGAGTGGTTTTAGGGGAAGAAGGGGGAGGGGGGAGTTAGGGTTTGGGGTTTGGTGAGGTGGTCTGCTTGATTGATGGGCGCCACTCAAAAATTGTTGCGCCACTTCAACTTGTTTGCATTAAAGAGCTGGCACGGAGAAAAAAAAAAAACAGCAGCTGCCAGAAAAACAGACGGAGCCAGCATATAAAAAAGCGGGTAACGAATATAAAGTAGCGAGTGGCAAGTGGCGAGTGGCAAGCGGCGAGTTGAGGGAGTTGCTGAAGTGTGAGTGGGATTAGAGTGGCATGAAATATATGAATATATATACATATATGTGTATCTGTGTGTGCGTGTGTATATGACTGTCTATGTGTGTATGTGTATGTGTGAAGGAGCGAGTGGCGAGTGGCAAGTGACGATTAGCGAGTCGAGGATGTTGTTGAATTGTGAGTGGGATAGGAGTGGCATAAAATATGTGAATATATAAACATATATCTGTACCTATATGTGTGTGTGTGTGACCGTGTATATATCTGTCTATATGTATGTGTGTGTAAAGGGGCGAGTAACATGTAACGAGTGGCGAGTGGCGAGACGAGGAAGATTTTGAAGTGAGAGTGGGATTAGAGTGGCATGAAATATATGAATATATGTGTGTTTCTGTGTGTGTTTGTGTGTGTGTGAATCTGTCTATATGAATGTGTGTGGAAAGGGGCGAGTAACGAGTAACGAGTGGCAAGTGGCGAGTAGCGAGCCGAGGGACTTTTCGAAATGTCAGTGAGATCAGAGTGGCATGAAATATATGAGTATATATATATACACATATATGTGTATATGTTTGTGTTTGTGTCCGTCTATGTATATGTGTGCGTGTGAAGGGGCGACCGCACACAAAGTGCAACAATTTATTATGGAGTAAGGGACGCAACATAAATCTAAATCGTCCTTCAACCCTTCCCCAACAACGGGTTTGTTTTTTGAGTAGGGCAATAATGTATATATTTCAGGGCACGTGTCTACACCTTGATACCGCGGCTAATTAAACATAGTCAAGCTTACGTTTTGGCTTAAATAGCTTAAATAGAGGTAATTATTTAATTAGCCAGTTATAGCTGCAGCTACACAGAGGGGAAAGGAGAGAGAGAGAGAGAGAGAGAGAGAGATAAATGCGCATACACTCAGAGAAAAAATCAATTTCCTTGGTTTAAGTATTAATTTTCGAATGTCGACATTTCTTAATACAAGAACAGGACTGCAAACCAAAAAAAAAAAGAACGAAAAAGTAAGGATAACTTCGAAGACTTTAGACTTGTAGACATTTGCAGATGTTGTGAGAAGACAGAAGCTCTCAAATGCTGAGTTTGATGAAAATATCTACGAAAACAGAATATTTTGCCATTCATATAACCCATTTATCGACCGATTCTTCCTATAGTGCTATATAGTTGTGTTATCTTGATATGATTTGGCCAATATGTAAGCAGCCTAGTTTAAAGACGGACAGATGAGTAGGGGGACAAGTCTATATCAACTAGGCTGTTGCTGCCGATATAGAATATACATACATATATGCTTTATGAGGACGGAGATCTCGGCTTCTATGCGTTACACATTTGAGGACAATATGATAATGCCCTGTAAAATGCATTAAACCAGGCCTAGGTTGAAACCTTGGTTTGTCATAATTTGCAGGGTTCGGTTCATGTTTAAAATTAAATGGAATTTCAGCCTTGTTCAAAACGCAAATACATCAATTACTTTGGGAAATTCGTAACGAGCTCAAGTCAAGTTTGCAAATACTTGTATTATATATCCAGTACTTGATATAAATTGTTTTCTCTGATTTTACGCGAAACATTGAGCGACACAATATTGAAATCAGAAATGATTTCCAACAAGTGCGATTGTGATATCAATGTCAATAAGTTTTTTCTCTGAATGTATGCTCTATTGGGGAATCGCAGCAATAGTTGTTATTTGATATATACTCACTGTTCTTTTTGTAGAGCAATATTTCGAATTGATCCTGCTGCTGATTCTCCAGCGTATACTCCAGCCGTCCCACCGTCTCCTTGTCTGTCAGCTCGCCGTACATGAAGCCGCATCTGTTGTGTTGTTTGGGGAATACACAAGAGCAGAATATCGCACATATACGAGGTATTATTCTTGATTAGCTTTAGACTGCAGGCAGCAGTACATACAGAACGCACACAGAGTTAATTATTATGACTAATTATAATTAATGTGACTAATATAATTAGAACATGCTGAGTACGTGAAATTTGAGGTAGCGCAAGTCGCAGACGCCGCAGCAGACATCTTACCTGAAAGCTGGCTAGGGACTGGGTCACAATTCTGAGAGGTCTTTGCTTTCTTTCATAATTGAATAATTCCAATTTGTGCCCAAAAGTGGTTCTACTTCTTAATAAGCCTAAAGTCTAGAGTGTCAGCCACAGCTCTAAAATAATGCAGCTTGAAAGTGGTTTCAGCAATATAACTCAGATATATGTACTTGTAGGTGTCTGTAGACATCGAGAGCTATTGTTTCAGTCTAATTAATTTAAATAATATATATATATATATGTGTATATATATATAGGTGCAGTGCACTAAATAATTGACTATACCCTGAACCCGTTGAAAATGGGTAAAGAGGATATAATGTATTTGTGCAAATGTATGTAACAGGCAGAAGGAAGCATCTCCGACCCCATTAAGTATATTTATTCTTGATCAGCATCAATAGCCGAGTCGATTTAGCCATGTCCGTATGAACGCAAGGATCTCAGAACCTATAAGAGCTAGCTGTAGGTCCTCCTAGTCCCCGCGCAAATCGAGTTTGTTTCCGATATTCGATAACTTGCCCCGTTTCCAAGTAATCGATAAAAATCGATATCGAAATACTGTTTTTTGAGCAATTTCGGCAAATAATATGAGCTAGACTCACCAAACTTGACATGTAGCCTCAAGAATAGTATATATGAATATATCAAGTATCTTTCATTATATACCTTTCGCCTGTCGGTTCAGGGTATCCCCTAGTCGGGAGCTCCCGACTAGAACGTTTTACTTGTTTTATATTCATTTGTTTCTTACACTCGAAATGATTGTTCTAGGGAAATATTTGAGATACAATAGACAGATTAGATAGATGAATGGGTTCCTAGAATTATAAATCCAACTCAATTGAGTTAAGAGGAAATTATTTGCTGAATGGAATTAAGGCTTTTTCTGGGAACTAAAAGGGATTAGCATATCATGTTCATTTCGCAGGAATTGTTGCGGTAAAATGTACTCCTAGCTGCTATTTCTTCTCTTTCATTCAATTTGTTTTCTATGGAACCGAAAAACGGATGCGCAAATTGTATTTAAGTAAGTTTCCATTTGCCAAAAAATTGAGTTTGGCACAACATGTTGTTGCTGCAAATATTTGGTTAGCTAAAAAATGAACTATAGCTAAAATTGCAAACATACCCGATATAAATTGAAAATATAAGATGTTTTGTGTGAGGGAATACGCGATATACTCTATTTGATTGAGCTACAGCGAGAAACTAATTCATATTTCCAATCTATTTTTGCTTTGTTTGGATATTGTAGAGCACAATGGAGGGGAGGGGGCTTCCACAATTGTTTTATTTAAATTGCCTGAAATCTGTTCTTTCTTTATTGACTTGCAGCTTTAAGTTGAGAATTTGAGAATTTGAGTTATGCGGAAATATATAAGACTTCAGCTTTTCCTCTTTGAATTAGAAATCAATTCCCAGAAATCGCTGCGCCGTTTTTGATTTGAGTTGGCTTGAGATAATAAATACGAGATTCCCAGAAATCTCGCTCTTTTATCTAAGAATTGCTTTCCGTTTGAAAGAGATATATGTATATATTCATTGGTGACACTCCTGTGCTGTCAGGTCAGGTAATATGCTAAATTTGCCTGCCTCTGGCCACGGTGGCGGCCATTTATTTTGGCCAAGTTGACACCGAATGGCCGTCGAGCACGAGCGATGATGGAAATTACCATATCGTGTGGCACATCTTCTAGCTGATGGCTACTACGGGCTGGCGGCCCTCTGCTGCCGCTGATGCTATCACATGCGCGGGCAAAAATACTGAAAAATAACTTGAAAACGAAGTGGAAGAGGAACGCGAGAAATAGCAAGTGCAATGAAAAATAGAAAACCGTTGCCAAGGCAGCGCACGTGCTGAGCTATAAGCAAAAAAAAAAAGAGTGGTGAAAAAAGTGTTGCATGCTTTTAGGGCGCGCGCAAAAATATGCAAAAATGGCCAAGCGCTCAGCGTGCGAGCGAGCAACTAAATGACATAGTGAAGGAGCGAGCGAGAGGGCGAGGCGAGGCGAGGCGAGGTGAGCGAGTGACTGCAGCTTAGTGTGAGAGACACGGTCGTTGGGTGAGGGGGAGGGAGGGGCGACAGGGGCAGAGTGCGCAAATCGCAATGACGTCAGCAGTCAGCAATGGGTGAAGGCGAATTCGAATGCGAGTGCAGAAGGAGACACAATAAAAACTGTTAATTTGTATTTGGCGCTGCCGCTGCCGCCGTCGCTGTTGCCGTCGCTGTTGCCGTCGCTGTTGTTGTTGTTTCTGTTGCTGCTGTCATTGCATTTAGACGAATGCTGTTTATGTGCATGCATTTGTTAGTGTGTGTGTGTGTGTGTTTATGTGTGCCCTTGTATTTATTTATGCCATGACAAAGGTTCAACAAACTGCGACGGCGGCGGCGACGCTGGCGTCTGTTAAGTCGCCCAGCGACGTCACGAATAAAAAAGCAAAGCGACTCATTTCCTCTTCGCCGGCCATTTTGTGCAATGAACTGTTTTACTGCAGTAGATATCAATGCACGTGCGTGTGAGTGTGTGTGTAAGGGAGACAGGCACAGAATTGGGTTAGAAGGCAGGCAACACAAAGGCCCGAACAGGTTAAAGGGAAGCGTTGGCTAAGGTCCCACTTAATAAACTCTAAACTAACAGCAGAGCAGTCGGCAGAGGAGTGAGTGCGCTGTGGCGGGGAAGGGGCGACAGGGTTTGAGTTAAAAGGCGCCGCAAACTGGCAAATTGAAAGAAAGTGCGCGCAGTTAAGCAAACAGCAATAAACAAACAAACAAACAAACAGAAAGAGATAGAGACAGAGACTGCAAGAGAGAGAGAGAGAGAGGGGGCAACAAATAAAAGGATTTTCTTTTTTGGTCAACCTTTTGCTTGGATTCTCTTTTAGCGCGCGGTCACACACAGACACACACACACACACACACACACACAGTAGCAAAGTAGGTCAAAGCGCAACAATAAATAACTTACAAACACACACACACAGATACACTCTAGAGTAACAGAGCAAAAGATGAAGGGCGAGAGGGAGAGGGGAAGATAGCGCAGTCAGCTAAACGCCTAGATTGGCATTACAAAAGTTTGGCTTGTCCGAGCAAAAAAAAAAAAGAAAGAAACCAGCCAGAAACGGGGCGGGGATGTGGTGGGTCGCTGGGGACATGGCACAGGGATTGCTTGCCTGGCACTGCATACGCTTCCATTTTTTTGTTGGCTTGCTTTTTTTGGTTTTTTTTTTTGGCTAGGCCAACCGCTGTGGCAATTTTCGCTTACAAATTATAAAGAATTCGCTGGAGAATTATACATTGTGCGCAACTTTACAGTTTTGCAGGCACTTGGGTCATGCAACAGTCGCCCGCCGACCCCCTGTTTCACTCATTTTTCCAAGCTAATTTGCCAGCTGATATGCAACAAAGAAAAAGATATAAAGTAAATGTATCGAAAAATCGCCTGCGTCACAATTTCGGCTTTGGGCTTTGCTACCTATACAAACAATTTGTGTGTTCATTACACAAAAGTTTGCTCAAAGCCAGTAAAGGTACATTAAAGTCAGCCGCATTTTCTTTGCGTCCTCTTTATGCCCCGAACCCATTGAATCGGGCTATAAAGGGTATAGCTGGCTTTTGTCAAATCCTTGTAACAGGCAGAAGGAGGCATTTGTGACTACGTAAAGTAAATATTTTCTTGCTCGGCATTAAACGACGATATTTTTCTGGTTCTATAAGAACTAGAGACTATTTGAACGAAAATCTAGATAAAATTGTAAATGATCGATAGCTCGTTTCCATAAAATCGATAAATATCGATATCATATTCCTATTCTTTGAGCATATATCGAAGCTTGTACAAGCTAGAGACGCCAAATTATGTAGGCATAATTTTTTTTCGATATCTTTAATTAAAGCACTAATTTAATTTAGGCGCAACCTCGGGCATTGGGATATGCACCCCTTAGATGACATTTAATGGTCCTGAGAACTTCATAAATATCGAACCTAAATTGCAGAGTTGAATTGAAGAATGCATTTCCCAAAAAGTAGGGCTAGATAAAGTGCATACATAGAAGGAAGCTAGGTGCAGGGTATCGTCCAGTCGGGCATTCTATTTTCGTTTTTTTTAATTGTGCCGCATTCTCGCATGCAGCAACCAGTGAATATCGCCCGGCGGAAGAGCACAGTTAGCCGGAACTGCGGTGTTTTGGCCTTTAATGTCTACTTAATGCCCTGATAAATGGACTCGGAGGCTACAAACTGGCCGTGAACCGGCTGTCTGCTGACTTTTGACTGAAATCTGTACGCTTTCATAGTGCGCTGTCACTGTCAATCCGCTTACTTGTCAGCCATAAAATGAGCACAAGTGTGTTTATAGTTGCAGCAGAAGGACATTTTTAGAGCCAGTGTTAAGTAAGTGCGCAAAGGGTAGAGCTTAAGAGCTTCGAATCAATTAAAACAGTTCTTTTCTTGTAACAAATTACAAAAGGAAAACACAGTCGGAACTATTTACAGTACTAAAGGAATCTAGGCAAATTTACAATATCAGGAATCAGTGTTTGAAAATGGGGCAGAAATAGTTGAAAAGTGTTGGAAAAGAGCTTGGAGAAACAAAAGATCAGCTGAAAAAAGATTCTAGATTATAACTACTAAGCGAAAATGTTGTAGATAAATCTAAGTTTGGCATAGATAAAACTATTATATATTTAAATGCTGCGAATGCAAAATGAATCTAATGGACTAAAAAATTAGACATGCCATATAAAAACCAAGCAAAAAGTCGATATTAACGAAAGCTATATAGCTATATATCTAATGGGTTGCAATTGATAGTAAGAGCATAATCTCAGATGAGAAACACTCTGATTTGCTGTGAATATGAGAAAGAGACAGATGAATAGATAAATAGATAGACAGAGAGAAGGATAGAGAGAGAGAGAGAGAGAGAGCGCGCGCGTTGGGCAGCTGTTGAGCGCGAGAAGTGCGTGGATTACAATACTTAGGCTAGGCAGATACATATATAGATATATGTATATATAGATAAATAACATTTAGCGAGAGAGCGCAACAGAGCGAGTGAATATAAATCGGCAATACGTACACATACCTGCACGACTTCTGCATGACCTCGGCTCGGTTGTAGCCGCTAATCTTGCAGAAGGACTCATTGCAGTAGACGATCGGAAAATCGACGATTTGTGCGTTGGCCAATAGAAACGAGCTGTCCGCTGTAAGAAAGCAAGAGAGAAAGGCAGAGAGTGAGCGAGATAGAGAGTTAGTGACATTGCGTGAAAGTTAATTAAATTACGAATGATTCGTTGGCATGATGAAGATTAATTATATTTATAACGAGAACTTATCTTTTATGTGGAGCGTAATACCTGAAAGACAAGTTTGCAGTAGAACTATATCAGTTATATTAAGCTATAGTTGGGGCATGATTTATGAATACACTGCCCAAGCCATAATAGTTAATAAGCAGAAATGTTTACTGTAGTTACCCTATATGATGTAGGGTGCAGACGGCCTTTTGGTAAATTCCACCCGCAACTGTGGAAAATTGGCGGAAAACGTTCGACACTCATTATTAAAATCCGTTTATGTGAGACGTGTCACACACTGCCCGTAAAAATCACGCCTCCTAAGTCAGGGATGGGAACCCCAATTGGTTGGGTTTTAATTTGCGGTTTCAAACTCACTTGCAAAGCTCTATACTATAAATGATTTCAGTCTACACCAAGTGATTTAAATGTGCGTCAAACCTTGATTAAAGCGTTTTATTTGTCCGAATCGCTGATTATAAAATAGTCGATACAAAGTTGGCTGGCAAATGAATGAAAGACTTGTGTCTCATATTAAATATATTTATTTATCTATATTTAAATACAAGTAAAGATTTAATTGAAGACTACGCCACTTTTCAACACTAGCCAGCATACTTAATTTCGATAATTATCGATAACTGTCGCTGGCACTGCTTTGCCTGTGTTGACATTGTGCCCACGCTTCAACGTGTCAGTCAGTCAGTCAGTCAGTCAGTCAGTCAGTCAGTCAGTCGGTCTGTTAGCTTGTCATTTGGTAAGTGAAGCAACGCGCATCTATCAAAATATTTGCGCGTAATTGGAACATTTCAAATGTTGTCATTCATAATAAAATGCCATTTGATAGTGCAGCCCGCCACACCCAACCCTCCCCTCCCAGTGTTCCATTCCGTCACTCGACTAATGGCGGTTGCTATTGGCCCTGTTCTTGGTGTTGTTGTTGCTGTTGTTGCCGTTGGCCAATTCGGGTGCAGGTAACGTGTTACAACGAACTGGGTACATGGAACATGTGTTCGTGAAAACCACGCGCTGGCATCGCATGGCTTCCGAAATGACATTGCCTGACTTCATGTTTGCCTTTTCCGAAGGGGACCTTCTGGTTACAGTTCTTATTGCAAGTAATTGTTGTGGCACACGCACACGCACACACACACACACACACACACTCACACGCACACTCTCCTTGCATTGTGCTCTTATGTTATGTGGAACTAGTTACTGGTTCCAAAGCTAAACATCGCTTTAATGTCGCAACTAGTTAAAGGTAGGTTTCAGTTGACGCTTGAATTAAACGCCAATTCATCAAAAATCCCAGCTTATTTTCAATGAATCTTTCTCTTAGTTCCAATAGCGCAACAGCTTAAAACTGTTTCGGTTCTAACTCTTGTGGTTCATGAACAAGATTTTTCTATTTGCATACGTGAACAAACTCTCTTAAACAACATCTGAATTGCATACAAATTTCAGGAAATAACGAAATCAAAAATCTATTGATTTGCTACTGAACTTAAAGTCCTTCATAATATTCAAAAGAACTAGTTAGCAGTTCCAAAACTTTTGAAATCTGGAAAATATATTTGTAATTGGTTCAATTCTGAACGGGTTTCGGCAAGAAGATACATTCAACAAGATTTTTTTTTCCGCAACACTTCGTTAAGCAAACGTGAGCTGCATTTAATGGTTCGGTGCCTAAGCATAACCCTGAACGGAACTGAAGAACTTGATTGGGGAACCTATTTGGTTGCCTTTACAAAGTTTACATCATGAACTATGCAAATATGTATAGCTGGAGCTAGTGTGCGTGTGTTTTGGGAACTGGTTCTTTGGAACCAGCGCGCGCCCAACGAAATGAGCTGCCAAATCGACAGCAGTAAAATGCAATATCTTTCGACATGCGACAGTTGAATATAAGTTGACGTTGAATATCTACTCTATTTTGACATACACTATACTTTTCGGGGGCGTGCAAGAGGGCGGGCGGTGCGGGGGACGGGGGGCAGGGGCAGCGATTTCAGGTGGGCGCCAGCAGGTGCCGCGTGCGGTGAGATGCATGCCAAGCGGGCACAAAAGCAGCACAGTAGCCCACATACAAATACATTCAAATATTTAGATGCACAATTCACGTGGCCGGCCAATGAATACCTATATGAGTGTGGCTGTGAGTGTGAGTGCGAATGTGAGTGCGGGTGTGAGAATGAGTGTGTGTAAAAAAATATGCACATGCAATCGCTGGCAGTCGGAAAATGGGCAAATGCATATTTATGCGATAGGCACATACACTCCGTCACACAATCACACCCAAACACACATACAGACACACACAAGAGCAACAACAACATTTGCTACTTTACAGTGTCAACAGTTGCTGCGCGGCCGGCGCCATCGCCAATGCCTCCGCTTGCCACGCCCACCTGCCCGCTTTAACATTGGCTCTGTTCGGATCCAAATCGTGGCCTGAATCTGGGTGTCTAGTCCAACTAGAGATGAGCGCGTGCCATAAAGCACAAGCACGACTTGACAGCAGCTCAGGTGAGCCAAGTAAATATTTTATATATATAATATTTATATTATTGAATGAGAAATTCCCTTTTGAAAGTCCAAATTTGTGCTCAATAAATAATGCATACAATTTAAATGTCAATTTAATCTGGAGTAACTTATAACTCTAAAAATATATTCCTTCAAAAAAAAAAATCATTTTAAAAAATCGAGTTAAGAGCATTTCGAAAGCATTTGAATATTTTGTGCATTCGAATGCAAATTTTGCCTACCCAAAAAGGTATATCGAATTTTATTTTTCGTACAGCGTGTCACGAGTTTAATTGCTAACTATCGAGCACGTGCCCATCACTAATCGTAACGCTTCGCATTCGAGCATGTTTGTTATTATAGCGGCACTCACTTAATCCTGTGGGTGTACTCGTGTATCAGGGTGTGTGTTTGTGTGTCTGTGTGTGTGTGTGTGTGTGTTTGATTTTGCCATTATGTCAACGTCACGACATTTTACTGTATCAACTGGCACTTGCAGAGTGGACAAGGGAACTGATATGGGCACGCAGGCAGCCAGGCAGGTAGGCTAGCAGAGGCGAGCAGGTAGACAGCCAGCTAGGTGGAATAGCTGCACTGTACAACACTACCACTACACTGCAGTACACTGCACAACACTTAATGGCATTCAAAGCTGTTGGCTGGCAAAGTTTTGCAATTTGTGTTTGGGTCATTTGACAGACGCGATTTATTTTTAAGCCCGATGTAGCCAGGCGCCACATCGTGCCAAGGGGGTAGCCGAAGGGGGAAGGGGGGGGGGGCGCCAAATGAGCCACAGTGCTTCATACATATCCAAATGGGTGGGCAATAGGTTGAGCCATAAGGTTGTTATGCATACAGATGACTGGCAGGTAAGCTCTAAATGGAGACAAACGCGTTATAGAAAGCCCCGACTAGTTCGATTCGCATTAGCCAGGGCGGCTCTGTTCACGGTTCGAACTAGTTCGCTGCCGTTGGCTATGGTTCATCAAGGTGGCAGACTGCTAAGGCTTAAGGTTCTAGTAGTTATGTTACATTTTTAAGCGGCAGCTATAGTTCCGATTTGCAGCCTTGATATAAACATGAATATACTCATCCTTCGAACTTCATATGCCTATGAAACTCTGGAAAATAATATTCCATGTATTTAAGTCTCAAATTCCATTTATAATTATTTTATGTCCAACAAATATCGTATGCATAGTAATATTTAAATTCATTCTAGAAAGCTGCGCGTGATTTAGACATTGAAAGTCGTGCAAAGGGATGGGAAGGGGAGGAGGAAATCATTTGGAGAGTTTAGAAATAATGAATTCTGTTTCAATGTGTTCCTTATAGACTTGGAATCTTAGAACTGGTCTAACTGGAAACAAAAAAAAAATTAAAAACAAATAACAATAATAAAATTGGAAGGGAAGGAAAGAAGTTGGAATTAGACACGGTTGAAGGACGTATGTAATTCCAACTAGGCGCACATGGTAGACATGGTTGAAGGGCTTTATAGAATGGGAAGAATGAAAGTAGTTGGAATTACATAAGACCGACACGTTAGACACGGTTGAAGGACTTATAGGGTGTGTATAGAATGGGAAGAATGGAAGTAGCTGGAAAAGGGGAAGCACAAAAGCAAGTATGCTAAATTTTGAATTGGGCGAAAAAAGAAGTGCTTAATAGAGAGTAGTTGGAGTCTCTTTATGATCTACTATATATATAAGTATATTAATCATGACTTTACTCTTTGCTCCTGTTGCACATTTGTGTGTTCACATGAATCAAGGGCTGCATAAATGTCAAAAATAAGCCACAGTCAAAGGTCAGACCGCAGTCAGTTGGTAATTAATGCGAATTTCAAAAAAAATGTACAAAATGGAGATAAATAAAGCTGCAAAACGCGAACAAAGAGCATTTTAATTATAATAAATTCAGCAACAATTTAACAACTAGGCACTGCAGGAGCAGGAGCTATGCACAGGATATGACAGGACTCGCACCGGGCCAGGCATCGAAACCATGTGAGAGCTCCAGTTGAAATGTCAGCCCTGCGACGTCGCGTATGATTGATGAGCTGCTCTGCTTACTCTAGTACTGTCACCCAACCCCCCCACACTATAAGCAGGATGTTGGACTGTCTGTGTCCATGTGCGTGGGCGTGGGCGTGAGCTGGGGCGGGGCAGGGCGGGGCGGGGCTGTTGATTGATTCGACTTTGGTTTTGGTTTGGATTTTGGTTTTTGTATTGGCTTTAGCTGGTCGTAAGTGGTGCGCCTCTGCCTCTAGCCACTCGGCAGCGGAAGCACAACAAAACTAGTCCATTAACTAAATACTATATAAATGCAGCACACACACACGTGGCACACACACACACACACACACACACACACAC